CTGCTATGCTTTTTTGAATCCTTGGGATATATTCCCAGAAGTGGTATTGTGAGGTCATATGGAAGCTCAATTTCTAGTTTTTGAAGGACTGTCCATATTGTTTTCCAGAAAGGCTGGACTAGTGGGCATTCCCACCAACAGTGAAAGAGCGTCCCTTTTCCCCCACATCCATGCCAGCACTGGTTGCTTTTGTTTTTGAATATGTGCCAGTCTCTGTGGTGTGAGATGATATCTCATTGTTGTTTTGATTTGCATCTCCCTGATTGGATTAAAGTCTTAAGTGAGAGGAATAAAATCACAAAACTTCTGTATCTATCTATCTATCTATCTATCTATATATATGAAAATATCTTAAAAGATACAAAAGTGTCTGCAGAAACTATAAAGATGAATATTGATAAAATATTATATATTAAAGAACTTGTTTTTCCAAAAATTATCAGTAAAAAGACAAATTCCAAGTTAGAAGATATTTCCCAAACATATGATCACAAAGAATTAATATTTGTAATATATAAGGAACTTTAAAACTCATGAAAAAGATAAACAACTCAATGGAAAATTGGATCAAGGACATGAGTTTGGCCTTGCATAGAATAGAGAACACACATGTCCATAAAAACATGAAAGGATGACTCATTTGAAAGCAGAGTGGGGAAATTAAAACCACAATAAGTTTTTATTTATCAGACTGGCAAAATTTGGAGGCCAAGTGATAATGAGGTCATGGAATAAGTGAAGTATACTGCGGATCCAAGTGCAACTCAGCATGGATGTTGTGCTACACAATTAATTCAGGACCCAGCAATGAAAATATAAGCCCCAGGTCCATATTTCTATGCATACAGCTTAGAAAAAAATTTAACTATGTGCACCAGGAAACAAGTAGAAGAATGCTCACAGCAACACTTGCCTGAAAAACAAAAACCTAGAAAAACTTAACCATCAATAATACATCTAACTACCAATAGTATGTATAAGCCAAAGTACATTTGTGCAATGAAATAGCATCAAAATCATGTCAAATTTAATTTCAGCAGGAATCATCATCAAAAGTGAATATTAAAAAAATGAATCTAGGGTCAGAGCCACAGTACTGCAGGTAGGGCCTTTGCCTTGCAAGTAACTGACTCAGGTTCAATCCCCGGCATTCCTTATGGTTCCCCAAACACTACCAGAAGTAATTTCTGAGTTCAGAGCCAGGAGTAACCCCTGAGCATCGCCAGGTGTGACCCCAAAACAAAACAAAACAAAACAAAATAAAAATGATACTGAATTAAGGAGATGTCTCAAAGAGTTGGAGTATATCCTTTGTGTGGAGGACCCCCAGGTTCAATCACCAGTAGCAAGCTGGAGAGATAATACAGGGATTAAGGCTCTGGCTGTGCGTGCAGCCAATCCTTGGTTCCAACTCAGCACCATATATATTCTGCGGAGCACTGCTAGAATCTCGCCTGAATACAGAACCAGGAGCAGCCTCTCAGCAACGTCCCCTCAACCTCTGCCCCCACCCCCGAAATCACTGACCAGCACTGCATGGTCCTGTGAGCATTGTTCAGCACTGCTTTGGACATAGCTCCCAAACATTGCTAATGATGGCCTCCAAACGAAGACATATAATAATAAAAACCAAAACACACCATGACACCACCCCATGAGGCTGTTTACAGGCTGAGGCAGTGAGTTTGGTCATCACTAAAATCTAATGGATACTCCACATGCCGTGTGGCACATGCTAGTACAGGCATGCCTGTTCCTCAAGAAAAGAGTGCTTCTTAAATTTTTTTTGACTGTAAAAGTAAAGTAAAGGCCCTCCCGTTGTTCGTTGATTTGCTCGAGCGGGTCCAGTAACGTCTCCATTGGAGACTTTGTTGTTACTGTGTTTGGCATATCGAATACGACACGGGGAGCTTGCCAGGCTCTGCTGTGAGGGCGAGATGCTCTCGGTAGCTTGCTGGGCTGTCCGAGAGGGGCAGAGGAATCGAACTCGGGTCAGCCATTTTGGTGCGTGCAAGGCAAACGCCCTACCGCTGTGCTATCGCTCTGACTGTACATAGCACATAAGAAACAAAGTTTAATATATGTATATCTATGCATATATGTATATATATTAAACACTGACACTATCAAGTGTAAGCAAGATTACAGAGCAACTAGGAAATTTGGAGAAGGCAAATAGCATCACCACTTTGGAAACAGTTTAACAGTGTTTAATAAAGTGAAACATACTCATACCCTAGAACTAGCACTACTGTTTCCAGATATTTACCCAAGCTAACTGGAAATCTCTGCACCTGAAAATCTGTACACTGACAGATGTCTTCATTTTAACTGTCCCAAAGGTAAACAACCTGAATTTTCCTCTACTGGGGAATGAATAAGGAATCTATAGTACAGGGCCCAGAGGAATGGTACAGAGGTGTAGAGCACTTGCCTTACACATGCCCAAGTTCAAATCCCACATGCTCTACATGTGCCAAGCGCCACCCAGGCAGCTCTGTCACTTATAACCAGCACCACAAATGATTTCCAGTTCCACAAGGGGATATGACCTTGGTGAGCACCATCACTAAAAATGCATGACCCCTGGCAGGCACATGTGTGAGCATCTCAGGCCCCCAGGAGACCACCACCATCATAATGTGTCTCAACTAAGGGGGAGCCCTGCCCACGCATCTGTGAAAGCACAACTAAAGGGGTGCAAACCTCCCTGAGAACTGCCGCTGAGTATATGATCCCTGGAAAGTCAGGCACATGTGTGACTTCTGGTTGTTCCAAACAGCAGCATCAATAAAGGAAAGGGACTGGAAATAATAAAAGGTAATGAAATCCCTAGGAAAAACCCTCTGGAGTAATCACACATATGGAATAGTATATAGCAATAAGGGAAGCAAATGATACAGACACTACATGGATGGATTTCCAAAGGCATCTGCTCAGGGCAAGAAAACAGGCTGAAGTTGCTCCAGGGAATAGGACTCCACTTACATGATAGGAAAACTCTAGGGACAGAAAGCCAGTTAGAGGTTGCCGGGAATTGGGTATTTGGAGAGGTAACATATACAAAGGAATATGGAGGAAGCGATTGCCATGATGTTCTAGATCTGATGGTTCCATAGTGAGTTAATTTTTCAAAACTCAACAGACTACTTGAGACACACAGTATCATTTTATCTTCATTTTTCTTCTTTTTTTTGTTTGACTCATCCACCTGGAGATGCTCAGGGGTTACTCCTGGTGGTGCTCAGGGAACCATATGGGATTCCAAGAATCAAACCCTGGTCAGTGGTATGCAAGGCAAGAACACTACCTGCTGGACTATTGCTCCAGCCCCAGTATCTTTTTTTTAATTTTTAATTTTTTAATTGAATCACCATGAGATAGTTACAAGACTTTCATGATTGAGTTTCAGTCATACAATGACCGATTACTCATCCCTCCACCAGTGTGCATTTTCCACTACCAATGTCCCCAGTATCCCTCCTGTCACCCCCACCCCAACCTTCCCCCTGTCTCTGTGGCAGGCACCTTCCTTCTTACTCTCTCTATACTTTTGGGCATCATAGTTTGCAATACAGATATTGAGAGGCCATCCTGTTTGGTTCTCAGTCTACTTTCAGCACACATCTCCCATCCTGAGCAATCCTTTCAACCATCATTGACTTAGTGGTCCCTTCTCCATCCCAACTGCTAGCCCCCATCTTATTTTTTCAAATTTGATTGTCCCATGAGAAAAAAATTGTCCCATAAAAAATAATGTCATGAACCAGGATCCCTGATATCAGACAACAGTTTAAAAGCTACTGAGAATTGTGTCTGTTTAACTTTCTTCCCCTCAGCCTGATCCTGGTCAGAGGAGAGTTCTCTAGAACATCCACAGAACCTGACTTCACCCCAAGCCCAGCCTGCCCACTACCATTCTGGGCTCATACCTGAAGCAGCACCAGGTTAGGATGGTCAGAGACAAGAGTAATAATATTTGCTTCTGATTAATTATACAGAGCGGGATATTTGGTTGCTAAAATAAAACAGTTCTTATGATGGAGACACCAGATACAGCTATGCATTGGAGCTGACTGTTTTATTTTGTGGTGCCAGGGAGGGCACTCAGGGCCTCCCACATGTGAGTTATATATATATATTTTTTTTGCTTAGCCATATCCGCTGCCTGGGTCTTACTTTAAACAAGGGCATGGAACAAATAAGTCCTCAGAGGGGATTTGAAGAAATTGAATCAAGAAGGAAAATTCAAGACATTACGATTATTTCTCTGTGGAAATGATTCAACAGTTTTATCATTTGTATAATATAACAGTTTGTGTAGAATTTTGTATAATCCAACAATTGTTTATGCAGCTGTTATGTTAGTTACAAATGAAGATCATCTAACTTTCTACATGTGCTAAATAAGGGATGTCTTATGAGATTGTGGGATTTGAGTTTAACAGAATATTGTGGGGAAAAGATCCTATTTCCTAACAGTCTGGTGACAAAGGATATTTCTGGAGGATGTGATCAGACACCCTCCATAGGTCCAACCAGCAGGAAGGAGCAGTTCTGCCATCTAAGGGAACCACAGATACCACAGACATGGAAGGATGCAAGATACTCACTGGAAAGAAGATTTAGCACATATATCACTGTCACCCGAGTCTCCCAAACAGTGTCTGCTGAGGGGAAGAAAAAATTTGTTGAATGTCTGAATAGAACTTGGAACTGGCTGCCAGGAAAATGAGAAATGTGTGATTTTCATTTCTTGATGCTTCACCTGCCAGTTTATCTAATTACATTACTGACAAGTTTATAACATATGACAGTGGGGGGTGAGTCTGAAATTCATGTGGAGCAATAAAGGAATTTTTACAACTGAAAATCTCAGAAATGTGTGTCGGCTTAGTGAGCGTCCTGAGTGCTCCTGAAAGACCCTGAGGGTGACTGAGCTGCTCTGAGGGGCCCTAACTGGGACTCTCCCTCTATAGATAAAACACAAAAGAAGAAAATCTTGTTCAAATTCTCCACGGAGAACACTTTTATTTATATATTCTTCTTGCATACTCTAAAACGCACAGTGTGAATTTCCTTTCTTCAAAAACAGTTGCGAGCCTGGTCAGTTAATCTGAGATTTTCAGAAGGTCTTCGGAAAACACTGCCTTAGGTTGGAGCGAAGCGAGTCACAGAGATTGGTCATGAGCTACTAAAAAATTACAGATCTAGTTATTATCCAACACTTACTAGAAAAGCTTTGAGAACACCAGACAGACAGGCAGATAGAGAAGGTAATAGAAGAGCAGGGGTTACTTCAGTAATGGGATTTCCATAGATAGGCTCTATGTACAATATCAGAATTCTCTTACAGACAGTAAACTTAGGCTTAAATTTTAAGGGCACTCTAATAGAAATACAAGTCTCACTGATTTTCATCTTTCTCTTTGGCTCACAAATGCACAGAAATACCATAAACAGTTTTCAGAACTCACTTCATTAATATATAAATAAAGTACCTTACAAATGAGAAGATAAAACAGACATCTCTTTAACACAATAAATCTCTGAATATAAATAAGCGAATATTTCATTTACCTACAATTAAACAGTTATTGATCATCATGTGCATTATTCCTCTCCCCCCCCCCCCCCCGTAACCCAAGGGCTGATGACAGTAATATACACAATCTACAGAAATGAACTCTAAAAACACAGCAGTAGCACACACGTAACAAAGACTCAGCTACAACTTCCCCTACTAGGAGACTAATGGGTAGGGGGTGTCTCTTGACATCCATTAGTGCTTCAGAAGGTGGGAGAAACTGACACAAATGTCAGTGATCACCACCATCATTTCCCCTGGTCCCTATGACATGACATTTACAAGGAAACATCTGTCCTGTGGTTCCTGGGCAAGCTGGTTTGCAGCCTGTATGGCCCCCCAGTAACCGCTGGAGATGGAGTGATTTCATGTGGAACGAGAGACATGCTGTAATCTATGATTAAGTCCCACTCACTACACACACGGATGAGAGAGGTATTTAGAACTGTACATATATACTGTGCTCCTAATGTGTGACTTTTTAGAAAGAACGTTATTTCCAGCTAACTCTAACAAGCATATGTAAGGTTTTTAACAGTAATCTTCAAGAGAGCATGTGTTCCCCTCTGTGAAATGGCCTAAGTGGTTCAGCAACATATAGAGGTTGTTCTAGAATGCCAGAGGGGGCAGAGAATTCCTGTAGACTTGGGTTCTTGGGAGGGATTTACAGGTCCTGGCCCAGCCTTTCTATCTCCTCAATGAGGAAGTCGATGTCAGACTGGGTGGCAGCAGGGTTCGAGATGACCATCCGGAAGAAGTTGGCCTTGTCTCCCTGAGGTTGGTAGCCCACCATAGTCGTTCCAGACTCCATCATCAGTGCTTTGATTTTGGGAGCCACCTTAAGACGGAAAACACAAAACAAAACTCAAAACTCAAGAAGTCATAATGGCTGAACCTAGAGAATAATGGATCAGAGGAAGGGCTAAAGTTTAACCTGATTTTGCCTTGTTTTTGTGAGGAACTAGGTTTGGTTCCTGGCACAGCAAATAAATTTTCTAAAATTGTACTTACTTTTTTAACCACACCTTATGGTGCGTAGGGCTTATTTATGGCTCTGTGCTCAGTGATTATTCCTCGCAGGCACAGGGGACCACAGTGGAGAACAGGAATTAGACCTGGATTGGACAGGTGCACAGCAAGTGCCCTGCATGCTATAAACCTCTCTGGCTCCCAGAACAGGCACTATTTTTTTTTTACAAAAAACTAGCTTCCTAAAAATTATTTCAAATCACAATCTGAAAACTAAGAACTTTGTAACTACTATTTGTTTTTATTCATTTTCTGTTTTTCCCAAAATTGTTGGAATAAAAAATTTTAAAAGCCAGAAACCCCTCAAGGTTCATATTTATATGATATAGTCCCATTTGTGCCTGTAAAGTACCTGTCAAGATGGTAGCTGGGGTTGAGGTAGCAGCAGGTAGGAGAGAGACCTAGGAACACTGATAGAGGGGAGGTTGTGGGGAGGTTGCTTGTGGGAAGGTTGGTGATGGAACACTGTATGTCAAAATGCCAGCTATGATAACTTTTTAATTCACAGTGTTTAATATAATAAAATTTTGAAAAAGATTAATATTAATAATACTTTTCTTTTAACAAAGCAATGCATTTCTTGCTTGGACAAAAAGAGCAATTTGCTTGCTGTATTTATGTTTATACTGACATCAAGACAAAGCAATATTTTATATCCAGGTATCTTTCAGAAGAAGTAGTTAATATCTGGTAACTATTTAAATATATTCAATAAGTTCCCTCTGAAAGTATGGTGCCATTGAATCCTGAAAGTCATTCACAAAACAATAATTTAAACCAAAACAAAACAGGCTGTGAATGCAACTGAGGGGCATACTGGCTTCACAATAACAAGACTGTAGTTCAACTCTCAACACCACAAAATACAAAACAAAACTAACAACAATGATAAAACCCAAAAACACCCATCCTAGTCAATTTTTAAAATCTTCTAGGACCAGAGAGACAGCTCAAAAGGCTGCATGTATGCTTTGCATGATAAAGGCCAGGATTCAATCCCTAGCACCACAAGGCCCCCTGAGCACTGTAGGAAGGGACCCTTGAACAGAGTCAGAGTAGGTCCAAGGCGATGACAGACATGGTCCCTAAGCCCAGAACAAGAAAATAATTTATCACAAGAAATAAAATTGTAGTGGGGCCATAGAAGGTAGGTGGCCGACCCAGGTTTGATCCCCTGGCATTCCATATGGTCCCCTGAGCACTTCCAGGAGTTATTCCTGAGTGAAGAGCCCAGAGTAACCCCTGAATGTAGCTGGATGTCCCCAAAAGCAAGCAAGGAAGGAAGGAAAGGAAGAAAGAAAGAAAGAAAGAAAGAAAGAAAGAAAGAAAGAAAGAAAAAGAAAAAAAGAAAATTCCAAGTTATGTATGGTAAAACATCTTCTACTTTCTGTGGAGATCACTTCATGATATATCCAATTATGAAACCATGCTGTGTACCTGAAACAAATATAGTGCTATAGGCTAGTTGTGTTCCAATAAACAAATTACAAAAAATATTATCTGGGCAACAACACAAATGAAAGATCTGTGTAATACATAACCCTGGAAATCAGTTGGCACATTGGTTGTACTTGACAAAAACCTATGGAATTCTTGGATGAATGAAATATCACACTTTTGTTGTGAATATTTAATGTTTAACAAGTTATTAATAATTAATATGTAATATTTAAATAAATAATATGTAATGATAAATAAATAATATGTAATATTTAATATACATTTAATATAGATCTATTAATAGAGGTCAAGGATTTAGCTCTACAAAAGAGCCTTATATACCCGGCACCCTGGGTGCCATGACACACACCTTCCCAAAGAATTAAAAATTGCTAAGCTATTAAATACCAATAATCATAAATAAGATAATATAGATGTATAAATAATACAATAATATAAATATAAATAATATAAATATAAATAAAAATCAGTTAGAATGAACTGGCATTAGAGTGAACTTGGACTTAGTGGAGGATATTTTTAATTTATTTATTTGGAGAAGGGGGGTTGGGACGCATCCAGTGGTGCTTAGGGATTACTCCTGTATTTGTGCTCAGGCATCACTCCTGGCTGTGCTGGGGTACTGTATATGGTGCCAAGAATCAAACCCAGATCCACTATATGCAAGGCAAGAGCCCTATCTGCTGTACTATCTCTTCAATCTGAGGATTTTTTTTCCTTTTTGGGTCACATTCAATGATAGTCAGGGGTTACACCTGGCTCTGCTCTGGCTCTGCACTCAGGAATTATGCCTGGTGGTGATTGGGAGGCCATATGGGATGCCAAGGATCAAGGCCAGGTCAGCCATGTGAAAGGAAAATGCCCTATGCACTATATTATCTCTCTGGCCCTGCAACCTGAGGGTATTTTAACAGATAGTTGAATCAGGAAAAGTTCTATAAGTCTGAACACTATCAGTTGCCCTGAACAAACTCTTTAATAAGGGGAGACATCATTTTAATATTCCTATTGTCTCTAAACCACACCTAGGGGACAATCTGAGTCTGAGAAAAAGCATGTAAGAAGATGGCTCCCCAAGAAGTTAATGGTAACTCCCCAAGAAGTTAATGGTAACTTCGTGATTACCATTATTTTTCATTTCTCCACCCCACAAAGGCACATTAGCGTGAGGACATTCTGACCTGCCAGGGAAGTTGCCAAGGGTTAGATGAGACAAGAAGAGAAGCCATACCCTGTGCAGTTTCTCCTGTCGCTCAGGGCTGTCTGGAACACCCCGGAGACTTTGTGGAATATACCAGAAACAGACGTTTGTATGTTCAGGCTGCAGACATTTTCATAAATGAACAAACAAAACAGAAAATGATAAGAATGTGAGAGAAAGCTGTTTTCCCACCCTTCCATGTGCTTGATGGCATAGTCTAGATTTATAAAAGAGGACTGCATGCCTACAGAGAAGACTGTGACTGCTGCTCGCAGAACTATGCCCAGCTTGTACAATCAGATCTAGGAGAGCCATTTCTTTCTTTTCTTTTCTTTTCTTTTCTTTTCTTTTCTTTTCTTTTCTTTTCTTTTTAAAATGTATCACCTCGAGGTACAGTTACAGACTTGTAAACTTTCATGCTTACTTTTCAGTCATATAATGGTCGAGAACCCATCCCTCTACCAGTGCCCATTCTCCACCACTAATGATCCCAGTATCCCTCCTCCCACATCCCTCCCACCCCCCCGCCTCTGTGGCAGGCTCATTCCCTTTTACTCTCTCTCTCCTTTTGGGTGTTGTGGTCTGCAATACAGGTATTAAGTGGCCATCATGTTCGGTCTATAGGCTACTTTCAGCACACATAGAAGAGCCATTTCTAATGACAAATTTTTTAAATGAATAATGCCACCAATTTTAAACAATTAAATGTCAAACATTGATTACATTTTGGTAGTTTTTGAAAAGGGGTTTCTCCATCTTGCCAATTGAAAGTGCCTCATATCTAAAAGATGCCTGCAATTATATTTTAGTAATGAACACTTTCTTTACTTAATATTTAGTTTATATTAATGCTGAAACCTGTTTAAGTGACTCAGGATGATCATAATGGACATCAATATTGGTTCTAAACAACCATAAAATTTATTGAGATGTGTAGAACTATTCAGGATCCTCACCTTAAAGTTCTCTATGCCTTTTAAAAAATCTTTTCTATATTGCTATAGTTTTTCAGTTTCCTTTCAAGTTGCTGTTTTCTATCATGATTCCTGTCCTTAACTGGCTTTAGACATCATGTTTATTTCAGATCTGCTCACAAAAATTAAAAATAGTTTAAGTGGTCAGAGTGAACTGCTCAGGGCTCTTTTTTGCTCAGTGAGTGTCTGGTGAGTTTCTCATAATTTAGGTTGCCTGATAAATGGACTAGTTAAACGTAATAATGCATTATCAGTGGATTTCCTTTCATTCAACATGGCACCTACTCCATCTTTCTTTAACCAACTGCAAGCTCCATTAACGCAGAGACAGTATCTATTTCGGTCATTACTATACGATCCAGCTACTGGCATGGGGCCTGACACACGAGGACACTCAGTCAATGCTGGTGTGATAAGCCCTTTGCTGTGCAATGTAGATATGAACTCAGGGAAGGCACAATTTTTATCTCACTTTCCTTTAAATGACACTATAGAAAGGAGAACTTCATTTTAGAAACAGTCTTGGAAGACAAGAATGTTCCCATCCCATCAGTTTCCTGAAACTATAAAACTTTGTCATGTAAATTCAGCAAAATAATAAGAGACACCCATGAATGATAAAGGATTCAATCCTGCCAAAGACAGATATGTTGTCTATAAATGGACTAGCTACATCACTTTTGAAGAAGAACAGGCAAAATGCCATCCCAACACTGACAGGAAAAAAGTTCATGGACATGAAGGGAATTAAATAAAGAGTTCATAAGAGTGAAAACAACTTACCTCACCATCAAAAACCATCTCAAATTCTTCTCTGTTTTTAATCTTGGCATAGAGGTACTCAGCCAGGTCCAGGCATTTGTTGATCTGATTTTCAAATCCCACTGTACCCTGTTTTGTTTGTTTGTTTAAAAAAAGTCATGTTAGTTGATGAGAGTTGCATTTTCAGGGGAGTAGAGTTTGAGAAGGCTCTTGGAAGTACACAGAAGAACATTCTTGGAGGTGGCAATTAAATACATACAACTTCTTCATAGCACATGCAAAAAATGAAGTATGCCTACTCTTGTTTAAGGGCACTTAAGGGCTGGAGAGATGGTACAATGGGTAAGGGACTTGCCTTGCACATAGCTGACCCAGATTCAATCCCCAGCACTCCGATATAGTCCCCTGAGCACTGCCAGGAATTATTACTGAATGCACAGCTAGGAGTAAGCCCTGAGTGCCACTGGGTGAGGTACAAAAACCAGAAAATAAAATAAAACTTCAAAAATAATAAAAGCACTCTGGCTATTTATTCTCTTGAAGACTTTTAGCATCCTGATAGAATTGATAACCTTAACATAAAACCTATATCTGGTTTGTTTGAGGATGACACAACTCAAAATGTGTCAATGGACTGAGGCCAATCCACAACCAGTTTGTGATAAAATGAGAGTAGGGACTGAGCTACAAGAAACTTTCATAGCAATCAGGCAGAACAGTCTTATGACGACTTAGTCTAATTTTCGAAATAGGTGTGTGCGCACTTTGTATGTTTTTAAATTTCATTTCTCTAGCAATTCATAATTATCGCATCAGTCTCTGGTAGGTGGAAAAACACAGAAACAAACTTGATTCTTCACCAGAGATAGTTTGAGAAACACAAACCTAGAACTCACCCTTCTCCCCCTAAACATGTCCTTGCTAAATGTATCCCCTGCATTTCGAAGGCAGGCAGCCTTCCACTGAATACAGGATTATCTCTTTGGGCTGACAGGCAGGCGAGCAGATGGAGAAGCCATCAGTCTCAGTAAATGCCCTGAAATTGCATAAGCTTCAACTATTGACAAACTAGTTGAGCACGAAGTTTCAAAAGCTATCATGGCTGATTAATAACAGCAGCATGCGGGTTGTTGAGTGGGTCGGTGTTAACAAGAACAGATGCACAAGGCTGGCTTGTAGATTGCTAATGGGCCTGGGTGAAGTCCAACACTGGCAAAGCCTGAGCCTCCTTGAGTACCAGTGCTCAGAGCGCACTCTAGACGGGTGCACCTTCCTCTTGGGAATGAAGCCCAAGCCAGAGTCCTACCTCAGCACCCAGCACACTAGAAGGCAAACTTTTGCCAGATGGTTCAAGAGACTGTTGTTAGGCATGAGAAAGATACAAATTACTGATAAAAGCTAGGTAGTTATTATATTTCTAATAATATGGCTCTTATTCTTTGTTTCAATTTATGCCTGTATGCCCAAAATATCTATGATTATTTTGTGGTAGAAACCTAATTCAGACATTTTTTATTGTTGTTTTGGGGCCACACATGGCAGTGCTTTGGGCTTACTCCTGGCTCTGCACTCAAGGATGGATTCTGGTGTTGCTCAGTGAACCATCTGGAATGCTGGAGATAGAACCCAGGTTGGAATTATCCGTTGCACTAATTCTCTTGCCCAATTTCAGACAATTTTTGTATTAAGATACAAAATGACACAATAAAGCAAAAAAACGAATAATCCATTAAATTCTTCTTAAGAAAAAAATACTTAGGGATGTTTTACTGAAATCTTGTTATTTTTGTATTAGATAGACTCAACCTTAAATATGAAAACCAAAGAGTGAAGAGATAGAACAGCAGGTAGGGCTTTTGCAAGAGGCCAACTAGGGTTCAATCCCTGGCACCCTACATGGTCCCCTGAGGCCACCAGGAGTGATCTGTGAATGCAAAGCCAGGAGTAAGCTTTGAGTTTCACCAGGTGTGGCCCAGAACAAAACATGAAAACTATTAAAGTTAATTTACAGTAGGTAGGTAAAATGGGTGTGTTACAAAACTTGTAAAATCAAAATTCCTTTATGTGATTACATAAAATACCTTTGAAATAAATGATAAATGGCAATCTTATATCATACTCATATCCGTTTTTTTTTCTTTTTGGGTCACACCTGGCAGTGCTCAGGGGTTACTCCTGGCTCTGCACTCAGGAATTACTCCTGGCGGTGCTCAGGGGACCATATGGGAGGCTGGGGATCAAACCCGGATAGGCCGCATGCAAGGCAAACACCCTACCCACTGTACTATAGCTCCAGCCCCCATACTCATATCTGTGGGGGAAAATGCATAGTTTGCTTTCTGTCTCTAAGCACAGAAATGCAACTGAAAGTCTGATGAACTGCATGCCTTGTTCTAGCAGTAGAATTTCTCAGATTAAAAAAAATAAAAAGAATAATGTAGAGAATGCAAATGATAGGGAACTCACTATACAGAACTTAGAACTGTCACATATATTCCATGTTTAGAGGCCTCCTAAATGAATTCAGGGCACTGCATAAAATAATGCAGTAGTTTTGTCTTTATTCTCTACATCTGCATTAAATAATTTCAGCATCGCTAAAGAGAGCCATACCAGTCCTTGTCTTGGCATAATTTTCCATTGTTATAAGAAAATTTTATGCTAATTGAAGTTGAGGGGATTGAATAGAAGGAGGGAGGATTTGTCAGATGTGATAAAGTGATTTCACCCATAAAAAAGAAAATAGTTAACTCAATTATCTAGATATTGATTACACATACTATAAATTATCGGTAATATCTCTTTGCTTTTTTTTAATTTTGCAAAGCAGCCTGTGGAAATTACATTTCTGCTCTATTTCCTGAATCCCTTTCTTCATACCTTTGCTTTCCACATGAGCCAGAACTTGAAAATGTCCACATGACGACCACATTGAATTGCCTTGTCCCCGGTGTCATAGGAGACATCATACTGCTTGTCTGGCTGGAAGAGATATCCTGCACACATCTGGTTGCATCCTTGGAGTATTCCCTGTTATGAAAACCAAGACAAGATGCAGCTGCATTCAGGGCTCATGTGGGCACAGAGGTGAGGGCTTGGTGTCCGAGGCGACCTTCTTCCTTACATCACTATGAGGCTTTGCAAGGGCTCTGACATCCTTCTCTCAAGTAGCTTTTGCCCATTTTCCTCTCTCTCTGATTAGAAAATAACCCCTTTATCTGAGATATCTTATAGTAAGAGCCCCACTATTTCTACAGAGGCATTGGAAAATGCATGTGGACCTTTGGGGTTTATTTCAAAGATTAGAAAGCACCATAGCATCTTGTGGGCATGGGGTGGGATGTAAAGTTTCTGCAGCAGTGGAACAGTCTCATGCATTTAAGACTTTTCCTTTCCAAAAGCACCCATCTAGCGTCTCATCTGCTCTAGGATCTCCTATGAGGTTAACAGGCACTCTCCCAAGGAGTGAGTAGTATGTACAGGCCTGACTCCTACAGGCCAAAGACAGGCTTTCTGAATGCACAAACATTAGTAGTGTAACAGTGCTTTCTTAAAGTTGGAAACCAATCACAAAGAACCATTTACAGAAGCTTCTCAGTCAACATTCCTTTGTTGCACTACAGTGAGATCTGCACTTACCACTCTGCCTAGTTTATTTGGGATTGCAAATTCATGCTAAAAACTTGGAAATTATAGAGGCCAGAGCAATTGTACAGAGAGCAGGGCACTTATCATCCATGTATTCAATCTTGGTTCAGTCCCCAGCAACTCCAAGGGTCCCTCAAGCCCCGCCAGACATGATCCCTGATCATGAAGCCAGGAGTAACCCTTGAGGATCGCTGAGTGTGGCTCCCAAGCAAACCAGAAGAACTTGAGCTATATTTACCACTTCTTTTTTCCAAGTTTGAGAGTTGGTGTCTCACCCCACTGGCATCCTCTTTGCAGACACAAATGTGAAGGAGTATACAATAAAATGAGGCCCTGGAATTTCTGTCACCAACAGCGGCTTGGACACTGACCAAGGCAGAAGGGTGGCAGAGAGCAAGAGCCAGGAGAAGGCGCTCAGCTTGGGCTGCCAGATGGGGTTGGAGGGAGCAGAAATAGCAATCCAAGGGGGTGTGCAAAGTCAGAAGTTCCTCCAGATGCCCTTAGCAAGTCCCCCATTTTATTCCCACCCGGGGCTTCTATCTTTGGAGAGGTGCAGACCTTTTCCCTGACGAGAATGGCGGAGCACTGCAGCAGCACACCCATCATCTTGTGAGGGTTCCAGGTGACAGAGTTGGCCCTGAAAGAAGCACACAATGCCCTGAGAAGGTGTGCACGTGACAGGGGCAACTATCCTTGGGAGGAAAACACCATCCATCGCAAACCACAGCCATACCCGTTTTCAACACCCAACCCCCTGCACAGCTGGTTCAAATAATAGACGTCGACTGCCTCTTCAGCAAACTCCTAATAATAAGAGCTAACCTCTGTGAAAAGTATCTATTATGTGTTCTCTATTCTGAGGGTTCACAGGCATCAGAGCAGTACCATGACGCAGGCTTTGGAGACAGATGGTCCCACCAGACTGACTCTGATATTTGCACTTTGGGGCAGGTTATATTACCCCGCTGTGCCTCTATTGTTCATATCTGTAAAACTGGGTTGGATTGTCTACCTCATAGAATTGAATAAAGCAGAAAGTGAGTCAATGCCGAATGCTGAGAACTTTACCAAGATGAGTTTGTTTTGGGGCTGGAGCAATAGCACAGTGGGTAGGGCGTTTGCCCCGCACGCGGCCGACCCAGGTTCGATTCCCAGCATCCCATATGGTCCCCTGACCCAAAAAGCAAAAAAAAAAAAAAAGAAGAAGAAGAGTTTGTTTTTACAACAACCCGATGATGAAGGAACCAGGATCACTCCCTAATGTGACCTAGGGAAACTGAGATAGAAAAGGGGTAAACATATCAGCTACAGTCACACAGCTGGGAAGTGTTGGAGCCAAGATTCAAGTCCGGGAACTCACTGCACAGCCAGTGCTCAGGACCATCAAATAGACTCTAAGTGACAGACTAGGCCTTCTCTTAGTCATCCTCTCCTCACTGACAGAATGGGTTGTGTGCAGAGAGTGGCAACCAAAAGTCAGTCTCAGCTGGACGGTTCTAGGCTTGGGCTGCTTGGCAGCATTGTTTCCATGCTAACTGAATATGATATTGTCAGTCTGGGCTGCCATGATCGCTTAACAAGCAGTTTCCTAGCAACCCCATTGTGCTGTCAGACACAATTAAATGGTTAAGGAGCACACTAGCTAGGACATTACAGAAACAACGAAGTGTAATGTCTGATGATTAAAACCTGGGGAACTTGCTTCAGTGGTTTACAGACTTGTTCCCAATGGCTTCAGCTATATCTGGGCTCTGCATCTAAATACCTGTGAAGAATGTTTCTCTGGACAGAGCAATGGGCTCACTGCTTTTGCTCGCCTTGGAGCGACATTCTTGCTGCAAATGCTCAACCTCTTCATCCTGCTTAGGTTCTTTAGAGGGAAAATCATTGAGTAGATCTGTGACTGGGTAGGTGCTGGGTTTCAAGCAGGAAAGAGAAAGATTTAAGGAATTTTCCATCAAATACACTTAAAAACAAGACCCCAAATCCTTGAGAAAGATCTGTGAAAAGCTCTAAGGTTATCTTATTAAAAAATATTGTGTCTAAATTGAATCAAAGGGGGTACACCGGATGATTCTCAATGATGCCCACCTATAACTTCTTTAATATTCTAATATGCTATTACTTTATTAGTTTTAAGGGAGAAAAATAATTAAAGATATAAGACTGGAGACAGAGGTTATAAGGCATTTGCTTGCATTTGGATTTGCATGAATACACTAGTATTCCCAGCACCATTTATAGTCCCCTGAGCACTGCCAGGAGTGATCCCCTGCACAAAGCCAAGAGTAAGGCCTAAGCACTGTCATGTGTGGGGCCCCCAACAAAATGGGGAAAGGGTATCAGTGTTAAGCCATATTTTAAAAGTAGTGGATTATTATGTTTTACATTTATGTCATCATATCAATATCTAAAACAAGTTTTTAGTTTTTTAATTATTGTGTGCAAAGCAAATGCCCTACCCATTGTGCTATCACCACAGCCTCTCTTTGTGTACCATTTATAAACCCACTGGAGCACAAGTTATGTGACTCCTGGTTCATAACATCTTCCATCGATGGTTTTATTCTTCCCACATGTAGTTCGGCATTTTTGAGGCACAAGTGTTGTACAGGGCTGGATTGAAGACCCTAACCAAGCATTCACATCCGGGCTCAGGATAGATTCTCAGTAATGAGTTGCTCAAAGGATTAATGAATGTGAATTCATTTTGGATTAAGACTTAAGAGTCAGGTCAAAATCATACTATGCTTAGGAAACCAATAGAATGAGCTGAATGCCAAACTCTGTTCCCAAGCAGTAGAGTGAGTGACGAAAAGAGTGAAATAAACCAGAGCTGATTCCTATCCCCTTAGCAAACTCTCACTGAGTTTCCAAATCACTCTCTGACCCAGTAAGTAAGAGCTTTTCTTTCCTATCCAGTTGCTTTTTCAATCCCATCTACTGTTGCATTTATCACAGTGTCAGAACTATTTTCTTTATTTCCTACAGTATCACATTGTGGAGAACTCATTAGACTAAGAAATCCTCATCCTTGGTGTCCCTGTGCTGACCATGCAACCAAATGCTCCAAGGCTAGACATATAGGATAGCAGGTAAGGGGCTTGCTTTGCACATGGCCAACTCAGTTCAGCCCCTGGTACCACATATGATCCCCCAAACACTGCCAAGAGTGATCCTTGGAGCTTAGGAGCAAGCCCTGAGCACCACTGATTGTGGTCCCAAAGCCAAATAAATAAATAAATAAACTAATAAAAAACAACAAATGCTCCATAAATGTGTGGAGAAAGGTCTTGCACAGAGGGAAGTAAAGGTGCCCTGGTCAAGAAGTGGTGGCTGCAGCAGACCCAGCATATTTGGTACTTGAAAGGAAGAGCCCAGCATCGTTCTTACCTTTCAATGCCGCTGAGCTTATGGCGGTGCTTCCTGGACATGAGCAGCCCACCGCCCCAGGCAGCCTGTGGGAAGGGAGACAGGTGCTGTAAGAACCTCAGACTAGGGCTGGAGAGATGGTAAAGTGGGTCGGGCACTTGCTTTGTATGTGCCAAACCTGAGTCTGATTCCTGGCATTATATATTGTCTCCTGAGCCTTACCAGGAGTGATCCCAGAGTGCAGAGCCATGAGTAAGCCCTAAGCACTTCCGGGGATGGCCAAAAAAAAAAGGAATTTCAAACAGTCACTTTACACTATCTAATAAATACCAGAAACGACAAACTAAGGGAGGGAGGTAGGGCTATTAGCTTGGAGAATGGGGACCACTGGGACAATGGTAGAGGGAAATGAACATTCTGGTGGAGGGTATGGTGAGGAATTGTGTAATGCTGAAATACCATCATTGACAATTTTATAAACCACGGTACCTAAAATAAAATTTAGAAATGGATAAAGGAAAGGAGGGAGGGAGGGAGGGAGGAAGGAAGGAAGGAAGGAAGGAAGGAAGGAAGGAAGGAAGGAAGGGAGGGAGGGAGGGAAGGAGGAAGAGAGGAAGGAAGGAAGGAAGGAAGGAAGGAAGGAAGGAAGGAAGGAAGGAAGGAAGGAAGGAAGAAGGGAGGGAGGGAGGAGAGAGGGAGGGAGGGAGGGAGGGAGGGAAGACAGACAAGGTAAACAACATGAGCTTCTTTGGCAAAAGTAACCCATAGCTATGGCTCAATCAGTGGCAGGTGGAAAAATTTATCTTCAAAAGTTCCACCAAGTTCACCTGGGAAAAACTGCACCAGGGTGACACGTATCTTGTATCTGAGCCTAAGTGCACATCCTCAGAGGCACAAAAGAGTCAAAAGCCAGAGATAAGCCAGGAGCCCCATCCCCTGTCCTTGCAGGGTAGTGGTGGGGGAGGTCAATCTCTCTGACAGTCTCTCTGATTTCTAAAACACTCAGAAGGCTTATAGGTTCCACAGCAGCCAAACATTTTTTGTGGGGTACACTGAATGCATGATAATTGTCCCCCAACCCCCCATGAGACACATAGTGATATAGAACAGCTTTCATTAGGCATCTGCTCTACAGAGGGCAGAGCACCCACTGTCCACTAGTGAGAAATTAAATGTGTGAAAGAATGGTGTGAACAGGGGAATAGCATATCCAGCACACACGTGAAATGTACTTTTGTATTGTTGAGGAGATCAGGGACTAAAGATCTTGGTTGATAAAACTATACCTATACAGCCTTAGTTTTTCCACATGTACCAGTTTTTTTTCTTTTAAATTCCTAGATGGCTGGATAGTAGGCAATCATTGAGTGTCCAGATTCATGGTCACTTTCTATACAATTGTATCTTATCTTTTCCTCCTTCTAAAATCAATTCTATTTCACTCTGCAGCCCTTTGTCCAAACAAAAGCTATCAAGGAAGGTGATGAAAACAATATTCTAGCTGGTGCCTAGAAATGAACCAAAAGACAACAACTGGCCAGCAGGAAATGCAGCCTGAGTTGTGGACAGCAGTGAATGATGGGCTGGGGCCAGAGAAAAGCGAGAACTAATGAAGCTTGGAGAGTGAACTGACTGGAGCATTGGAAGACAGCTTAGATAGGTAATAAGGAAGAGCTACTTTCACCCCCAAAATGGGCTGGTTCACCCTCTTAGTTACATTACTTACATCAACATGTAGCCAAAGGTTGTATTTCTCACAAATATCTGCAATCTCCTGTATTGGATCAAAAGCTCCATAGACAGTGGTGCCAGCAGTTGCGTTGACATAAAGAGGGACATATCCCTATAGGGTAAGACAAGGAAGGTTGATTGACTGTTTAAGACTTCCCCCTCCCCCGTGATAGAAAAGAATCACTGTAGCACTGATTTCCAACACCTCAGCTAGCTGATTCTGGAAGTATCTCATATCTAGAAGAATCTGGAAGTATTCTTTATGGATTCATTCCCTCATTCACTTAGTTAAAAATTTTTTTTGAGTGTCTTTTACATGCAGGTCCTATGGGAATGCTGGGGCTAGAGCAGTGAGGGTAAAAAATAAAGATGTCTATCTTTGTGGGATTTTGCATTCTAGTGGGAGAGAGACAGTAAACAAAGTTAAATGAGCAAAATATTCCAGGTGTTTATGCTGGTGAGTTCCATGACAAAATAAAGTTCCATGACAAGAAAAGAGTAATAAGTGTTGGCATGATGGGAAGGTAGATTTGAATATTATCTGGGTATGTTTTAGAGGTATGTTGTTCAAAATGAATTGATTAGATGGAAGCATTGTTTGGTTATATAGATAGGTCAATACACTTAGTGGCTATGAAAAATCTTCGATATGAGCAAGAAATAAATGAGTAAACAGAATAACAGAAAGGAGGTCTGAGGAAATCTCAGAATCCTTGGTTTTACTGAAGTCCAGTTCCTCTGCTCCTGGCTCAGTCCTAGAGACATTTTCATTTATCTGCTGTATTGAGACTCCAGTTAACAGTAAGAGTTCAAGAGGTAACTAAAGAATATAACCAAATTGGGGCTGGAGCAATAGCACAGCGGGTAGGGCTTTTGCCTTGCACACGGGTGACCCAGGTTCAATTCCCAGCATTCCTGGGGCTTGAACCAAAAGCTGGGTGTGACCCAAAAAGAAAAAAAAAAAAGAATATAACCAAATTGACAACAGATTGGTAAATACCCTGGCAGCTACCTGGAAGAACCTTGTGGATATTTCTCTTCTATGAGATTATTATTATTATTTTTGTATAGTAAGATTTATGGAGACTGAATTCACCCAGTATCACAGGCCATCTGCCAGGATGTGGACACACTTTGCTCAACAGAATCACAAGCTAAAATGGTATTAGTTAAAATGATATTATACCTAAAAACTAGCAAGTGAAATGTCGATTAGGTAGATTTCCGTAATACTAGAGAGTTTAATTGAAATACACAAAACTAACCATTTGCACAATGTAGGATAAATGGCTTAATAACTGAATTTTTCATTTCTCAAAAATTTTAAAAGATTGATAGCATACTTACACAGCTTTAAAAGTAAATCATCTCACAAGTTAGAAGCAAACAAATATCCAAAAATAAAATTTTAGAAACACAGAAAAATTGTCTCTTATATTATGAAAGACTTATTTTCTAGGGAAGAAGGTATTTTGAAGGGTTTTATGTTCATCAGACTTTAGATGAACCATAGTATACCTTTTGTTTGGCTTCCAGAATTTTTGCCTCCAAATCAGCTGGAATTATCTTCCCCCTGTAATTATTATAAAAGGAGAAAATTAAAATGAAGATTCAGTGAGATGCACATGAAAAAAAAAACACTTCAGCAGCAGCAAAAAGTAATTTAATCGGATATTTTCAACAGACCATTAGCAGCTTGGCACACTGTACTGAGTCAGTCCTTAAGCACAATAAAACAAATTTAACAGATGAACACATTTAATATATCAAGAACCTAATATTCACTCTCCCCTGCCTACCTTTCATTACACTTTATCAAAATCACATTGTCAGTTCCAAAGCCAAGTGCAGCCCCAGCCTTCTTTATGGAATAGTGACTCTGCAACAAACAGAGGTTTGAGGTTAGAAGTTAGAGAGACCCTTGGAAAACCTCACAGTGTAGGACCAAGGCATCCAACTCACATGTTCTGATGTGAAGAGGACCAGTTTGGGCACAGCTGCCATCCCTTTTGTCTTAACTTCCGGAAAGTACTTATAGCGAGCGGCCATGATGCTGTACATGTTGGATATGGCTCCCCCTATCAGCAAGAAGACACATTGCCAGGTGTTGGGGCACCTTCATTATTCTAACAGCAAAGGTTGATGTGGTGTTTTAAGACACAGCTCAAAGAGGTCAGGGATGGGAAGAAGGGTCAGAGTGATAGGACATCGAGTAGGGTGCTTGCCTTGAAAGCAGCTGACCTGGATTCAATCCCCAGCATCCTATATCATCCCCTAAGCCCGCCAGGAGTTATCCCTGAGTGTAGAGTCAGGAGTAAGCCCTGAGTATGGCCTACCTTGCCCCTCCGAGAGAGAGAGAGAGAGAGAGAGAGAGAGAGAGAGAGAGAGAGAGAGAGAGAGGAAGTATGTTCTGGTAAATTTTATTGGCTTCCCTATTGCCAAGGCTTCTCTCTAGACACTTTTTGCCTTTGGGATACAAGTAATCACACTCATTATCAAAGCCACTGAGGCAATTTGGTTAGCTGTGATTCATTTACTCCAGGATTCATCTTATTTGAAGTCTAGGAGGAAATATAAGAGGAGGTAGTGGCAGTGGCTGCAAGGAGATAGGTGAATTACAACCTTGCTGCTTCCACATTTGGCTCAGTCTATTTACTGAACAAAGATGAATTTGTTCTCTGAGTTAGATAGATGGAGAAAGAGAGAATAATGGAGAATACAGAAGGAAACTGTGACATTGCCTGGATACTTTACAGAAAGAACAGTCCAACAAAGCCATTCAGTTATTTAAGAGAGCTCTAAACTTGTTAAATTAAGCCAAACTCATGTTTATGGAAATAAAGATGTAAGGAGAATTGAGGAAAGTCTCTAGGTATATCTGGCCAACACTTTTGCATTAATTAGCTGACAAACACATTTGTGTCAGTTTGAATTGCTTTATCAATTATCTTTTTTTCAGTGCCTAGGATTGAAAACAAGGTTTTGCACATGCAAAACACATGCTGTACCAATGAGTTACATTTCTGGCCCAACAATTGCAATTCTTATTTCTTTTCCACTTGCACACCATCACACTGTCTTTGATACCATCCAAACTTTCTTTTACCTCTAAGATTATCTGTCTTGAGTTTAGGATTAAATTGTATCTACTTAGAAATTGAGATTCAAAGTAGATTACTTAGATGGAAACCCTTCAGTACTACTGATCTGCAACTTTATCAGCATGCTCTTTATAGGCTGGAATTATGCAACCTGATTTATATATAATTTTCATCAGTTTGTATATGTTCAGGCAAAGTCTTAGTACTAATTGGAGAATTCTTATGAACCTTATCTTATATAACCTTATCTTATCATCCTGGCCAGTGATGAAAGCAGGGGCATGTCAGAAAAATATTTTAAGGCCCCTTTCTTCCATAAACCCTTGTCTTCAGTGTGCCCAAGGATTCCATGGAGTCATACTGTGAAACCTGAGGACAGTAAATGAGAAAGAACAGAAGTCACCTACCAGGAGAAAATATTCCATCACCATCTTTACTTGACCATCCAACTATCTCTCTCATCTTCTTAAGTGTTATTTGCTCCATAAGAACAAACACGGGTGCAATTTCATATGTAAACCTGGAAAGGTGGTGAGAAAAAAAATGAAAGCCATTTATTTAGGGAGCACTGATGGGTGGTTTTATATTTGTACATGGGCTCTAAAAGTGCTCAAAGTCACCGAAATATTTATTTCCTGTAAATGTATTAAGTTGGCAATCATAAAAGGTGAGAAGCCAGCCTGGGTTACCAAGAGAGGTGGTTAAAGCATTTGCTCTTTGATTCTTAACAAAATGGATTCTCATCTGAATGGAAAGTCATAGGTACGTTCCACTCAGAGCAAAAGGAGGAAAGAAAATTCACCTCAAGGGCTGTAGGGTGATACAAATACTAAGAAAAAATATTCTCCAAGTTCTAGGTAAAGCTGGTCTGCAACATTAAAAAAAAATCCTGACAGCCAATTTCACACTTGTAGAATCTATAAAACCCACAGTCAAAGTCTATCTTGAAAACAGTGTAAACATCCGAAAGCTAACAGTGAAGATAATTGGAAATATTGACCCAGGTTTTAAAGATCTCAATATAATTATCTACATGGCTTTTTTTAACTGATAATTCCCAAGGATAACTATGTTTCTATAATTCTCTGAGGTCAATATCTGTCAAGAATAATTAAAAGTGATGATCTTCTAATTACCAATTTTAAATTTGAAGAAGATACTCAACTGGCATACACAGTTAATTGTGGTCATCAGCAATCCTGATAAGTTTGCTTGTCTTCTAACAAACTGATTTTAAAGTGGTTAGCCATGCCTCTTCTCAAAGCAACACAAAATAGAAGCACGATCTGATGGACAAGTCATTGAAATGAGAACCATGATACCAAGCATAGGGCTTAAGAGAAACCCAAGAAGGTGCATCCACAGAAAATAAAGCCAGACAACAAAGAGATATTTACTGACTCTGAAGCTCTTTGTCTTTCTTATCTCTTGGCCTTCTTAAACATTAGCGTCTGTGGGCTTGGCTTAGATCATGCTTGCTGAAGAGAGATGCCTAAATTGACCCAGCTTAATATTGGGCAGAGATTTTAATATTGGTTAGAGTGTTTTGGAATGAATGCCAATGCTGAGGACTAATGGGAATTCTTGCAGGCTTAATGATTTAGAAAAGCTATTTGCAAGGATGAGATAACAATTGTTGTACATGAGACACAGGTGAAGCTACCAAGTTTTAATCATGGAGAAAAAAGCAACCGCATTAATCATATGGTGATAGAAGAAGACAAAAAAGATCCTGGAGGAGCCTCAGGATATATCTGTTGGTAGAAGATTTTCATTTTCAAAAAGAATATGTCCATTTTAATTGAATGAACCCTTGAAATTTAGGAAGGAGACCCTTGGAAATCATGTGTTCAGTTACCATCACCTCTGGAGGTCACAATCATGCTTTGGTTCTGCTTTGAGCCCCATCACCGTAGCAACCAACACTCCCTCATGTCTGATGGCCTGATAAAGGAAGAAGAAGAAAAGGATTCCTGGTTTAGCCTGTGCTGTTGAGTGAATCCAGAGGTAAACTCAAGATGTGCTTCTAACCGGTTATTCTTGAACATTGATGTTTTCTGATTTCGGCATGGGAATAGCTGAACATATGTGCCACTGATATCTGGAAACATTGGAATGGCAAAATGTTTTCAGGATGAAGAGTTTGGGTGGTAGTGTGTGTCTTGGAATCTCACAGTACCAAAAGAGAAGGCTGCTGGGGATAAAACAAGGGACAATGGGATTATAAGCTTTAATATCAGTACCTTATTATCTGTCTGAAGAAAACTGAGTCAGAATTCAGTCACATGGGGAAAGAGAAAAGGGCTGGCACTCAAGACCAGAGGTTCATTTCATGATTTTGGTCCATTTATGTTTGCATGAATTAGTCTTCTTACCTGTGGACCAAGGAAATTTTGGTCCATGAGTCTCCAAAATAGGAGCAAAAGTCTAGAGAGTTTCGTCATGTGATGATCAGATTTCATCTATTTCAGGTGCTTTATCTGTGTTGTGTACACAGATTCCTAAACCTTTCAGTTTGGATCAACGTATTTAATGATTAAGCTCTTCCAGGTGACATTTTATATAATGAGATAAAGATGTTAGAAGACCACTGCAAACCTTGAGGAGAAGCTTATGAGAATAAATTCACCACTTGATTTTTGGAGTTATCCGCATTCTGTCTGGCTTTCCCATCTGGATATGAAGGAGCAGTTATTCCATAGCTAATAATAAGTTATTCTGATTCACAAATTTAGTCCTGATTCCTCTCCTAGAAGCTGGTAGATTGACCCATGACTGCTGATTTAGATCAGACCTAATAAGTGGGCTAAGAGTCCACTGATATTTCCATTTCTTCTATTTCCTCTGATGCTGCCTTCTATACTGTTGCGTTTATAACTACAAGTCTGCCTTTAGTAAAAGTCTTATAGAAGTTTACCCTAGAGCGGTGGTTCTTAATTTACATGAGGAGTGGGAGTCCTACACCTCTTTGGGAATCCTTGAGAAAACAAGGTCCACCCTCTAGAATGAAAATGAGGACATGCCCTTTATTTTGTGTATAATGCTAGGCAATTCTCCTGCAAGCTGGAGTCCAGATTAGATGCCCCTTCTTTAAGTGGTAAAGTCAAGAGAGAAACGGACAATTGAGGATTCAGAAGAAGCTGGTTTGACACTAGTGCTAGAGGACAAGATTACACTTCAGAATCAGAGAACAAGAAGCCAAGCCTGCAAAAAAACTCTGGGTTGAAACAAAAGAACAGGGATTGGAAATAAGGATTTAAAACGGTAGGAGAGTGATATGTATGGAGTGACATCAAAGGGGAATTCTGAATCTTTCAATATTCTGAGTAGAGCAGTAAGTCAGCTCTTTTTCAGTTGGTCAACTCATTTTCCCAGCGGCATTGGTGAATGAAGGCAAATTGACTGTGATGAAGTATTTGTCTCATGGCAGAGCTGGTTGCCAGTCAATATTAATTTTCTCTTGTTTCACATCATTTTATTTGGGGTTGCTATGTGCCCACATCAAAGACTACAACGTTGAGCTTCTCTCAGGATGGGCATGGGCTATTTTAGCTAAAAAGACACTGTGAGAAATGAGTAGAGTTTCTGCTCTTCCTTAAAAGAAAACTGTGTTACCTTTCGCTCTTTTCCTCTCATCCTTCCATTCTTCCTCCATCTCTAATGCTGGGACAAAGAAGTAATGACTGGATCTCTAGTTCCCAGCCTACACTATTAGGTCACTTTGAAGATAAGAGCTAGGTGCTATAATAGGGATCAGAAAGGCAAAAGAGACCCAGAAACTGTGAGTCTAGGAACTTTTTTAAAGAGAGAACAAAGGGAATTGTCTATGTTTACTCTCTATACTCCTCTTTTAAGGTAGCAGATAAGCACAACTTCACCTTGAAAGGTAACTCATCTGAGAGGCGCTGTGTGATCTTTTTGGCATCTTGTAATAATGACACATATAAACCCAAAAGCCAGGAGGCTACAGGGAGGAGCCACACATGACAATAGTGACCTAGAATTGGCAGCCTTTACAAGGTTGTGTGCACTTGCTTTTTGCTTGGGTGCACATCAGATTAGAGCCTTTCACAGTCTACAGAACCACACTTTTTGGTTCCTACACATAAGACTAGAAACCACAGTACACTCCATAGGCTGAGTATTACTATTCCCCATTTTCCTGAACAAGAAGAAACCATGGTTCAGATACATCCAAGCGATCTGCTTTGGAATCCCATGATGAGGATGTTTCAAATTTCCAAGTCCTGTCTATCACTTGGGTTTTCCCATGATAAATGACAACTGCTGGCTGCCAGCGCTTCACTGCCTGCCTGCCCAGTGGTCTGAAGTGACTGATATCTTTTAGAGAAAATGCCTCTTGGGAAATTTTTATTAAAATAAAGTACTAGATACTTAAAATCATAACTCATAGCAAAGCATTGTGCCAGATCTTGCCATTTAGATTTAGTATTGCTGGCTGGTGCATGAGGATCAGCTGCTGGGACTTAGACACAGCTCAGCCTGCATGGCCCTGCCAGCAGTGTCTGTTCTGCAAGCAAAAGCGGTGGGTGCCGTGCTCAACTCCACCCTTGTGAAGTTTTCTTTGACTCTGCCGTGTTCTTGTTCAGAAAAATCTATCTTGAAGTGACAAGGTGATATGCACAGGCGGGTATAAACACATGAACGAAAGTGTGCTTTCTTTCCAAAGATGCTTTCCACTCTGCCACTTGAATTAAGAGAGTTTTTTTGGTCACAAATATATATATATATATATATATATATATATATTTAATTTTTATTAGTGAAATACCATGAGGTACAGTTGTAGATTTACAAATTTTTGTGCTTGGGTTTCAGTTATACAATGATCGAGTACCCATCCCTCCTCCAGTGCCCATTTTCCACCACCACGGATCCCAGTATCTCTCCCACCCCCCCATTCCCCCATCCCACCCTGCCTCTGTGGCAGGGCATTCCCTTTTGTTCTGTCTCTCCTTTTGGGTACTGTGGTTTGCAAAAGAGGCATTGAGTGGCAATCATGTTCGGTCTATAGTCTACTTTCAGCATGCATATCCCATCTTAGGAGGATCCTCCCAACACCCTTTATTTGGTGCTCCCCTCTCTATCTGAGCTGCCTTTTCCCCTAGCATGTGCGACTGGCCTCCAAGCCATGGAATAAACCTTCTGGTACTTAGCTATTCTTGGGTGTTAGTCTCCTATTTTGTTACTTTATGTTCCCCAGATGAATGCAATCTTTCTATGTCTGTCCCTCTCTTTCTGACTCATTTCGCTTAGCATGATATTTTCCATGTAGTACCACTTGTATGGGCTGGAGCAATAGCACAATGGGTAGGGCGTTTGCCTTACACGCAGCCAACATGGCCGACCCGAGTTCCATTTCTCCGCCCCTCTCGGAGAGCCCAGCAAGCTACTGAGAGTATCTCGCCCGCACGGCAGAGCCTGGCAAGTGACGTATTCGATGTGCCAAACACAGTAACAACAAAGTCTCGCAATGGAGACGTTACTGGGCCCGCTGGAGAAAATCAATGAACAACTGGAAGACAGTAACAGTACCACTTGTATGTAAATTTCATGACTTCGTCTTGAATTAGGAGAGTTTTTTAAGCAAACAAAACTCAACTCAGGAATAGAGCTTTCAATCTCCATTACCAATGCCATGCAAAGTGAGTAAGAGCGCAGCAAGTGAGCACAGTACCACGAATTCACTAAATCCTGCTTGGCTAAAGAAACCTCTTGTGCCATTCTCCTTACTGACTTATTTTGAACACGGTTCCCCATCAGAGAAGAAACTGCCGTCAAGGCATGCGAGTCTGCCCAACCGTGTGACTACACTGCCACATTTCATGATCTTCTGAGGAACTGGCTTAGAACAAGTTCTCGATAATAGTTATTACTTCTTCAGACAAAGCCTTGTCTCCAGCACTGACAGGAACTATTTCACTATTTTAAATAACCTTCCCGATCGATCTGCGTGGATTGGCTCATATTTTATAAATATCCACTGTTCAGCACAGCTGCAATTACACTGTGCTGCCGAGAGTGGCCTTGACCTCAGACGGCTGGACAGGCTTTATTGTTTTGTGGCTGGACTGAGGAAAGGTACAAGGAAGGGACTGCACTGTTAGGAGGAACATATACACCAAAGTAGAATTTGTGAGATCTTGCTGAAGAAAAAGTCTTTTAGGAGAGAGGCTGGTCATAAAAGGTTCAATGAGGGTGAGGTCCTTTTACTGACCTTGAGATTAGACTACATCTATCAGGAAACTGGCATAGACACAGAGACACTTTAAGGAACAGGGTGAATTAAGGGCCAACATTAGTTTGGATCTTTGGGTCTTAATGGAGACATACTTTTTACTTTATCAATCTCATTTATTTTCTGAATAGTTTTGTTTTTCTTTCATTTAAGAGCTGTACTTTCTAATTAAAATTGTTCCTTAGGGTGAGATGCTCTATTCAACCATTAGTGGCTCTTTTCAAGTATTAATTCATGTATTATAGAGTCTCTGTTGGCTGGTACTTTTTTTTAATCTCAGAAATCATGGCAGAGATTGCAAATGTTAGTTTTTTTTTTTTTAATTTAAGGAGGCCATAATGAGAGTCTCTCTTTGACCTGATTTCCTTAGTCCTTTGCAGCCCTGGAGACCCAACACAGATGCCGTGAAGCTAACCATGACTGGCAGTCAGAAAGCATAAAGCCCATTTTTGTTTTTAATCAATTTAGTCCTTTATGCTTTTTAGCACTAAAGGCTTCACTTGTCACATTTGCTTTTTAAAATTTGTTGCTGTTGTTTCAAATTAGCAAAGCAAGCAGGAATCCTTAATTAATAGAAACTTTTCTAAATGTAGTTAAGTATTTTGAGTCAGATCATTAAATAGTTTCTGGAACACACACAAATCAATATACAATTTTAAAGTGCCTGTTGAAGTTTTGAAACTGGTAGTAGTTTAAGAAAACAAGAATAACTTGAACTTGAACAACCCTTGATGTCAAACAAAATCTCTCTCTCTCTCTCTCTCTCTCTCTCTCTCTCTCTCTTTTGGTTTTTTGGGTCACACTCAGCGATGATCAAGGGTTACTCCTGTCTCTGCATGCAGGAATCACTCCTGGCAGTCTCAGGTAATCACATGGTATGCCAGGGATCAAACTAGGTTGACCATGTGCAAGGCAAGTACCCTACCCTCTTTACTATCTCTCTGTCCCCTTATTTTCAATAATATCATCCTTTCATATGAGTTTGTTCTTCAAATCTACTTTGCTATTAATTTAAAAAGTGGATAGTTATTTTAAGTATTTCCACAGTGAAGAAACTCATAGTTTTTTTTAAAAACAAAACAAAACAAGAGACCATGACCAAGGTTGCTTGGAGGGCATGCAGTGCCGGAAGTAAAAGTCAAACGCATGCTTAAGGGTTAGAGCGATAGTACAGTGGGTAGGGCATTTGCCTTGCATGCAGCTGACCAAGGTTTGATCACTAACACCCGACATGGTCCCCTGAGCCTGCCAGAAAATATTCTTAAGCTCAGAACCAGGAGTAAGGCTTGAACACAACTGGGTGTGGCCCCAAAATAAAACAGGAAAAAATAAACCAAAAAACCCTCACATGCTTGACATGTGTTCAACCATGGGAACTAGCTACAGAGTCCCTAAAACCATATAATTTCTATAGTTATTTTTAAATGACTAAGAAATTTATTTCATTTTCCCCCTGTATACTGCTGTAGAATGTGGTACTACTGAGTGTATGGACAGTGGTAGAACATTACAGAGTGAGCAGAGAAGAGATAATCTACTGTAGGCTATGATAACCCTTCATCAGCGTGGAGCCTGACCTTACCTCCAGAGGTGTATATAGAGTAAATTAGAAGCTGATTGCAAGATGATAACCTACAAAGTATCTGCCCTATCCCGCACCCCGCTAGAACTTAGAGTCAATAAAAATGTTATAAACATTTATATGAACATAGAAACAGACGTTTGTCTACCCAAACAAATATTTTTAAAAAGGGAAATTTAGAACAAGAATCTTAGTTATTTTGAAAGGGCTATATAATGCCTTGCTACTGTTTCGGAGGTTTTGAACAAATGACAAGGTTTATATGTTTTGGGTTTTTGGTCACTTTAACAGAAAAGGAATATGTCCTAAATGATAAGGATTCCAGTGCTTGCATAGGAAAATGAACCCAGATGACACTCAAAACCAAGGTCTCTTTAGATATATGTATCATTAATAAGTATAGAAGCTGGAAGACAGTACAGTGCATGCCTATTCCCAGCACCACATGGTCTCCTGAGTATAGTTAGGTGCAGCCCTGAAGGACCCCTGAGTACTGTAAGGTGTGGCCCTGGAGGCCCCAGAACCATTAGGGTGTCCTGGTTAACCCTGGCACAGCAGGGCTCAAATAGCATCACATAGTCAGGCCTTGCACTGAATCACAGACCCACTTAACTGAGATTTACCATTGGAGAACCTTAACTTCCTAAACACCTTTGGAATTCCTCCCTCTCCTCACCCCATTCCCCTCCCCACCCCATTCCCAAAAACCACCAAAGTAGTACAAAGTCTTCTAACATAAAATTTCACACTTCACTTTGAAAACTGGAGTTATTATTTCTCATTTAATTTAATGTTCTAATTAAATTATATTTTTAAATTCAAAAATAGCTTATAAAGTATCTACTATTAAATGAGAATTGTGATAAACCGAAAAGATTTATCACAGGAAGATACAATTAGGCAATGAAATTAATGATGTGGTAAGAAATGATTACAGAACCATTAAAAAATTTCTTTTGGTATTTGGGCCAGACTTAGAGGTGCTCAGGGGCTACTCACAGCTCAGTGCTCAGAGGTCATATCTGGCAGTACTCATGGGACCATGCAGTATCAGGAAGCAAATCCAGGGTCTTCTACTTGCAGAGCATGCACTAGCCCCTTGAACTATCTCTCCAGACACAGAACCATGAAACCATTACACTTTTAAAGCAACAATCCATAATCATACATCATGTTTGATTATATGAAATAACATGCCAGACTTACATATTGGTATTGGCAGTTGATGTCAGCCACTCGCCAGCTAAACCAATGATATCCAATCCAGTGGAGAGCTGATTGAAAAATCGAGGATGACCTAGAGATGGTAACAGACAAGAATCAAGGCAAATCCTGATTTCAAATTCTTTTCATAGCAAAAGTAAGGACTATTGATGAGATTTCCATCCAAATGGCCCAAATTACTGGGGATAAAAGTGCAGGCTGACACATCCTATACCAACTCTTAGCATTCAAACTTATCGTGTCTAAAACACCATGCTTGTTTTTTTCTAATTTTTAATAGTGAGACATCATGAGGTACAGTTACAGACTTACACATTTTTGTGCTTGGGTTTCAATTATACAATGATCAAATACCCATCCCTCCACCAGTGCCCATTTCCCACCACCATGGATCCCAGTATCCCTCCCACCCCCCTATCCCTCCCATCCCTCCCATCCCACCCTGCCTCTGTGGCAGGGCATTCCCTTTTGTTCTCTCTCTCTTATTGGGTAAAACACCATGCTTTTAAATGATTTTTTAAAAAATCCAATGTCATAAAATGAATTATATTTGTTTCACCTGTCAGTGTTCAGTGCTATCTCCTGGCTCTACACTCAGGGATCTCTTCTGGGATGACTGAGAGGACCTTATGGGGTGCTGGGGATCAAACTGGGTTGGCAGCATGGAAAGCAAGTGATGCCCTTGCTTTACTATCTCTCCAGCCCCAGCAAATCACCTTTCTAGAGCTTATATCTTGATTTACAATATATGTAGTATGTAGTATTTCTTTTTAGATACAAATTAGGATGTGGTACTCATGGTTTTCTCCCCAAACATCTTACTTTTAATTTGACATCCCAAGGACAGGATGCTCATATCAAGGTTTACTGATGTAGGAGAGGTTGCAAGCCTCAGACTATGTTGCCTTCATGGACCAAAATAAACCATGGAAAGTTTCTGATCTGATGCTGACACTAAAGATGCTCCATCACTCTCTGGGTCTATGTCAGGTAAAGAGACAAAATAGTGGGTGCATTTTGCATAAATCTCATTAGGTTAGAGATGGGCATCGTCTCTGTGAAACAGGAGTAGATACAGCCTCATTCACTCATTGGTTGGTTGGTAAAATCATTGCTGTTACTCTAAAACCCCTCTGAAGCACAGGGGATGCTTTAACAAACTTTGTTCTCAGAAAATCTAGGATTTTTGCCAAGTTTTGACCAACTTGGCATGCACAGACAATCTCAAGCCCACATCAGCAGGCCCGGCCCAGCTGTCACAGAAGAGTCAATGCAATAGATTATCAAGGGGTGTTGACAGAGAACTGGTGTTCAAAAGATATGCTGACTGCTGTTCTTCCTGTGGAAACTGCCTTTTCCTCTGAAATAATTGTCAGAGAGCTTGGATTTGAATGTTGTTGGTCTGCCTCCCGCCTCTGATGATCTCTACCCTTCCCGAGATGAGATGAGACCCATGCAGCATGTCTGGACTGTGACTTCTCATTCAGACTAACTCTGCTCCTGCATACCACATTCTTAAAAATAACACTGATCTCTAGAAAAAGAATTAATTAAATAGGAATAAACATAATCAGGTGGCTGGAGCGATAGCACAGCAGGTAAGGCGTTTGCTATGCACGGGGCTGACCCAGGTTCAATTCCCAGTATCCATATCCGCCAGGAGTAATTCCTGAATGCAGAGCAGGAGTAACTCCTGGGCATCGTTGGGTGTGACCCAAAAAGCCAAAAAAAAAAAAAAAAGAAGAAAAAACATAACCATAGTATAAGTTTGGGGCCAGATTCCAGACATTTATGTAGACTTAAATAGTCCAAACCAGCAAATTTCACTTCACTCTGCATGGTGCTAAAAATCTGAGATCTCCAAGCAACAAAAATTCCTTTTTTGAAGTTTTTAGAAAATATATGAGAGGATGGGAAGATAGCTCAAAGGGCTGGGGTGCATGCTTTGCACGTGGGAGGCCTGAGGTCTCACCCCCAGCACAACATGATAACTGTGAACACCACCAGTAGTCCCTGCATACCACCAGATTTCCTTCCCCAAAAACAAACAAAATATGAGTAAAACAATGAACACTTCAAGATGAAACTGCATAAAAAAAATAAATGCGATTATACTGCACTGAATCACAGGTAGGAAGTACTGTAGAGACAAAAGATGGACAAAGATAGGGCTGGAGTGATAGCACAGTGGGTAGGGCGTTCGCCTTGCATGTGGCCAATTTGATTTCCAGCATCTTATATGGTCCCCCGAGCACTATCAGGTGTAATTCCTGAGTGCAGAGTCAGGAGTAACCCCTAAGCATTGCCGGGTGTGACCCAAAAAGAAAAAAAAAGATGGACAAAGATTTATGGACACAAAGGCTTTCAAATATAAGTACAAAAGAGGGCTGGGGGTTTAGTTCCAGTGTTGCAGCACATCCAGGTGTGGCATGGAAAAGTCCTTAGGTTCGATTCCCAGCAAGGCACGTCTACCCCACCACAGCACTGCTGGGGGTAGCCTTGAGCACCGACTCGGGCCAAGCCAAGTTCCTTTCCCACCCTGTAGAGGCAACCCTTCTGAGAAACGCCAGTCCCTGTACATCTGTCCACCCAGGAGGCCAGGAAAGCTAGGATACTGCATGGAATGATGTAGGGACAAAACCATTGCTTTGTTCCTAGGCTGAGGAATAGCTAGACCAAGATTTAATAAGTCATTGAGGGGTTCAGAGTACAGCAGGTAGCTGAACCAGCTTTGGTCTCTGGCATCTCATATAATCTCTAAGCCCTAAGCACAGAGCCAAGGGTAAGCCCTGAGCACACCTAGGTGTGGCCCCAAAGCCAAAAACAAAACAAAACAAAACATAAGTCCTTCATCTTGGAACAGCTGGAAAGTAACCACTTTGGCCAAGGATTGTTCATTAAAGAGGGTTCCAATAGCATGACAAAGAGGAAAGGGGCAGCCTAAGAGCTCCTGGTTGCAAACAGGAATTCAGTGACTTGGGGGCTCAAGTGGCAGAGCATACGCCTTGCTTGTGAGGCTGAGTTTGATCCCTGACATGGTATTTCCTTTACCTTCAATGGGTGCAGATCTGGTATCCCCTCCCTGGCATCATCAACTTGAACACCCCTGATAGCAGCCCCACAAAACAGAGGAATGAAAAGAAACAGAGGATATGTCATCTTGCTTTCTTTAGGCTGCAAAACTTCACATAGTGGGGCTGGAGTGATAGCACAGGGGGGAGGGTGTTTGTCTTGCACACTGCCGACCTGGATTTGATTCCCAGCATCTCATATGTTCCCCTGAGCACCTCCAGGGGTGATTCCTGAGTGCAGAGCAAGAAGTAACCCCTGTGCATCACCGGGTGCAAAAAAAAAAAAACAAACTTCACATAGCACTGTGTCTTCATGCCTTAACAAAATTTTTGCAATATTAAAGGGGGTTGTTTGGGCCGAAGTCAGGCAGGCCTGCCAGAAGTTGTCACTGTCCATGGTAGTTCTGGGGCAAGGAGCACTTGGCCGCTTTCCCTCCCCAGATCTGGGCTTCTCCTTCTCCACCACTCTGCTGCCCTCACACTGGGTTGCTATGGCATATCCCCTTGACTGTCACCCTTACCCGTGCGAACCCCATACTTCAGGGTGTCTCTGCAGTCAACCAGGATCTGCTCCAGGGATTCTGGGTGGTCTGAGAGCTCCAGGTTAAAGCCCTCCATGCCCTCCAGCAGCTGGTGTGGGTGGTGGAAGTCCAACACCTTAGTGGAACGGTCGAAAGTCTTGCGGACATAGTTAAGGAGGATGTCCACCACTTCCAGGAGGAACTGCACGGTCTGCTCCTCACCATTCTTCGCTGGAAGCAGATCTGCAGGGGAGGAAGTCAGGGACCCATTATACCCTCATATCTGACGTTCCTCATTCCCTCAATTCTCCAACATCAGTCATGCTGTAGTCACAGGTCAAATTTCATTCCTGAATTTTTTGAGAATTTGATGCATCACCTGCCCAGAAAAATACACAAATTCATGTATCCAGACTTCTGCACAGGCACACAGAAAATGCGAAGATATCCTGATATTTAAGCTACTTGTAAATGGTATAAAAGCTCCAAGAAGTCAGGACTAGCCTACTTGGATGCAGAGCATTTGTAGGCAGAGTTTCCAGTCAGAAGTGCAAATGGAGGAGTATGGGGACCTGCCTACTTATGCAGGGTCCTTATGTGGACCTAGCTCTGAAAGTTGCCTTACTCAGAGGGCCAAGTGTACTTGGCATAGCTCTCTGTCCCGCCACCTCTAATATGTGGAGTAGTCACTATGTCGATAACTCAAGCCTATAGAGAAGTTAATACTTCATCCTCAGTTTGCAAGAGAAGTTAATAAGAAATGGATGCATTGTGATTTTGTGGCATATGCAGGAAATAACACCTTGGTAAATCGTGAAAAGTACACAGGAAGTGTCAGTGTTCTTCAGTATACTTTGCTATTATTTCTACCTTGTTCTTATTTCCTGTTACTGATCTAAGTAACATTGTTTTCATTATATTATGTTTCCTATGTTTGTTATGATCAAAGAAATGTATGATCTTGGGAATATGTTTTTTTGTAATTACAATGGATGATTTCACCTGCCAAGTTCCTTATAGAGAAGTATTAAGAGGCTGTCTGAAATAAAGATCAATGCTGCTGTTCCATGAGAACTCAGCCCTCTCAACCACTTGTATATAGTTTCTTTGATCCTCACCTTACCTCTTCGACCCGTTCGACTATCGCCTGGTCCGGCAGAGGAGTGCCTGTCTCCCTCCTCTGCCATTTAGGAGATTACAAGACATCTGGATAGACATTGGGCTTTTGGTATGGCATATGCTTGTTCTGGTAAAATATGCTTGTTCTGGTAAGGCCTCTGTGGGACTGGGGGTGGGTCTCTGTGTGTCTTTATACAGGAAACAGGATTAGAACTCCAGGATGTAGATGAAGAATTCCTCCCTTTCTTCTGACCTCTTCCTTTGGGGCAGGAATTTAGGAGAGGTACCCCCAGGGTTATTAACCTGGGGTATTAGCACAGGCAGGAAGCAGTAAGGGACTCCAACTTGCCATCCCAAGCTCAAGTACAGACTGACTGTACTTGTCTGTCTGCACCCTGGGTGACCTCTGAGGTTTAGTGACGTCATCTGTACTATCTGATCTGAACTCTGACCTAAGGAAGTCAGTGGTGGCAGGTTTACCTCCAAGCTCTCTGAGAGATTCAGGTAAAGCAGCAATATTTGGGGGTCAAGAATCATTAATGAAAGATCTCTAAAGGGAACTCGATTTTCAAGATAGCACTTAGGTAGAAAACCAAGTTACACAGCTGCCCACAAGGTGGCGATTTTGCTAATACTGTTGCCAGTCTTGGAGGATCAACTATTCAGGAAATCACTGAAGTTTCCTTTTATTTAGAGAGTGATGGCGCATACCTGGAGGTGATGGGGGTTACTCCAGATGGTTCTTGAGAGAACTGAACCTAGACCTCCTGCATATAAAATGTGTATTCAGGAATGGCAGGTAAGGTGCTTGCCTTGGACACAGCTGAAGCAAGCGGATGATCCCTGACACCTCAGATGGTTCCCAAGCCCACCAGGAGTGATCCCTGAGCACGGTCAGGAGTAAGCCCTAAGCACTGCCAGGTGTGTCGCAAAACAAAACAAAAATGTGCACTCAGCCCATGGAACTATCTCTTTGGGCTTGGAGTTTCTTAAACTTAAATCCTTAGGGTTCTGAGAGTCTCTGAATCCATATTTGCCCCTGTAAGTATGTTTAGGTAAGGTTGACTGACCTCATCTAGCTTCCAAAATGACAGAGGCCTGGGTGGGAGGAAGAATTTTATATTCAGACGATGGAGATGGTTCAAGAGAATGTTGTAATTTTTGTTTTTAGGTAAAAGAAGTGAAGTTTGAGGAAAAAGTCCATGGATATCAAGGAAAGGACCCACTGAAGGCACTCAGCTAGAGACAGGGCTGGGGACAGGGAAGTACCTCGAGCGAACAGGTTGGAGAAGTCAGTCTCTGTGCGCCGGAAGCGACCGTCCCTGTCGCTGTTCTCACAGGAAAGCAGGTTCTTGGAGGACTGTCTCTCCTTGAAGGCGCTCACGAGCCGGCTCTTCTCTTCCAGGCTGTTAGTCCTCTGCAGGAAGCCTAGGGACAAGAAGCAGGGTCAGAGGGAACACCCTGAACTGTCTGGCCCAGGAAAAGGCAAGCTGCTGCTGTTGGGCCCTGTTTGGCTGGTCCTGAGAAGAAACAGCTTGCTTGCCTTTCACTGGAGAGGGACTCTGGCGCCTGGGCCTTTGGGTAGAGAGGGGGCTGTGCCAAGTACCATCAGTAGCCAGGTCCAGTCATGCAAGAGAGAAAAGCAGTGAATAAAGCCCATTCTCCTCTCTGAATGTGACAGGGAACTCGGAATTAAGTCCACTGGACAGTTTCTGCTCCAGCGACCAGCCCCAGGATGAGGTTTCGAGGGGCAGGACCTGATCTGAGAGGATGTGACTGGCGCTGGGCTTGTGGGCTGGGCAGCCAGAGGGAGCAGGAAGACTCGCAGAGAGCTGCAAGGAGGATGACACCGGGGCTTAGGGAAGATGCACTCAGTATCAGCTAAGGCTCAAGGGTAGAATATGTCTATTTCTCCCTCAACTCCCCCAAATATCTGGAAGTGCAGTTTTCCCTGAACTACCTCCTCTCCTCGCATATAGCTACTAGTAAAAGGAAAGAGGAAAGCTTAAAATCTGAATTCTTGGGGAAAAGCATTTGGCTAAGCCTTCTGGACAAGAGGACAACTACGTGGGGCAGGGTGCACCTTCTGTAGCCTACAGATTGGCAGGGGGAAAACCAGGGTGGTGCTAAAGCCAGAGAGCCAGCCACAGAGTTCAGAGGTGACCTCCAAAGCCAGTATGGAGCCTGCAGCTCTTCACCTCTGCCCCTCGGAAGGAATAGACATCGCTGCCATCTGAGGTGAGCAGCCACCAGCAGCAGCGAACAGAGAAGGGCTGGAGACTGCCAGCTCCAGGCACAAGCTCATTCCCGAGCAACTCATCCATCCCTCCTGAGGCTCCTGTGGAGTGCTCCCCACCCCTGCCCCCATATCCTCCCAAATCTCTCCTACAAGCCAGCCTCAATCCGAGCTGCAAAGGCAGACAAGGCTCTGTCTGGGTAGAAAGTTCTGAGCTGCTTGGTGACCCCAAAGCTGTCTTTGTAGATACCAAGCTCCTTGGGGAGCCACACACGTCACAAGGCAGACTTGGAGGAAGGTCCCAGGAGGTTGGAGAGAGGCAAGGTAATCTGGGGAATTGCGTTCCCTCCCCAGGACTGCGGAGCTGATTATATCCTCCCACACACACACAGGAGCAGGGGCTATTTTGGGAGGGAAAAACAGGAGCAGAGGCACCAGGACCTTGGCTGCTCCAGCACCTCTTAAACTTCTCTCTAAAGTCAAAGGACAAGAGACAGGGTCAAATACACCACAACAGAGCCTTCTCCTGGGATCTAAAGATTGTGTGTATGTGTGTGTGTGTGTGTGTGTGTGTGTGTGTTCGTCCTTTTCCTCACCTCATCTCCTACTCTCTGAATTCCTCTTCCAAACCCACACCCCCAGAGTCCAAAACCAGGAGCCAGAATTCATTTGCCAGAAGAGGCAGGAAGGAATTCTCCCCTAGATGGTTCTTTTGCTCCCAGCTGAGCAACAGTCAGCTGCAGAATTTGCCAGGCTGAGAAGAGCAAGCCCATGAGGCTTACTGGAGCTGAGTCCTACCCAGCTGAATTTCTGCTCTGGGACCCTGACCTCTGGATGACTAAGACTCATTCCTGGGAAGTCTCTCTGCCTTGAATCCCCTTTCTTTTGGGTAGCTTCAGGACTAGGATCCATTGGGTTGGAATTTAGCATTGGAGGTCCTAGCAGGGTCGGGTCCAGAGACAGCAATGTCCCGAGGGGGTTGGAGACAATAATCAACACCCCACTTTAATCCTGTATTCCCACCCCACCGCCACCCACTGCGTTAGAATCAGAATTCTTTAGAGATCATGTAATTAGCTCATAAATAATACATATTGCATAATAATCTGTGTTTTAAAAAAAAGTTCACTTCCCCATACAAACAATGTATATTGTTATCAGAATAACTATTTCTGGAAGCTATTTGTTCTCTTAAATATTGGAGTCTCCCTGAGAAAGCTCAGCGAGCCAGGTCTGAATTTGGAGAAAGTCTGGAAGTCTGAGCGAGTCTCCTAAGATAATGAACGAGTGGATGACATGAGTGGAGAGTTGGCCCTTCCCAGACTAGCAAGGGGTGACGGAAGCAGAATGGACTTCTGCCTGCTCTATACGTCAGCTGTGAGGCCTTAGCTTACACATGTGAGCCATATTAACCAAGCACCATGTTTTTGAGAGGCACAGAGGCAAGTGGAGCAGAGGAATACTTGGCTTTGGTTTGCTGTGGTGCTCTGGCTAAGTGCAAGGGGCCAATGAGAGGGGGAATCCTGGCATGACTGTGACTTCTCCAGGGAGGATCCTGCTGCTGGTTGCTGGCTGCTCCTACCACCGCCCCTCCCCCTCCACCACCACATATACACACACACACACAACTCAAAGGTCTTCCGTGCCCCAGTGAGGAGAGTGAGGGGAACTAGAAATTGCAAACTTAGGGCCGTTGTTCCCAAGTGGGGCTTCTTCCAGCTCTGCCTGGCACAAAGGCTCATGGCCAAGGTGCTCCACACTTAAGCCTGCTCCTCTCGCTTGCCAAGCTGGGGCATGACGGTGCTTCTACCCAGAAGGGGCTTTCATTATTTTTTAAACATGCTCTCTCTTGGGCTCACAGTGCCTTGCCAGATCTCCCTCCCATCTTTTTATTTCAAGTGAAGCCAGAGATACAGAGTATTTGGTCTATTTTTAAATTCTGGCAATAGATTCAGAATGAAGCATGTCCAGACAAACACACTGCTCGGGCTGAATAAGATAGCTTAGTGGTTACTGGTGGCCAAGTCTGGGAGCTCTACACACAGAAGACATAGGAAGCGTACAGGGACACTGGTGAAGGGAGCAGCAGTCACCACCAGCCTTAGGGCCCTTCTATGTAGGGCATGTCACCATGCCTGTTTGTCACCCCACTTTCTACCGTCTGTCCTGGGTTTCTGGCTGGTTACTCTGCCAGGCCGAGCTGCCTCCACAGTAAAGGGCACCGCTAGTGTGACACCAGGCCTTTAGCTCCATCCCAGCTGCCTGGGGAAGGGACACAAAGGTCCTGGCAGGTAGTGAAGAACAACACTTATGGGGGACACTCAGGGCAGTGGATTTGTGGGGAGATAAAGGTAGTCCCTTCATAGCCTCAGCTCAGGTATCCTCCCAGCCCGAGAAGGTCTCCAAGTGTGTGCATGCAGGACAGAAGGCGTCTGGGAACTCAGGGCCAAAAACCAACCACCATCAGGCTTCTTAGGGAAGATGAAAAGTCAGCGACCGGGAGATTCAGAACCCATTTTCCAGAGGTGATGCATTTTAGCAGAGGGCAATTTCCAGTCATCAGATTCCTGACCCTCTCCAATCACATAGATGGCAGTTTACCAGAAATGAAGGTTTAAAGGGGGAGGGTTATTGGGGGAAAGTGGATGTCGGGGGAGAACATCTCCCTGATGGTAGCCCTGCTCCTGCCCAAGCTCGGTGCTTCCTCATTCATTTCACAGCCCGGCAGCAGCGGGTGGAGGCTGGCGGGGGAGCCCCAGGACCCTTGTAGCTCCTAGATTGGGCAGAAGCGCAGCTCTTTCGCCATCCCTTCCGCACTTTCTGAGGGCACTTCAGGTGTGGTTCTCCCAGCGGGGATTTAGGCCCTTTTCTGCCGGGGTGAGCGCGTGAGTGTCGGGTGCAGTTACAACAGCAGGGGGCGGCAGATCTGGAGGCAGGGATGCAAGCGGGCGGGAACGACCCCCTCCCCCTAGGATGGCAGAGCCCCCCCATCCCCGCCAGTCAGCGACTCTCCAGCTCGGAGGGCGCCCCAGGCACGCTCAGTTCAGCTCACCCGGCTGCATGACAATGACAATGACGGCTGCTGGAGCCGAAGGGACCTGGCGCGAAACGGGCCATTAAGCGTGGACCGGCGGCGGCGGCGGCGGCGGCGGCGGCGGCGCGGCTGGGGGAGAGGGCTATTTATAGAACAAAGCTGGGCCAATTCCGCTGCCTCCGGCTGCCCTGAACCCTGCAACCATCCTGCCTGGCCCCCGGGCCTCGCGTGCTGGGGCAGCAGGCCAAAGCGTGGGGCCACCCTGGCTAGTAGGCTGGGCTTTCCCTGGAAGGCGGCTGGTCCCGGAGCTGAGCAACCTTTCCTCCAAGTCTGTGCCTCCCGGGCCGGCCCCAGAAAGCCGGGAAGGGAGTTTACTAAAAGGTGTTAAATGACCCCTGACTGCCCCCGCCCCCAACTGCCGGACTCGGGGGAGCTGGGGCGGGCAGAGTCGCGGCGCGCAGGGCCGGGCTGGGCGCTATCTCCCGGGCGCAGCCGCTGACGGATGGCGCTTTAATAAGCCCATCGTTAATCTTCCCCCGCCTCGCCGCCCTCTGCCCGCGACGCCCGTATTTTCTGGCCCGATAAGGCTAGAGATTTTCGACGGTGAAATGTGGCCAGGAAACCAAGGCCTCATTGTTCAGCTGCAACCACTGAGCTGTGTCCCTTTGAACAAATCTCCGGTTTCCCTTCAAAGAAAAAAAAATTGAAAATCACATCCCTTGGGCGTTTTCTGGTTAGACCCTCACGTCTCCAAGGGACAATTCTTTTCTCCAGCTCCCAGATCCATTTTCCGTCGTCTCCTGCACATCGTGCCTTACACTCTCTCTTTCTTGGGCGCCCCGCATTCCGCCAACGGTATCTTCTCCTGCAAGCCGGGGTGAACCCCAAGGCGGGTGCCCGCACCACCCTCTGCCAGGCCACTGACGGCAGCCGCTGCGGAGCCGTTCTCTTGGCCTCGGAAGCCCCGAAGCATGAGGCTGGAGTCCGTTTGGGCAAAAACTCGGGTTGCCCCAGAAGTCGGGTGGTTGAAGAGACAGCTCGCGGGAGGCGCAGGAAGGAGGAGATGGATGGCGCGCTCCGAGACCACTGTGCAGGAAAGTCGGCCATGTCCACCTTTTCCACCTAGATCTTCGCTAGGAGCTGGCAGAGCGCCCCCACCCCCCATTCCAATCCCCCCTCGCAAATGCCAAGAAGAGCCTCGCAGTCGCACGGGGGTGCTAGGCTCAAGCCCTAATGCACAGACAGGGGGAGCCCCTGCACTGTTCACCTGGTCCTTCCTGATGAACCAGACAAGGCAGAGGAGTGGCAGTGAGTGATGGCAGAGGAACGTGCCTGCCGCTGGTTATCCGGCTGTAGTAGGATGTCAGAAAAACAGACCTGATAGCCTGGAGTCCCCTCCAAATACGTCCCATTCTGCCCTCACTCCCCCCCTGCAACCAACCGCAGGAACCTCTGCGGGATTAACACTCACCGCAGATCTTGAGCCCCAATTTCCGGGTGCATCCATGGGCCACTCCACACCAGGTGTCATAGGCTAGAAAGTAAGAGAGGTTTGAACAGTGAGTCTTGCACCCTGAAACCAGGGCAAAGAGTAGGGTGGGGGTTGGGTGGGAGAGAGGATCTTCCCCCATTGCTACTCATGAACAATTCTTTCCTTAGGAATCCAAAAGGCCAGATTTTATTGCTCGTAAAACCTTCATCACATCGCTGTCCCCACTTTCAGGTCCACAGAAGTGTCTGTGAAACCCACACCCAGCTCCATGCCCACTGGGCAACCCAAATGTGAAGGTCTCAGTCTGACTGCTCGGTGAACACCACCCCCCCACCCCCCCTCCCCCCCGCCGCACCTACCCTCCACGTCTAGTCCCTTGGTTCCCCCCAAGACCCCGCAAGGCTACCACAGCAGTGGAGAAAGGGAACACAGAGGCATCTGGGGCCCTAACGTCTCATCATTTCTTGGCGGGTCTCCAGCCGAGTGGCAGCTTAAAATAAACTGGCATGAAATGGGGTCGCCGAAGAGTTCAGGAATTAATTGGGTGAAAAATAGTTTTTGACTAGATGATCGGGCTCGCATGGCTGCTCTTCAGTGGGAGAAGCCGGGAGAGGGAAGACAATAGCGAGCAACCCAGTCAGCATCCCTGGCACCCTCTTCCCAACTTGCCGCTCCCCCCCCCCCCCCATTTATTAACCCTTCCCATGGACATCTCAGAGGCAGGTGAGGCAGGTGAAAGGAAGGGTGGCCAGCACAGTGTCGTCACATGCAGCTGGAGGCTCCTTCTCTACGAGGCTCTTCTCAAACCCCTCCTTCAGAGATCCACATCCAACAAGGAGCATGGGAAGCTCTCTCATGCCTGAGGGCTCACCGGCGAGCTGAGGTTTGTGGGAGTGGGGCAGCATTTATTACCTTATGCTTTCAGCCACTCCGATCCCCCTTAGCAACCCTGCTGTGTGCCCCCTGCCTTCAACCCAGCTTGCAAGGTCAACAGTGATGAGCATAGTGACATCCATTCAAGCCAGGCACCACAGGGCCCCAGCTTGGGGGAAGAAACGGGCCGACGTGAGGGAGACAGCATGTCACCATACTGCCACCGACAGGAAATCGGTTGGGACAGCTGAATCCTTCTCATATCTGGCAAGATAGAAGGCTATTTCCACCCAATATAACAAAGTGCTTCTTTCACATTAAATACCATCTCACCAAATCCTAGTAACAACTTTGTGACAGGAGAGTGTCCATTTAAGATTCACTGCGCAATTATAAAGCTCGAGGCTCAGAGAGGTGGAGCGACTCTTCCAAGGTCACTTAGTTTAGGTACCGATATTTGGAGGCCAAATTGGGATAGCGGTGGAAGAAAAGGAGAGAGCAGAAGAAGAGATGGAATAGCTATGGCCAAGGACAAGGAGGTGGGCTGCTGGAGGAAGAGACTCAAGTAAAATTGTTGTGCTAGATCACCCTCCCCACCCCATGTCACCCCAGACTTCAGAAGATGCAGGAGAAGCTGTGCCCGCTAGGTGGGCGAGGGTGTGTCCCCACGCCCCAGGATAGGAGCTGGTAGGAGACAGGTCAGAACAGCTTGGCACAGTGGCCGCAGGCCTCCTTGTTCCTTGGGCTGGGTCCTTGGCTTTAGTGCCCCACGTGCAAGCTCTAAGCTGAATCTGGGTGCCAGGTTGGGCACCTGTGCTTCATGCCTGGCAGTACCGTGATTGATGGTGGGGGGAGGGAAGGGTGGCAGGTAGGAAGACTCAAGGATGGTCTTATAGAAGGGCCTCACAGATTAGCCTGGTAGAAAAACAAAGGTGGTGGTGGTAGGGAGAGGGGTTGGGGCTTTTGGATAGGACTGGAAAAATAAATCCAGCAAGACCAGACAAAGGCGCACGACCCTCACCTTTCTCTCGGTCTGTTCTGGAGACCAGTGCCGGGCTTCTCCTTTACTAAGGCTGCCGGTTCTCCAGAATCTCTTTGTTGTGTGCATAATTCTAGCTCTGAGGAGGGCTGGGATGGAGAAGGGTCTGCCCAGAGAACTGGAATGCTACCTAAAGACTCAAGTAAGACCAGGCTTCTGGGTGGAAGAGTCTGGGGCAGCAAGTGGAGGAGGGGTTTACAGATAATGGCCCCTGGCTTTATTGATGGGAACAATTGGACATTTTTTCAAGCACATGCAAAGTGCCATAAAAGCGCAGCCAAAACCCTTTCTTTTAAACACTCTGCCACTCCTGAGCCCCTCAAATAGAAATTTTGGAGCCATTACTATCTGAAACTGATAGATTTGAGGGGCGTGGTGATGGTAACGTTTGAATGGTAATATTTCAATTCAAATGGTTGAGGGGGAAAAACGAAACAATTCACAGTCTCTCCCAGAGAGGTATAAAATCAATCTGACTTAAAGACCGTCTGGAAATGAGTTGAGCAGTGCACTCAACAAGGGGTGGAGAAGCAGCCCCCACTGATTTGGTCTTGCCCCCCCCACCACCCTTTTCTCCAGACGTGCCAGCTGTTAACAAGTCTTCCCAGAGAAAGGTGCTCTCTTCCCTCCTGATTCCCATCGCTCACACTCAGGATGCCGCCCTTTTTTTTTTTTTTTTTTTTTTTTGTCTCTGAGATGTAATTAATTGCCTGAAAATGTCGAGGCTTAGCCTCAAACCGTTAAATGCACCTTTCTCGCCCTTGGCTTCTCCCTCAATAGCTCGAAGCAAATTTGGGGCAATTAGGGACTTCGAGTTTTCTAAAAGCTGCAATTAACGTCTAAATTTTCGCTGATTACAGACTTGGAGTACAGCACAGGGGGAAGGAGGAGGGGTCAGATCTGGGCTCAACGAAAACCCGAGACGGAAAAACTCTCTTCCCCGCCGGGACTCCTCTTACCCCGACCCGCGTCGCCTCACCTTGCAAGGAAACCCGCGCCCAACACAACAAAAACAACTGTCTCGCTTCCCGCCCTCCCCCGTAACAAAGCCCCAAACAGAGGGCTCCGGTCACCGCCCCCCGCGTCTCCCCTTCTCCAGCGGCGTCCAGGCGTCCTCTAGCATCCTCGATAATGGAACGACCTCTGGCCGGGACCGGGTCAGGGCCCCGTCTCTTTCAGCCTCCATCCTTTCGGCGCTCCCCCTTCCCCTTCCGAACAGCGCAGTCTCCCCACCTCCCGCACCCCCATCTTCTTCTGCAGTCCGTTTCATTAGGAAACTGGGACAAGACCTACTTGTGGGGCGCAGGTTGGCGGTATTAGGGTCCGCTCCCGCGTTGGAGGAGGTTGCCGAAGAAGAAGGGGTGGAAGACGCCATCAGCTCGGTCGTCCCGGGGCCTGTGCAATCAGGGGGTCTTCGGGTTCCCGAACAGTCTGGAAAGAGAAGCGAGAGCTGTGCGTGGAGTCCGGAGCGCAGGAGGCCCCCGAGCTGCGGGAGGAGGAGGTGGTGGTGGTGGCGGCGGTGCTGGTGGCGAGCGCGGACCGTCCCCCTTTAGTCCCAGCTAGGGAGAGAGGCTGGAGCAAGGGCAATCAGCGGGCTGGGTCGGGGTGCGCCCGCGGAGGTGGGGGTGGGGGAGACGTGCGCGCAAGCTCGGGGACTCGGGCGCAGTCCACGTAGCCTCGGGGCGGCTCTCCAGTCTGCCGGCGCAGCCGGGAGACGGGCTCCTGGCGGTGAGATTAGGCGGTGGGGTGTGGGGTGGCGGGCCAGACTAATGCGGGACGGTCGGGTGCGGGAGACAGGGCTGGGGAGGGCAAAGGAGGCTCAGAGAGCAATTTTCCAGTCCGGCCACGACAAGCCCCATTGGGCTCCCAGCAGCCGTGGGGGCAGTGGGGGAGGGGGGAGGGCGCACGGGGCGGGCACGTCTGGTTCGGTGTCTGGTTCCCGTTGTTGTGTCTGGCTAATTCCCTGGAAAGAAGAAGGCTAACTGCTTCGGGGACGCGGGCTTTGGTGAGACAAGGTGAGAGGAAAATCGGGTCGTTATCTTCACGTTCTCCCTCGGGTTTGTTCGGGGAACAACTCCAGTCACCTTGCGCTCCTGACAGCCAGAGAGCAGCGAGTCTGGTTTCCCACTCGTTCCACCCTTCTCGAAGCCTAGGACAAAGCTGGGCCCGCGTTCCTGTGTTACCCTTCACCCAATCCTTCGAAGATCCCCGACTTCCACCACCACCACCACCACCACCACCACCACCACCACCACCACCACCACCACCACCACCATTCCCCACTTCCCCCAGCCAAACCCGTACAGACCCGAAGAGGGAGAGGAGGCCAGAAGGCAAGGAAAGGGGTTGGATGTCATCGGGGAAACAGATTTGCGCCCAGCACGCGGGAGCTGGCGGACAAGACTCGGAGCGTTGCGCCCCTGCTTGGCGCACGGCGCTGGCTCCCTGACGTCCCCGGGACATAGAGACCGGGGATTCCATCTGGGTCGATGGAAGACCCCACAGTTTATCTCCCTGGCGTCGCGGGCTCTGCACCCTCCCCGGGAGCCTGCATTAAACCGCGCGCGCGCCGGAGCACAGCCACGCACGGCAGCCGGTCCCCGCCGCTGCGTGTGCGCAAGTAACAGGTTACCGCTCCGAGTCGCGCCGCTCGCTGTCGCTAGCCGAGGTCCTTTCGCCGAGACCTGCGCTTGCGGTGGGAACACGCAGGGTGAGATGGAGTGATCGCTCTCGCCCCACTTCTGCAGGATCCTTAGCTTCGGGGCGCCCTCGGGGCGTGAGTCTCGCCGGTCGGAGCGGGGTGCGAGCGCGGGAGTGCCTGCGCCTTTCACCCCTTACCAGCCGAGACCCGGGCCGGGCACAGGAGGCGTTCGGCTCGGGAGGGTGGAGAGCAATAGCCCAGGCTGGGGAGAAGAGGGGATTGCCCGAGCCCCGCGGAGGAAAAGGACGCAGTTCAATCCCCGAGTCCGAGTCGCTGCAAATCCCGGCGGCCGCGCCGAACCTACCTCGATTGGGTGATAGTCGGCGGGTGCGCTCGCTGCTGCTCTGCGCCGCGCCGGGAGATCCGCTCCGCTCGCTCTCTCGCTCGGGCCCTGGCACCGGCAGTGATCTGCTCGGCGTTGCCTTCCAGCTGCGAGTACCGGCCGGCACGCGAGCGCGGGGAGGAGAGGAGCGTGATCCCGAGCCGTGGCAGCTCGGCTTCGGGGGAGGCGGGGGCGGGCGGAGTGGGGAGGCGGGGACCGGCGCGGCGGGGGGAATCACGAGGCCGCTGCTCGCGGGGGCAGTTTGTCGGCAAAGCGACGGGGCTCCTTTGCAGGTGCCTGAACGCCTCCGGGGCTTTAGAGGGCGATTATAAATCCAGATCACGGTTTTGCGCCCACATCCCCTCAGCCCCCCCCCCCCCCCCCCAGCACCCTATGAGTAATCCAGAACGTACTCAACACGCTCTATTTTTTTTTTATAGGAAGGGTGTTGCGATAAGATTGTTCCTATGAAGAATTCTGCCTCGCTGAGCGCTTTTCCCTCCTACTGGCTCTCCTCCTCCCTCGCCCACGTCTTTGAGCAGACGAGAGCCGTGACTTTGCCTTTCCAGCGGTTCCGCCAGGTCTGTGACCTTCCTTGCGGGGAAAACGCGCTCTGGGTCGTGTCTCCGCTGACTTTCTCCTGGTCCAGCATTATTGGAGAAGCAGAGGAGGTAGAGATGCTGGGGGACATTCAACATTCCCTCCTTCCATTCTTTCCAGTTTTCTCATCTAACTCGGGGCCTTCCAAAGTACCTCACCTGAACACACCTCCCCAGTGCCCTTCGGCAGAGAAAAGGGTCCCGTCTCCCATCCACTAGGCATCGCCTCCTCCTAGCTTTGGTTCCCTCGGTAATAGGGAAAGTCCTCCTGATTGATCACATCTGAAGGTTAATAACACGCACGAGCGCTCCGCACACTCGGGGAAACCAAGCACAGAGGCGGCCCAGGGGAGGTGCGGGGAGGGAGGCGAGACGGCGGGGAGGGAGATCGGTGCTCTCTGTCCTAGACTCACCAGTCCTTCCCTCGCGTTTAAGACCATTCTCTCTTTGCCGTTTTTGAAGCAGGTTAACTGAATTGTCTGAGCTGGGGAAAGTCCCCAGCCCGGGAAAAGGCGATAGCAGGAAGTTTTCCAGCAGGGGGCGCCAAGCGCACAGAGTCTAGACGCTCCTCCCGCGCCCCCTCCAACACCTGGCCAGACTCTGTGACACTCGGGTCTCTTCAAGCTGTTTCTCTGCCACTCGTCACTAATTTCTGTTCTTTCCTCTGTCCCCGTTTCCTTCTCTTTAAGGCAAGACGACGTTGGTTTTTCTATGTGTAGGGGGTTGACACGGTGGAACCAAGTGATTTACTTGGTTCACAGTGATGTTCCCCCTGTCCCCGCAGCCCCCGTGGCGGAGCAGACGGCATGGGTTATTTATGGCACAGTCCGTGGCTTCGCTGGTCCACCGGAACCCCAGCCCTCCCCTGTGAACGTTTCATCATCTCTCCCCAAGACACAGGGTGGATGCCTAAAATCTTACAAATGGCTGAAAATTTCCATAAGGGAGAGTGAGGTGAGTGGATATAGTGTCGCCAATATAAACGGAATTTCGCTGTGGGATTTGAAAAAAACCACTTTGCTCTTGATACTAAAGAAAATGTTGCCTTCTCCTCTCCACCTGACACTAAAAGCTCGGGCACCTTTCAAGGAAAGAACGGCTGGGCCGCGGGAGCTAGGGTGGGCGTGCCCGCTCGGGCGGGAAATGCCCCTTCAAACCGCACCGTGCGCCCCTTCTCTTCAGAGGCTGGAATCTTGCGTTTCATACAGAGGTGAGCTCGAATCCCACCCACGCCCCCTTCCCAGAGATGATTTCACCAATCAGATCTCCCGGGGGTGGGGGGGGGGTGGGAGCGGAAACAATCGAGTTTAACATGAGCCAGGCCAGGAGAGAAGGTAGGAGGGGGTGCCACCTCCCGGCGCCCCTCCAAGTCCACTGGCCCAGGAAGACATTCGCTTTTCACCTTCGATTTCCCCCAGTTTCTTCCCAGATCCGAGACTCCCGCAAGCGAAGACTCCTTGCCCTTCAACCTGTGACATCCGCCAGAGAAAAGATCCAACCACTTTCTTTGCTGACCCCAGTGTCCAAAAGGCACCCCCTGGCTACTGATGTTTGAATCAGGAGAAGAATCTCGTTGAAAAGAGACATCTTATACGAACCTCAATTGGGAAGGTGTGGACACCTTCCCTCCCTTTACTTTGTGGAGGCGAGGAGGAAGAAATATAAGCTTTTGGTAGACCTTAACTTTCAAGAAAGCCTTTATTAACTACTCACTGTGTGGCATCAAGGGGCCCCAGCATTTTTCTTTGTTTCTTAGGCCACACCTGGGTTATGCTCAGGGGTTAGTCCTGGCTCTGCACTCAGGAATTACTCCTGACGGAACTCAGGGAACCATATGAGATGATGGGGATCGAATCTGGATTCGACACGTGCAAGGGAAGTGCCCTACCGCCTGTACTATCTCTCCACATGCTACGCTTTCCCCAGCCCCAGCATTTGCATGAACACCGCACCCAGAATTGGCTTTCCAGTTAGGCCGAGAGAATAACAGTCTTGGGGGCCTACTGACTTTGACTTCATTTCAAGCCATGTAACATTCGAACCCAGACCCCTGGATTCAGCGGAGAAGGGGAGTAAGGAACCCAGGCCCAGGAATCCACTCAGCTCCAGCACTTAGGTTGGAGAAAGGGCACGCGTTTCAGCACAAGAGTTTCAGCACCAAGGACAGCGCCCAGCCCAAGGACAGGCTCGGTCCCTGAAGCCTCGCGTAGGTGCTTTCCGGCTCGGGCGTGAAGCCCATCCGCTCAGCTGCCCGCGCCCTAGTCTGTGCCCGCACGGACCGCGGTTTGTTTTCCCTTGTTGCGAGGTGGTGGGGGGGCGAGGGCGGGTGTTTTCCACCCCCCTCTTCTCCTCCCGGGTCAGAATTTGCAAACCGAGGGTGACTGTGACTGTCTTTTGGCTCTTGAGAACCTTTGGAATCTTATGTTTTTGTTTTTGTTCTCGTACACTTCCTTTTGTCTGTTATTACTCCCGGGGGATGATAATCAGGATCATGGGGGTGGAAGAAAGATATCCTCTCCGGGGACGGGAAGCGGTGGCCTGGGGTGGCCCGGAAAGGAGTGGCGTCTGCCCGGCTGTTTCGTTTGCATTTCATCTAAGGCTTGGAGCTTTGAAGAGCAACGCGACCCCCAGAGGCTGAAAGAGGGGGCGAGTGCAACCCACCGGGTCTTGGCCCCGCTCTTTCCCCTGGGGTTGGGGATTTGGATTGAAGACTGTCCCCAGTTCACTCTGTTAGCCATGGGCTACCTTCCTTAAAGAGGTCAAGGGTGCCCGGGATTTAGGAACACGCCCCTCCGCCCACAATGCTCTTTCCTAGGGAGGTTTAGAGATGTGCCAACTGGATTTGGTACATTTTGTAAAAGAAAAAAAGGAAAAGACAGGTGCAAAGTAAGGGGTGGGAAGGTGTTCCAGCAGGCTACAGAGGGACATTTTCCCCCTTCCCGTAAAAAGATGGTTCACATCAAGGTGAGTAATAAACATTTTTGGGAACGCATTTTAACAGTTTTAGCCTCCAGGAAAGGCGATTTTGAACCACCGGTGTTAAGTTCTTTACAGCCAACTCTTTACCTCTACTTTAAGTACCTAGATTATAACACCACCACCACCACCACCACCACCCCACCGCACCACCCAAACAAGAAACGGGGGCGGGAGGGGGGCGGGGGATGGCTGTGTTTGCCTTTTAAATGTCTGTTTCTGAGATGAGGGCTGTGGGAAGCAGAGATAACCTTACACTAGGTTTAGGTTTATTAAGCATTCGGGTACTTTAAACACGCGCCGCCCACCTTCCCAATCATTAGATCCTTACAGACTTTGCCACGTTCTGCACTCACTCCCGGGAAACAGGAAAGGGTTAAAAGGGTGAAGAGAAAGGCGGAATTCCAGGCAGAAGACTGGAAAGGACTCCGAAAATTACCACCTTTTCTTCTAAAGAGCTGAGTTCCTCGGATAACCGCCAAATACCCCATTCCCCTTGATACTCAGAAGATTGAAATACTCTAATATTAAATAAATTAATCAAGGAGGGCAGTGTGGTTTGTATTTGGTCATGTACAAATAAATCCTCTGCCCATTTTGCTGTTGCAAACACTATAGTGTAACCACCAGGTGGCGATAGATTACAATTTCTGAGAAGGAAAGCTCCAGGCTTTTTCCTTCGTACATACCCGGCCATATTTCATAAACCAGGTTCTTTTTGGGCTTGTTTTCGTTTGTCTTTCTAATACTAAGTAATGCTGCTAGACGTGGTTTGGAACACATAGGGCGAAAAAGATGAGGATAGATCTGCAGAGCTGCAGCCTAAAGGCAGCCATAGAAAGGGAACCAGGGTATTGGACTTTACTAGGAAACTGGAGACCAGAGAATTATTAGCTCTTGACTGCAGTTTTGACAGAGAGATTTTAAGATGTATCTGGTTTTTGTTCTTTCAACAAAACCAAGGTAAAAGAAAATCAGTGCTTTCACAAAGGAGTGGACCAAGCAAGAAAGATAATTTCCTAGGAATTGCCAATTGCAACTCCTGTATGGGTCTCACAGGAGTAATAATGTATTCTTTTCTTTACATGAAAAGATCTTCAGTTATTTACAATTGACAGTAGTTCTTCCTTGTATTCAGATTTAGTTGCCTGGTGCTTTTGTGAGAAGGTTCTTGAATGTTCTAATTTAGTAGGAGAGAATATAACAAATACTTATTTTAGACTGGATTCCTTCCCTAATCCTGGTTACTCAGTAAGCAAACTTGAATCTTAATGGGAAGGAGGGATGTTATTGCTGTTCTAGTTCAGTCCACTTCATGCCAAAAATTTACATGTAAGGGTTCACTGGAGGGGCTGGAAATGTAGCTCAGCAGGAGAGCTTGCCCTGCATGTGTAAGGCACTGGGTTCTATCCCTGGCAATACAAAAATGAAAAAAGAGCTGACCAAAATTTATTCAAGACCAAGAAGTTCACATCTGCAAGTCACTGCCAGGGATATTCCCAAAGCAGTCATTCTCTGGTGCTCATTCTAGCTTACCTTTAGTCAAAGGACTGAGTTTTCGTTTCCTTTGCTTTGGGGTAAGTTAGGAATATTTTAGCAATATATGATCTGAGTCTTCTAGTAGTCCTTAAATGTGCAGATTAAAATAATGATCAGTTTCCTATTGGCGTTATAGGCAACAAGCCCTGAACAGCATGAGAACATTTGAACTGGTAAAGCTTTCTCCCTCATCCCTAGAGCAGGACTGTATATGCTCCTCTCCACTATCTGCATGTTGGGTATGATTTGCTTTAGCCAAATCACCATGGAGTGGAGCTGAATTCTAGACCAGTGAGTTTGGGGGTGATGTTTCATTTGTTTTGGAAAGAGAAAAGTACCTGACAAATCAGCTGACCCTCATGTACCTAAAAGGGAGTACCAGAGTGATACCCAGAAAGAAAGAATGGGCTCAGCCTGGTCCAGCAGTGGTGGTGGTGGTGGTGGTGGTGGTATAGAATAGCAAGGTAGGGTGTTAAGACATCTGTTTCATAATTTACATTAAAATGTGTTTTTTTGTTTTTTTTATTTATTTTTAGTGAAACACCATGAGGTACAGTTGTAGATTTACAATTTTTTGTGCTTGGGTTTCGATTTTTGGTGGAATTGACCAAGATGGCCTTAATTTGGACACTTGTTTTATTTTTTGTTCATACCTGGTGATGCTCAGGGATCACTCCTGGTGGTGCTTGGACCATTTGGAATGTGGGGGATTGAATGCAAGTTGGCCGTGTGTAAGGCAAGAGCCCTATCCTCTATACTATTGCTACTGCCCCTTAACTGGACACAAGTGCTCTGCCATGGGTCCTACCACAGGCATTTGCACCATGTGTTGTTGTTCCTTTGCTATCCTTGCTGTGACCAGCCTCCCTGTGTGGCCCCTTAAGGCATGTCCAGTGCCTCCTCCAGGCCTGAAGTCAACTCAATTTCACTTTCCCTTTGTGGTCTTTGTTGAATCCAAACTATCCAACATCCCAGAACACTACCAAACATGAATTTGACAAAGACTACAACCAGGCAGTGAGAGAATCCGAGTGCTGCAGTATGAGGTCTTCATCACACATGAATGGTTTTGAAGGTGGAGGTAAGAAGGCTGATAAGAAACACAGATGGACTCTAGAAGACGGAAATGACAAAGAACGGGGTTCCAGTCTCCTGAGGGAACACAGCCTCCCTGACATCTTGTTCTTGGTATAATGAGGTGGACTGTGGGTCTTTTGACCTCCAGAGTTATGAGAAATCTGTGTGTTGGGGTCAGAAAGCTAACTCAATGGACTGAGTGCATGCTTTGCATGTGGGACCAGGGTTCAATTCCTGGTACTGCATGTTTCCCCCAAACACTACCTGGGAGAGACCCCTGGACACAGAGTCTGGAATCTTCCCTGAATAATGCTAGAAGTGGCTCCAAAACAAAATTTGCATGTTGCATCCTATTTGCCATTTGTTATAGCAGTCACAGAAAACTAATGTACTTCCCGTACTCAACTTCTATAAGCAAACTGCCACTTTCTTTTTATTTTTTCCTTGCAATTTAAGATGAATTGTTATTAGTGAAACACCATGAGGTACAGTTGTGGACTTACAAATTTTTGCACTTGGATTTCAATTATACAATGATAAAATACCCATCAAACTGCCACTTTCTCCATTAAATCTGCTTTTCTGTGTTCCTTTCTCAGACTAGCACCTCTATCCATAGTTTTGCAATAGGGAGTCATCCTTCACCTCCACCTCTCTCCCACATATAATTCACTAACCTTTTCCTCAAATAGGTATCTCCTTTCTACTGCGTCTCTATTAGCTCTGTTAATGCTATAATTTGATCTGCTAGAATTACTATGTGACACCATAGCTCTGCTCCACTTTTTTTAAAAATTTTTATTAGTGAAACACCATGAGGTACAGTTGTAGATTTACAAATTTTTGTGCTTGGGTTTCAATTATACAATGATCAAATACCCATCCCTCCACCAGTGCCCATTTTCCACCACCAGGAATCCCAGTATCCCTCCCACACCCATCCCCCTGATCCCCCCCTGCCTCTGTGGCAGGGCTTTTCCTTTTGTTCTCTCTCTCCTTTTGGGTGTTGTGGTCTGCAAAAGAGGCACTGAGTGGCAATCATGTTCAGTCCATAGTCTACTTTCAACATGCATCTCCCCTCCTGGGAGGATCCTCCAAACACCCTTTATTTGGTGCTTCCTTCTCTATCTGAGCTGCCCTTTCCCCTAGAATGGCCGGCTGGCCTCTAAGCTATGGAGTAATCCTCCTGGTACTGATCTTGGCTATTTTTGGGTATTAATCTCCTATTTTGTTATTACTTTATGTTCCCCAGATGAATGCAATCTATGTTTATCCCTCTCTTTCTGACTCATTTCGCTTAGCATGATAGTTTCCATGTAGTACCACTTGTATGTAAATTTCATGACTTCATCTTTTCTGACAGCTACATAGTACTCCATTGTGTAGATGTACCAAAGTTTCTTTAACCAGTCATCTGTTCTTGGGCACTCGGGTTTTTTTCCAGATTCTGGCTATTGTAAAGAGTGTTTATGAGACATTCTTAACAGTAGGTTTTTTTTTGGGGAGGGGGGTGGTCACATCCAGTGATGCTCAGGCGTTAATTCTGGCTCTGCACTCAGGAATCACTCCTGGTGGTGCTTGGGGGACCATATGGGATGCCGGGGATTGAACTCAGGTCTGCCGCATGCAAAGCAAATGCCCAACCCATTATACTATCACTCTGGCCCCGGACTATGCAGATATTCTTACTTCACTAAGGAGTATGAGTAGAATGAAGAATATGAGGATGCTGATTATCTTTCATGTGTAACAAAACTTGAACGTCCTAGACTTAATTATTTCATGGTCTGTGATACCATGACTTTTCAGTCAGACTTTCTTCTTAAAAATTTTCCCTTTCCTTTAACATCCTGATGCTGGTTCATAGTTGAACGTGGTTTAACTAGTACAAATTGCAGGACGGTGTCAACATGTTAAAACTAGAAGTCACTTGGTGGAGGGTGTGGTGTTGATACTGCATGAAGAAAATCCTATCATTAACAGTACTGCAAATCAGTCCCTCAAGTAAAACCTAAAAAAAACCCCTAAAATTCTATTAGTATAAAATTAGAGTATTTAGGGTGTGGAGGAACAGCTCAGTAGCGTAGAACATCTGCCTTCAAGCATAAGGTCATGTTCAATGTCACCACATGAGCCAAGTGAGTCTGGCAGCTCTGTCTACAATCCCTGGCACCACAAGTGATTTCTAGCCCAATTCTAGCTGGGTGTGAGGTCTCTGGCCAGCAAGTACCCAATTAAAAGCTCTGAATGTACCACCAGGAAGTATGACCACTGGTGAGCATGTGTAAACACTAAAGTAATTGCTGGTGAGCACAACCATATTGTGCACGAGCATAACCAAAGGACAGTGACCCTGGTCAGAATGTGGGCAAGCATCACAGCTGAAAGAATGCAGCCTGGCCAGCATGGCAGCTGAGTGTGAACACCACAATCTGATGTGTGAGCCACCATTGAGCCTCAGAACTAAACTGAGAACGTTCCAGTCAGCCCTACATGTGACACCCAAACACCCTCCCCATAATAAAATCAGTCACAATAATGAAGGGAAGGGAGCAATACAAAAATATAAAGTCTTATAAATGTTCCACAGAGAAAATAACTTCTTTTGGGACTAGAGAGTAATACTGACCATAGGATGCTTGCCTTGCATGTGGCTGACCTGGTTTCAATCCCAAGCATCCTGTATGGTTTCCTGAGAACTATCAGGAATAATTCCCGAGTGCAAGAGTCAAGAATAACCCCTAGGCACTGCCAGGTGAGGCCCAAGACCCAAAACCAAACAAACCCTTCACTTTACTTGGTGTGTATGTGCATATAGCAAACACACTCTCTCCCATTACTGATCAGACACTTGTCCAATTGCTAGGAATGTAATAGAGAAAGACAAAGTTCTGCTTCAAGGAAATTACCTTTCACAGAAAACTGAAAATGAATATCAGGTACTAATTTATGCTATAAAGAACATAAAACAAGTTGTATAAAACACAGCTGAATGGGCTGGAGATAGAAGTGACTGAAGTGGTAGTTATGGGAGATGCTTAAAGTCTTGATTATGGACCATAATGTCCATGGACCAATCAATAACTGTATGATGCAATACAAACTACCTACCCTCTTTCTCCTCTGTGACCATTTTCTTAATCTGTCGAATACAATAATAGTACTCACCTATGGGGTGGCTGGACTGAATCAATACGGGAAGAGCTGCTTGAACAGTAACTAGCATACAATGCTTTGTAACTGGCTTCAATGATTACTTTCTTCTCTGGGTAATTTGCTAATCAACACCTCAATACTAAGGAGTTCAAACTAAGAATATGGATATAAATCAAGAGAACTCTGAAAGGGATGGAGAGCTTGTTCAAAGGGGTAGAGCCCATACACCAGGTGGGGACACCCAAGTTTGATCCCTGGCACTGTGTGGCATTCTGGACATCCCTGGGCCCAAGAAACACCACTTCACTGGCCTGAGCACTGAATCTTCAGGTGTACACAGCTGAGTCAAATAGCACTGGGAGTGTCCTCTGGGCTCCCCTCGGGAGCCAAACAAACAAGCTCTGTATCAAACAACGAAAAAAAAAAAACAAACAAACCCAGAATCCTTTATATTTTTCATGCATGCAGTAATGAAAACACACGGCATTTATAGCACAGCAGCAAGTCTGGTCAGTCATCCTCACATTCATCAGAGCTTTCTTCGCTTGGATCCTCGCTGCTTTCTCCTTCACTCTCACTGCTGCTGTCCTCTTCACTCTCTTCATCACCTTCCTCAGGACTCTGAGTTTTTTCTACCACAGAGACAATTTGATTACAAGGACTACTTTTTCCTTGAAAAACCATTAATTTTTTCTCCCTCTACAAAGAAAATACCTTGAAACCAAAAAATGAGCTAAAGTTTGCTAAAAAACGACATAAAGACATCCCCACTAGCATAAACATGTTCACACATTTTAAGTAAAATGATAGTACAAAGGTTAAGCACCTGCCTTGCATGTAGCTTATCTTGGCTTGATTTCCTGAGTACCTGAGTTTGGTCCCAGTGTGCTCAAAAAATCCAAATAAAGTAAAAAACTAAAATATACCTCTCTGTAAAAGTATTTTTCACTAAGATAAAGTTATTCTCACTTAAGTAGGGTAAGAGTTAGTAAGTTTTGGGTAATTTAGAGGGACTAGGCTTTCCTTAGGACTATGGTATCAGCCTTTCAACATGTGGGGGCGATTAGCATGTTGTTTCCTCTGAAGGTGCCTAGTGCCCAGGAAGCCTGGATTGCTCAGTGGTCCCACTGCATCAAGGAAAGGGAGTATTATTCAGACAGGGCGAGTGGGTATCATTATACCTTCTCTCTCTCTCTCTCTTTTTGCTTTCTGGGTCACACCCGGCGAGGCACGGGGGTTACTCCTAGCTCTGCACTCAGGAATTACTCTTAGCGGTGCTCAGGGGACCATATGGAATGCTGGGAATCAAACCCGGGTTGGCCGCATGCAAGGCAAACACCTCCCCGCTGTGCTATCACTCCAGCCCCTCATTATACCTTCTAAGGCAATCACAGAATCTTTCATTAATCCACTTCATAGGGATATATTTCTCTAGTCTTCCGAGATAATGTTTTTTTCTTAATTAACATAGTGACTATTGGTAATGCTGAGAAAGATATTTACCCATCTGCAACATTTCTTCAATAACTGAGAAAAACTCCTTGGCTTCAGGATTTTCTGGTTCATAGATCAGGACTGCAAATGGATAACAGAATGAGAATTACAAATGTTCAAAACATTTCAACAGATTTCTGAGAATAAGCCAGAAAGTGTCAATCAGATTAAGTGAAGATGCACAAAGTGATAAATGCCAACTACTACTAAGAACTTAGGTTTATCTAAGTGCAAATACAGAAAATTCACTTTTCATCTGTAAAGATGAAACTTAGAGAGAATGTACGTGACTTGTTGGTGTAAGGTCCTGGGCCAGATCCCCAGTAAACCAGTAAACCAGTAAAACACACACACACACACACACACACACACACACACACACACACATACACACACACACACACAATATTTAAGAGAAAATCAGTTTTCAAGTAGGGAAGGTGTTTCATTATGAAAAAAAATATCATAGTTCACAACTGACACCACCTACTTCATTTCCTCTCTTTATCAGACCCATGTTTTAAATACTATTTATGTCTCTTAGTTGATCCTTTGTGTAAAGGTATATTTTTCCTTTGGACTATAGTCAATAGACCTTGGGGGACTTATTGGTAAGCTGCCACTATCCAAAAGTATACTTTTCATTACAGAACCTTCTAAACCTTTACTTATTTAAGATTTTGCTCTGCAGTTTTCTTCCTATCTGTTTTTACAACTGCACAAAGGGGCATCAAAAGCTGTGAATCCTGGGGCTGGAGTGATATTACAGCAGGTAGGGCATTTGCCTTGCAAGAGGCTGACTCGGGTTCGATCCCCAGCATCCCATATGGTCCCCGGAAGCACCACCAGGAGTAATTCCTGAATGCAGAATCAGGAGTAACCCGAGTATCTCTGGGTGTGATGCAAAAGGAAAAAAAAAAAAAGCAAAAAAAAAAAAAAGCTGTGAGTCCTGAGCAATATCCCGATGGCCCCCAGGGGGCACTGAAACATCATGTGCTGTTTGCCTCAATCAGCAAGTGATGTCTGCAGTTGGTTCTACCATGTCCCACTGGGCCTTTACCCCATATGACTTTCATCTTCACAAGAAAGTGTCATTTCCTGATCCACCTATATAATATCAGTCTGGGTTGGCATGTCTGTATCTTTTATGGATCTTAAAGGTATTTATGAATAGTTCAAGGTTCTAATAAAAGCAACTTTTTATGCTTTGTAACTCTGAGCAAAATATGCTTATCATTAATTAAGCAGGCTAAATCTTTCCTGGAATAAAACTCTTTCTAGAGCAGGGTTTCCCAATTTCTTCCTTAACATACTGTTTTTGGGGGTGACGAAGGTAGCTCAAAGGGCTGGAGAGTACTTTGCATGCTTATAGCTGGCCCGAGTTTGATCTCTGGCACCACCTGCCCAGGTGTCAGGACAGCCAGGTAAGGCTCTGAGGGTGCTGAGGGCCCAGTACCACTGTACCTCAGTGGGACACCACATGGCCAGGCCAAAACATGAATAGTTTAGTCCAGCTGACTGAGTATTGTCTGAAAGATCCTCTCCCCCCCTCAAAAAACATTTCTCTTTTCCTATGAAGTTAATATACAATATTTGAGAAATGAATTAGATGAAGCTAATCATGTAAATACAGCTTACAGTAAGGAGTACTTACAGGATTTTACAGAACCTTTAATATGGTCATAATCATTTCTAATCATCTGGGAATGGACACAGGATCACACCTGCAATGCTCAGGGGCTACTCCTGGTTCTGTGATGAGGGGTCAAGTCACTCCAGGCAGTGCTTGGAGGACCATACATGATGCAGAGATAAAATGCAAATTTATTATGTCTCTGATCCATTATTATGAATCTTACAGAGAGGAATCCTAATGTAGTTTCACAAATTTATTATTCCTATGCAATTCCTTTCAGTGGTCAAGTGATCAAGTGCTCAAAATTTTCCTAAAACAGTGCTCAGAAAATTTTGTGTTGTTGAGATGTTGAGGGTCATACTTGGTTGCTATGTGACTCGGTTCAACCCTGTCTGTGTCTGGGATGGTAGTTGGTGATGTGGGTGGTGCTAGGGATGGAGATTTCAGTCTCACACATACAAGACAAGTGTGAACCTACTAAGGCCTCTCTCTGGGCCTTCGCTTTTTTTTTTTATATATATATCTTTGTGTTTTGTTATAGAATAAGAATTTTTGTTACTGTTATTATTAGCTAGTATAAACATTGCTGGAAAAACTTTCAAAGCAAAATCAAAATCTACCAAAATTTGTTGGTAATTGTCAGTTTTGAATGGACAAAGGCATCTGCTTTGAAAATGGAGTAGCATAGGCTGGAGGATTAGTACAGAAGGCAAAGTACTGGCCTTACACATGGCCAACCGGTTACAACCCCTGGAACCCCACAAGGTTCCGTGAACCCCATCAGAAGTGATCCTTGAACACAGAGCCAGGAGTAGGCCATGACCAGACTGGGGGCGGGGAGAGAGAGAGAGAGAGAGAGAGAGAGAGAGAGAGAGAGAAGAAAATTAAAATATAATGGTAAGTGAAGGCCTGGAAAGGGACCAAAACCCTTGCAACCACATCAACGTTCTAAAGACTTCAGTGGAATTCACTGCCTCAGGACTGAGCTCCATAAAGAATCCAATCTACCAAAAATTTCAGGTACATGGGGATTTTGGGCTGAAAACTTGGAGAACTTGGAGAACTTGGATGGGTGACCTCCCTCTTTCTCCCATACTTCCAGATGGCTCGGCAGCCATGGCCACATCCCACTGCCATCAGGTAAGCATATATATGGGCCTTATTCCAGAGACTCATAAATGAATTTCAAAAGAGATTAACAAGCTGAAAAAATTTCTCAGATACCTATTCCTGGTTGAGACCTCTGGGGTGATAGGAGTGAGGGCAGGCCAGCTCCCACCCTAATGAGGGCCCTGCAGCTGGACTCATGCCCCAAAGCCTCCACCATGCCTCAGGTTGGACTGTTCAGTTTAATATTCTAGATTTTCTGGGAGTGTGGGCCACAACATATTCAAACTATAACTTACTGACATCCCAGTGACAGAACATCAGATTGGATGAGAATGTAATATAGAAGTCAACCAGTCTCAACTAACAAAAACATTAGCACAGAAGGCTCAACTATCAACATAGCTTAGACAAGGACTTCATGCTCCCATGGCAATATACAACCATTTTCACAAATTTTATTCTACTGAAACATTTTTTGATCATTCCATTAGCTATTTAATAGTAATAAGCACAGCGGTAGGGCGTTTGCCTTGCACGCAGCCAACATGGCCGACCCGAGTTCCATTCCTCTGCTCCTCTCGGAGAGCCCGGCAAGCTACCGAGAGTATCTTGCCCGCACGGCAGAGCCTGGCAAGCTCCCCTTGACGTATTCGATATGCCAAACACAGTAACAACAAAGTCTCCAATGGAGACGTTACTGGGCCCACTTGAGCAAATCGACGAACAACAGGAGGCCCTTTACCTTTAATAAGCTATATAAAATAAAATTTTTGTGGGCCTGCTACAGGGGAGGCTTGAGGGGTGGATGGGAAAATAAAGACAATGGTGGAGAGGAAGGTGATGGTTGTGGTGAAATTAGTGTTGGAATACTGAGTACCTGTAACGAATCATCATGAACAACTTTGTAAACCACAGTGTTTAAACAGTGGGAAAAAATAAAATAAATTTAAAAAATAGTAAGAATGACTAGTAAAAATATCACAATCAAAATAGGCAGAGTATGTGGGCACTGAAGAGATAGTACAGGAGGTGAGGTGTTGGCATGGTATGTGACAGACCCCAACCCCCCATAAAAGAAAAGAACTCAACTTTTAGTCCCATTTATAAACCCTTCCCAGGGTGTTCAGTGGTATACAGGAAATGGGATGAAGCAGGGATGGCAGTTCTGTGTGAGGCACTAGGACAGCAGCTGAGGAAATATCAGGATCATATAACAACTGTATAGAAGACAAAATTTAAACCTATAGGTTGGAGAGATAATACAGCAGGAAGGGCACCTGCCTTATATGCAGCTAGCTGGGGTTCAATCCCTAGTACTCCATATGGTTCTCTGAGCACTCTAGGAGTGATTCCTGAGCACAGATCTAAAGGTAAGCCCTGAGCACCACCAACAAACAAAAACAAACAAGAATAAATAAAATTTAAAACTTTTCCAGCAGATAAAATTTCTGGAGGAAAATCAATAGGAATTTTTAAAATGCCAGACAAAGAAAAGAAAAGAATCCCAAGGCACCTGGGATACCAGGTGGGAAGCCCTGCAGATATAAAGGTATAAATGAACAGCAAGTAAACAGCCCAGAAGCCAGAGACTTTCCACAGGAAAATGAATTTATGAAACATTTCTGTGAGAAAAATGCCATATTGTCATAAAAATTAATTGCCTTTAGACACACGTAAAGAAAATAAGAATATTAGTCAACCATAGGAGTCATTTTAAGCATGACTGAACCCCGAAAGTCTCTCTTTTCCAATCTCTTGCCTGCTTGACCGGAAATAGAAGCTGATTAATGACAGAATGGAAAGGAAAGGAAAGGAGAGGAAATCAGAGACTTTCAAGTCAGACTGGACCTAATTCTAACTTTCCTACTTAGTAGCTTTAAGTGTAAATTAGTTACCCTTCCTAAGTATCAGTTTCCCAGCTGGAGTGATAGGGAAGAGGGTAGGGTGCTAGCCTTGTATGTGGTCAACCTGGGTTCAATCCCCAGCATCCCATATGGTCCCCCAAGCACCATCAGGATTAATTCCTGAGTGCAGAGCCAGGAGTAACCACAGAGCACTGCTGGGTATGGTCCAAAACAAAACAAAACAAACTCAACAAGTCTCAGTTTCCTTAACTATAAAATGGGTTAATAATCTTCTCCCTTGCACATGACTGGCCCCAGTTAGATTCCCAGCACTGCATATGGTCTCCTGGGCACCACCAGGAGTGATCCCTGAGCACAGAACCAGGAATAAGCCCTGAGCACTGTCCAGTGTGGTCCCCAAAACAAAATAAAAAACTGTCTCCAGGGCAATGAGACATGGGGAGTGGGATGGGAACAGTGAAGTAAAGGGGCTAGGGAGACCTTGAGACACTGGTGGAAAGAAATGGGCACTACAGTGGCAGTATGATATTGTAATGTTGAGTTCATGAAACTCTACCATTGACAGTATTGCAAAATTGTCAATTACGATCACTGTCACTGTCCTCCCGTTTTTCATCGATTTGATCAAGGGGGCCCGGTAACATCTCCATTGTGACAATTGTTACTGTGTTTGGCATATTGAACGCATCACGGGTAGCTTGCCAGGCTTTGCCATGCGGGCGAGATACTCTCGGTAGCTTGCCAGGCTCTCCAAGAGGGACGGAGGAATCGAACTCAGGTTGGCCATGTTGGCTGCGTGCAAGGCAAACGCCCTACCCGCTGTGCTATCACTCCAGCCTGTCAATTACAATTAAAAAAAACACACACGAAAAATCCAAAGTCACAGAACTATATTGTATTGTGTGTGTGTGGGGATGGGGGTAGGGGACACAGCACATCTGGTGGTGCTCTGGGCTTCTGGATGATGCTAAGGGGATCATGTGGTACCAGGAATTGAAGCCGGTTCCTGAATGAAAAGTAAGTGCTCAGCACTTTGAACTCTTTCTTGGTCCTCACAAAACTGTTTTAACAATCAAACAGTGTATACAAGAATGTTCCCACAGTAATACATAATAGGTATACATGATACCTGTAATGTATAAATAATATATGAACATGTAATCTATGTTTACACAAATATATAAAGATAAAAGATGCATGTTCAATTTAGAAAAAGAAACAAAAATACACCATAAACCTAGGCTCTGCACAGTCCGTAAGCACTTCCAGCAGTGAGAGCCAAACATGAAGACTAGAGTAGTCCGGGCACCAACAGACATAATCCCCACCTCACCCCTACTCCTCAGGACAGAAGTTTCTCATTTCACATAGAGCAAAAGCAAAGACTCTTGCATTGTGCACACAATCTGCACAATTCCCTGCTTATAGTTTCTCACTCATTTCCCATCACACCCCTTCCTTGCTTTCCCATGGGCCTCTCAGCACATTTGCCATGAGCCTGCCAGGGACTCACTTCCTTCAGATGTCTGCACAAATGACTTCAACTTCTCTGCTCAAATCTTGAAGTGAGGCCTTCCTCTTCCCGACACTTTCTATTCATTTGTGACACAATATTTACGTGTTTATCATTTAGGTAAAAATGTGGATTTATCAGTCTTGTTGATATCTGCATTTCTAGTTCCTATTACAGTGCTTAGGATATATAAGTACTCAAATACCTGTGGGATAATTGTATGCTAATTAAGATTTGCTGCATTACCTTACCCTTTGAGACTAAAAGCATGAAGTTGCAACCCATTATTACAAGATTTTGACTTATTTTAATTGACCCCTCTCAAGTTAATCTGGAAGTCTAAATTAGTCCTTATTACGAACAATCTAACTTGCTACCTCTGAATCAACAACACACTAACATTCATGAGATTTAAGATTCTCTGGTCATCTAATATTGCATAAAATTTGTTTAGTAGCAAAGAGAAGATTGGAAATGGAAAAGTATTTTGCACTTACTCATTTGACATAATTTTTTTGCCAGATGGTAGTCATGACCCATTTCTGCTCTCAGAAACTGGAAAACAAAGAAATTTTTCATTTAAATCATTTCAGATAGAAATTACATGTCAACTGTTAACTCCTCAGAAAATATTCCACTAATGATTATTCTGCTTTTAATATGCATTCATGGTTTTCTAGGAATAAGTATATAATCAACCAAAATTTTTAAGGACCTCTCATAAGAGCAAAGAAACAATAGAATATGTATGGTACCTCTATACTACCTACCATTTGTTAACTGAATTCTATCAAATCCCCTATTTTAACTTATATTTAGTTTAAAATTTAAGATTATGGGGCTGGAATGATAGTACAGCGGGTAGAGCCTTTGCCTTGCATGCAGCCGACCTGGGTTCGATTCCCAGCAATCCATATGGTCCCTTGAGCACCGCTAGGAATAATTCCTGAGTGCAAAGCCAGGAGGAACCCCTGTGCATTACTGGATGTGACCAAAAAAGAAAAAAAAATTAAGATTATAATTATGCATGTTCAATTTTCCCCAGTATTAATCTTATTTTTTTTAATCTTATTCTTTTGCTTGTATTACCTTCATTATATTATTTTTGTGATAAAAGAACAAATCTTTGCAGACAGAAATTTATTTGATGGTTTACAGTTTTAGGTAACATCTAGCTATGCTTAGGGTTTACTCCTGGTGGTGCTCAGGAGACCATATTTGGTGCAAATTAAACTGGGTATTCCACATGCCAGACAAGCACCTTACCTGCTATAATCTTTCTCTACAGTCACATACGGAAAAATTAAAAGTTAAATACTCTGTCCCAAACTACAAAGTATGTATATTTCCAACATCCAGAGATATTTTAACATCTTCATATATATTGTTTTAATAGATTTTCTACAAATAAACATATTGAGAGACATTAGGATTATTTAGTAATATTGGAATGGGGGGTGAGCTATTCCTGGTGATATTCAGAGCTTACTCCTCGCTCTGCTCTCAAGAATTATTTCTGTCAGTGTTTTGGGGACCTTAGAGACCGAACCTGCATCAACCACATGCAAGGGAAACCCCTTACCCACTGAACTATTGCTCCAGTCCCAGCAATTTTTAAAAATAAATCAATGATTATGATCATTTTTGTCTCCATGAATTAAATTAATTTGTACTGTTAACTTAAAACTTACTCAACTAGGCGCCATCTTTGAAACGTTCAGAATAAGAGAAGGAACACATGGAGGGTGCGGGATCCCGGAGGAAAAGAAAAAAGAAAAAACAGGTTCCAAAAAGAGCCGAGAGCACCGGGAAGTTCCAGATGGAGTAGGCGCCGCATCCCGCCTCCCCCAGATGGAACCCTGGTGACCAGAAGCCTCTACAAACACAGCTCGAGTATGCGGGAACGAGGACTTTTTCTCAAAACCGCGCGGCCGCTTATGCGGCCGCGCAACATCTCTCTATATACAAAGTGATCAATGAGAAGTAAACCACCCAATCTTTCTCCCTGAAAATCAGAGTTAAGTTTGGAGCATGGCCACAGCCCCAGAAACACAAGGACTTAATGCAGAAACCAGCAGCTTAGAGCAGAAAAGTGAACGGACGATGCGTTAACCCAGGCCATCATTTCTGCCCAGAGGGGAAAAGGGCGTTGCCCCATTCGCCCTCTCTTCTCTGGAAAGAAGGATGGCGGCCGCATGGGAGCCTTGTGGACAGCAGGTATGAGCCGGGGGTGTGGGGGCGACTAAAACCTCATGGGAAGAGGGGCGTTCTGGTCCGTCCTTCACGCCCTACCGAGGTCACCAGTTGCCCCCCACGAGCGGCTCCCCAGCACGGCCACAGACCCAGAAGCACAAGGACTTAATGCAGAACCCAGCAGCTTGGAGCAGAAAAGTGAAAGGACTATGCGTTAATCCAGGCCATCAAGTCTGCCGGAGGGGAAAGGGTGTTGCCCCATTCGCCCTCTCTTCTCTGGAAAGAAGGATGGCGGCCGCATGGGAGCCTTGTGGACAGCAGGTATGAGCCGGGGGTGTGGGGGCGACTAAAACCTCATGGGAAGGGGGGCGTTCCAGTCCGTCCTTCACGCCCTACCGAGGTCACCAGTCACCCCTCACAAGCGGCTCTACAGCACGGCCACGGCCCCAGAAGCACAAGGACTTAACGCAGAACCCAGCAGCTTGGAGCAGAAAAGTGAAAGGACTATGCGTTAATCCAGGCAATCATTTCTGCCCAGAGGGGAAAGGGTGTTGCTCCCTTCCGCCCTCCTCCCTCTGGAAAGAAAGATGGCGGCCACATGGGGGCCTTGTGGACAGCAGATATGAGCCGGGGGTGTGGGGGCGACTAAAACCTCATGGGAAGGGGGGCGTTCTGGTCCGTCCTTCACGCCCTACCGAGGTCACCAGTTGCCCCCCACGAGCGGCTCTCCAGCACAGCCACGGCCCCAGAAGCACAAGGACTTAATGCAGAACCCAGCAGCTTGGAGCAGAAAAGTGAACGGACTCTGCATTGATCCAGGCCATCAAGTCTGCCGGAGGGGAAAGGGTGTTGCCCCATTCGCCCTCTCCTCTCTGGAAAGAAAGATGGCGGCCACATGGGAGCCTTGTGGACAGCAGGTATGAGCCGGGAGTGTGGGGGCGACTAAAACCTCATGGGAAGGGGGGCGTTTCGGTCCGCCCTTCACGCCCTACCGAGGCCACCAGTTGCCCCCACGAGCGGCTTTCCAGCACGGCCACAGCCCCAGAAGCACAATGACCTAATGCAGAACCCAGCAGCTTGGAGCAGAAAAGTGAAAGGACTATGCGTTGATCCAGGCAATCATTTCTGCCCAGAGGGGAAAGGGTGTTGCTCCCTTCCGCCCTCCTCCCTCTGGAAAGAAAGATGGCGGCCACATGGGAGCCTTGTGGACAGCAGGTATGAGCCGGGGGTGTGGGGGCGACTAAAACCTCATGGGAAGGGGGGCGTTCTGGTCCGTCCTTCACGCCCTACCGAGGTCACCATTTGCCCCCCGCGAGCGGCTCTCCAGCACGGCCACGGCCCCAGAAGCACAAGGACTTAATGCAGAACCCAGCAGCTTGGAGCAGAAAAGTGAACGGACTCTGCATTGATCCAGGCCATCAAGTCTGCCGGAGGGGAAAGGGTGTTGCCCCATTCGCCCTCTCCTCTTTGGAAAGAAAGATGGCGGCCACATGGGAGCCTTGTGGACAGCAGGTATGAGCCGGGAGTGTGGGGGCGACTAAAACCTCATGGGAAGGGGGGCGTTTCGGTCCGCCCTTCACGCCCTACCGAGGCCACCGGTTGCCCCCCGCGAGCGGCTCTCCAGCACGGCCACGACTCCAGAACACAGAAACCAATTTCTTAACTATCTGACTTTCAGTAGAAATACTTCCAGGGTCAATAGGTAAAAGAGCAGAAATCCAAAACCAACATTTAATTCTTGAACCCAGCCGTAGAAAGCAAATCACTTCACAATGCTTTTTCAGCATGTCTGATTTGGGGGGGGGGTAAACTCTAAATAATAGTGGTGAATCTTTTATTGAAACAATGAATCTAATCAAAGCAGATAGAGTGTTAACTAGAATTCATCTGCTTCACAGGGACGGGGAGGGGTGGGGGGTGGGGTTTTATTGGGGTTCTTCATGGTAAAAAATAAGTATTGGTAAAGGGAAATGTGTTTGATATTTGCATGACTGAGACATAAACCTGAAAGCTTTGTAACCTTTCCCACAGTGATTCAATAAATAAATTAAAAAAAAAAAAAAAAAACTTACTCAACTATTTTATTATTGGCTACTTAGGTTACTTCCATTAAAAAACCAACAACTGGACCAGACAGATAGTATAATTGATAAGTTATTTGTCTTACATGTGCCTTACAAATCCCCAACACCATATATTGTCCCAATTCCTGAGCATTGAGCCAGAAGTATGCCCTGAGCACTGCTGACAATGGCCCCAGAACTCCTCCCTCCATCCCCCGTCAAAAAAAATGTGTAGAGGTGAGGAGTACAGAAGGCAAAGAGAAACATGAAGAGATTATTGATCACCAATTAGGGAAATAAAAATCAAAATCAGTATTATCTATCTACTCACATCTTTGAGAATGGTTATTAACCAAAAAATAAGAAATAAATGTTGGAACAATATACAGAAGGGAACCTGATATACTGCTGGAGGGAATGAAAACTGGTGCCCTCAACATGGAAACAGTATGGAGATTCTTTAAAAAGCGAAAAATAGATAATATGATCCAGTTATCCAACTTCTGGTTATTTACTCAACAAGCACAAAATTACAAATTCCAAGACACAGATGCACTCTTGTGTCTTTTAGAGCAGTATTTACAAAAGCAAAGAATAGGGGAAAAAATTCAATGAATGGGTTTCAAAAGAAGTGGTAATGTATATGCCATGGAACAGTATTTCAATAGAAAAAAAGATAAATGAGGGCTAGAGGAATAGTACAGCAGGTAATGTGCTTGCCTTGCACCGGCTGACCTGGGTTTGATCCCAGCACCATATATGGTCTCTGAGCTCTGACAAGAGTGATCTCTGAGCACAAAACCAGGAATAAGGCCTGAGTACTGCCAGGTGTGGCCCAAAAACAAAAAAGAAATTCTTCTATTTGCAGTAATATGGTTAATTCATTAAATATAAATTAAAGACAGGGCTGGAGTCTTTAATTTATATTTAATGAATTAAATATAATTTCATTTAGGAGCTACGTGGAGTGATCTCTGACTGCAAAGCCAGGAGTAAGTCCTGAGCAAAGCCAGGTGTGGCTCCCAAACAAAACAAAATAAAACAAGAAATGAGAAAGAAATATATGATTTCACTCATGTGATTTATAGAGAAAACAGATAAACTAAGTAAAACACAAATAAACTTTCTGACTACAAAACCAATTACTGGTAGGAAAGGGTAGAAAAGAATGAGTGGGTAAATTGAGAAGGGGACAAATGTATGGTAAAAGGACCAAATTAAATTTTCAGTGGTGAACTTAATGAAAATATACATGTTGGTTTGCAGTGATGTGCTTTTGAAACTTATGTAATAGTGCGATGTTACTAAATAATTATTGAAAAATCACAACCATTGTCACATGGAGATTGGTACAAGTTCCCTATGACCAACGGCTTTTTTTTTGGGGGGGGGTGGGGTATGTGTCATACCCAGCAGTGCTCAAGGCCGACTGCCAGTGCAGTACTCAAGAGTGGTACTACATAGATCAAGTGGTGCCAGGTTTTTAGCATACAAAACATGCATGCCAGCCCTTTGAACTATCTCCCCTTGCCTGAAACTTTTTTTTTGTATAAAAAAGTTCCACTGATATAAAAACTACTTCAGCCTCCAAAATTAAGCTGAAGACAAGATTTTTTACTTTATTATTTTATTATTAAATTCACCGTTATTGTTCTGGGGACTATATCCAGCAATGCTCAGGGATTAGTCATGGCTCTTGCTCAGGGATCACCCGTCAGTACTTGAGGAAGATATGCTATCTGTCCTGGGGATCGAACCTGTTCAGCTCCTGAAAACAAGCTTTTTTTTTTGTTTTCGGGCTACCCCTGGCAGTGCTCAGGGCTTACTCCTAGTTCTGTGCTCAGGGATCACTCCTGGCAGACTTAGTAGACCACAGAGGGTACTGGGACTGAACCTGGGCCAGCTAGCTCCAAGGTACGCGACTACCCATGGTATTATGGCTCCAGACCCCGAGGAGAGGATTTTTAAAATTGTGACATTGAAGTAGATGCTTAACAACTGAACTCTGAATTTTGATAAAATTGTTGAAAAATATATAGCTATAAAAAACATTTTATTTATTTTTTAAGATTTGGGTTCAATTTTATTGTAAAAGACATTTTAAAGACAAATTGAAATTCAATGTTTTATTAAAGAATATGTTCATTTTCTTTGATCTGATCAGGGTATGGTATAAGATTAAAAGCAAACTGATTCTTAGGAGACCAATTTTGTTTAAAACTACAGGCACTGGGGCTGGAACAATAGTACGGTGGATAGGAAGTATGCCTTGCACAAGGCTGACCTGAGTTCAATCTCTGGCATACCGTATGGTCTCTCAGCACTGCCAGTAATTTCTGAGTCCAGAGCCAGAGTAACCCCTGAGCATTGTTGGTTATGACTACCTCCCCCCCCCCAAAAAAAACCCCAAAAAACACTATACACAGTTAGACCAGAAAAGTACTGAATAAAACCTGCTATCCTGGGGCTGGAGTGATAGCACAGCGGGTAGGGCATTTGCCTTGCACGCAGCCAACATGGCCGATACAGGTTCAATTCCCAGCATCCCCTATGGTCCCCCGAGCACCGCCAGGAGTGATTCCTAAGTGCATGAGCCTGGAGTAACCCCTGAGCATCGCCGGGTGTGACTCAAAAAGAAAAAAATAAAAGAAAAAAAACCCCCTGCTATCCTATAATTATCTGTTGGATAACAATGGTTTGTCCTTTCTCCTCCCTCAGGACTCCCATCATAGTGCTCCCAAGGTACACACCAAATCCCATCAGGCACTAATAATCCTATATTGCTTTTCTCTTTCCTCTATGTCCTTTGCATGGTTTAGCAATGTCCCTTTTGTATAGATACAGGAAGACAGCTGATGCTATGTTTTTGTAACATAGGAGTTAACTGACTCCAAATAATATTTACCCCTGGGAATCCATCATATTTACATGACTTAAGCCTCATCTGCCCTTACTTCCAAAAGGAGGGTCCTACCTACCAATCAACCAGTGGCCTGTTCGTTCCTTCCGCCCCTGTTCCTTCATTTCCAATTTCCATCCAGTCAGGGAAACAGTTCTCAGCCACCGAACACATGTGTCCCACACACCTATACTGTTTGAATGTACAATTATCCAGTTAACATATTTTGTTACTTTCGTAACAGGGGCTGGAGAGACACTACAGCAGGTAAGAAGCTTGTCTTGCATGCAGCAGACCTGGGTTTAATGCTCAGCACTGCCCAAGCCCTTCCCAAGTACTACCAGGAGTGACCCCCTGGATACAGACCCAGGAGTAAGTCCTGAGCAGAGCCTGGTGTGCGAACCCCACCAGAAAAATATAAAAACAAAAAGAGTTCTCATTATATATGTGAAGTTGTATAATATAGCAGCTTCAACCTTCATTCCTGGGACTGCTGCTGATCCACAGTAATTTTCTGCTTTCATAAAAAAATTATTGCCACCTAACACACTGTAAAATGGAAAACTTTTTCATTTTATAACACTAGGCTAAAAAACAAACACAAAAAATACTATTGTAAATAATGTCTTTGCAGTTCACAAAGTATTTCTCTTACTTTCTATGTCTGCAGATTTAAATAAGCTGAACACCACTTGAATAGCACTGTAGCACTATACTCCCGTTGTTCATTGATTTGCTTGAGCGGGCCCAGTAACATCTTTGGCATATCGAATGTATCACAGATAGCTTTCCAGACTTTGCCGTGAGGGTGAGATATTCTCGGTAGCTTGCCGAGCTCTCCAAGAGGGGCAGAAGACTCGAACCCGGGTCGGCCGGGCCAGCCACGTGCAAGGAAAACACCCTACCCACTGTGCTATAGCTCCAGCCCAACCACTTGTATAATATTAATCAAAAGTATGTTATGTCACTGTTCACAATAGCCAAAATCTGGAAACAACCCAAGTGCCCTAGAACAGATGACTGGTTAAAGAAACTTTGGTACATCTACACAATGGAATACTATGCAGCTGTCAGGAGAGATGAAGTCATGAACTTTGCTTATAAATGGATAGACATGGTAAAGGTAAAGGTAAAGGCCCTCCCGTTGATCGTCGATTTGCTCGAGCGGGCCCAGTAACGTCTCCATTGGAGACTTTGTTGTTACTGTGTCTGGCATATCCAATACTCTCGGTAGCTTGCCAGGCTCTCCAAGAGGGGCGGAGGATAGACATGGAGAGTATCATAAAGTAAAATGAGTCAGAAAGAGAGGGACAGACATAGGACTACTCATTTATGGAGTATAAAATAATATAACATGAGGCTGACACCTAAGGACAGTAGATACACGGGATAGATAGATTGCTCCCTAGCTGGAACCCTGCCTCATGAGCAAAGGGGAGAAGGCAGCTGGAATAGAGAAGGGATCACTAAGAAAAAGATGGCTGGAAGAATTGGTCGGGATGGGAGGTGTGCAGAAAGTAAATAAAGGACCGAACATGATAACCTCTCAGTGTCTCTATTGCAAACCATAATGCCCAAAAGTAGAGAGAGATTATGGGGAATCATATCCGCCATGGAGGCAGAGGGAGGGTGGGAAAAGGGGGTATACCAAGGATATTGGTGGTGGGGAATGTGCACTGGTGGAGGGATGGGTGTTTGATCATTGTGTGATTGTAATCCAAACATGGAAGCTTATAACTATCTTATGGTGATTTAATAAAATTAATAATAAAAAAAGTAGGCTATAATACCTCAATATATGAAATAAAAATGAAGTAGCTTCTGTTTCAAAGAATTAACAATAAATGTGAGGTACAATTTTTATGTGTGATTCGTCAGGCTTCTGTGCCTTAATACATGCCAAGGGTGTCTCCTCCCTTTGCTTAGCAGATAAATTCCTGCATTTCCTCTTCAGGCTTCCAATATTCCAGCTAAGATTTCTCTAAATGTCCTTCCCGTTATTTCTTTCTTCTTGGTTCTTTCTTAGTCAGTCACTCATTCAAATATTCCATTCTCAAAGAACTTCATAAAATTTTTTTAGCTTAAAATTCACAAGCACAGCGGTAGGGCGTTTGCCTTGCACACAGCCAACATGGCCGACCCGAGTTCGATTCCTCCGCCCCTCTCGGAGAGCCCGGCAAGCTACCGAGAGTATCTCGCCCACACGGCAGGGCCTGGCAAGCTCCCCATGACATATTCGATATGCCAGACACAGTAACAACAAAGTCTCCAATGGAGACGTTACTGGGCCCGCTCGAGCAAATCAACAAACAACGGGAGGGCCTTTACCTTTACCTTTACCAAAATTCACAAACCACATTATTCAAATTATATGTGCCTCTTAATCCTCATGAGTAAGGGAGGTCTTACTTGTCTCCACCCATTTCTGATGAGAAAGCATTCATAGTCATTTTTTGTTGCTGTTGCTTTGGGGCCACACCCAGCGGTGTTCAGAGCTCGTTCCTCTCTGTCTCAGAAATCACTCCTGGAGGACTCAAAGGACCACCCGGGATGCTGAGGATTGAATGCATTGGTTGCATGCAAAGAAAATGCCCTACTTGCTACACTTTTGCTTTGATTATTCATTGATTAGTCTTCTGAGTTGTTTTTTAGGTCATACATACTGGTGCACAGGGATCACTCATGATGATGCTTAGGGGACCATATGGGGTTTCTGGTAAGGAACCCAGGTCAGCTATGTGCAAGGAAAATGCCCTACCCACTGTATAGTCACTCTGGTCCCCTTATAAGTTTTATATCCAAACTAAACTTCTCTTATTCCTGCTTCTGCTTTATAAAATATAGAATCTGCTCTTCTAATCTGGTTAAAGCAGGGAGAGATGAAAGTCACCTACATCTGGGCAAGGATCTTTTAACTCCCTTTATTTTTAATTAGTCAAGGACATACACTGTAGATGTTTCTGCCCTTTTTTGGTATAATTTATTTTGGGGGTATGTTTGGGTCACACCCGTTATGCTCAGGGCTTACTCCTGGTTCTGTGCTCAGGGATCACTGACTGTGTTTGGGCAGCACATGGGGTGCTGAGATTGAACCTGGGTCAGCTGTGTGCAAGACATGTAAGTACCCTGCCTACTGTACTGTCTCTCTGGTCCCTACATTCTTTTATTTTGTATTTTCTTATACTGTATTTTTGGGGGCCACACCTGGAATTGTTTTGGGGACTAACTCTTGGCTTGATGACCCACGCAGTACCAGGACTGATGTGGGGGCTCCTACATGCAAGCACACGCTCCAGACTTTGAACTCTCCCTGACCCCTCAGTATTTTTTAAGTATCTAAAATTATAGTATACAAGTAAATCTTACTTCTGCCATTAACTCTAGTGGGGCATGAGTCTCCTTAGTAGAGTTACCATCATCTTCATAATCTTCATCACTGGTATCTTCATCATCATCTATGGATTCAGACAACTTAACATCAGCTTCCTGATGCGAATATTCATTATTTTTCTCCTGTTCTGCTATGACAACATCTTTGCAAATTTCACCTAAAAACAATTATACACATTTTACCCATTATTGAAAGTCTTATAAAGAATCAAATATAAATGTTTACTATATAGCTTCCTTCTATAGTTACTCTTTTTTAAAAAATACCTAAACAGCAGTGCCGTGAAATTTTCACTTCCAAAAATGGTTACAAAACTTGTCAAGTTAAAAAAGGAAAAATCCCAAATCATTAACAATGAGCAGATGTTATGTGAATTGATATTTAAAATATTAATTAGTTGGGCAGTTTTCTACTTTCTACTCATTAACAACATAAGTAATACACTTTTGAGAAAGACAAAATGTCATTCTGGGCTCGGGGTTATAGCTCAAAGGGGTCAAGGACATTCCTGGCATGTGTATGGTCCTGATTTTGATCCCAGGTACCACAGAGTCTCCTGGACACCACTGGGTGCAACCCTGGTGGCTTCTGAATACCTCTGGACCATAAGCGTGGCAGCACTGAGTCCAAACACAAGCCCAAACTGCTGGGCAAAAAATTACCAGGAGTGGTCCCCTGGTTCTCCAGGATTGCTGGGTATTGTTTTTTACATAGCACTGTCCTCCCATTGTTTATCGATTTGCTCAAGCGGGCACCAGTAATGTCTCCATTGTGAGACTTGTTATTGTTTTTGGCATATGGAATACATCACGGGAGCTTGCCAGGCTCTGCCATGATGCGGGCAGGATACTCTCCGTAGCTTGCTGGGCTCTCTGAGAGGGTCGGAGAAATCGAACCTGGGTTCTAATATATATATATATATACATATATATATATGTATATATGTATATTTTCCATTCTAGGAGCTGGAGCAATAGCACAGCAGGCAGTGCATTTGCCTTGTACGCGGCCATCCCGCTTTCAATTCCCAGTATCCCAAATGGTCCCCTGAGCTCTGCCAGGGTTAATTCCTGAGTGCAGAGTCATGAGTAATCCCTGTGCATTGCTGGGTATGACCAAAAAATTTTTTAAAAAATTCCATTTGATCTTGAGAAATGTATTTCTTTTCTTCTATTTGAGCCATACCCAATAGTGTTCAGGGATCACACCTGGTGATGCCAGAGACCATATATACCATGAACACAGTCAGCCTTGTAGTGCAAGGCGAGAGCTTTAATCCCTATATAATCTCTCTGCTCATGAGAAATATATTTCATAATTTCTGTCTGTATGTGGTACTAGGGACTGAAACAAAGTCTTCATATATGCAAGGCTTGTGCTCAACCACTGAGCTACATATTTGACTCCACAAATTATTCTTATAGGACAGTAAATACTAAATAGCTTGGAAAGGTGGAAAAATAAGTAATTCTTCTTAGGCAGGGCATATCAATCCTCGGGTACATGGTAATAATGTTCCCTATCTCACTATACACACACATACACACACACACAAACACATACCTAGGAAGATAAATGTAAGGTATTCTAGATCTAAGTAGAGGTTACACAACGTTTTTAATTTTTCTTTTCTTTAAATTTATCGATTTCTAATTCATTAATTTTTCCCATTTACTTATTAATAATTTTTAATTTTTTCTTAATTAATTTAATTAATCATAATTAAATTAAAATCCCTCCCGTTGATCATCGATTTGCTCGAGCGGGCCCAGTAACGTCTCCATTGGAGACTTTGTTGTTACTGTGTCTGGCATATCGAACACTCTCGGTAGCTTGCCGGGCTCTCCGAGAGGGGCGGAGGAATCGAACTCGGGTCGGCCATGTTGGCTGCGTGCAAGGCAAACGCCCTACCCGCTGTGCTATCGCTCCAGCCCAAATTTTTCTTAATTCAAGTAAAAAAATATCTAAGACCAAGCACAGTGTCTAAAAAAAGTAGTATCTACCAACAACCTACGTTCAGTGCCCAGCTTCATGATGAGCCTCAGAAATACAAGAATAAATAGATTTTGATCTCAGGGTAACTGCTCACATGTTAACTCGAGAAGGAAGAGCCACAGTGGATAACAATAAAACAGTTTGGAAGCAGAGCAAGGTGAGAAGGAGATAAACAAGAGAGTGAAGGAGTGGAACTCCAACTCCTTAGTGCTAACTGTGGAGTGGTCAGAAACTGTCCAGTGTGTGTGGACCAGTTTTCCTGGGAGGGGACAGTACGAACAAATATAGAAACAAACAGGTAAAAGGAGCACCAAGCACACTGATGCTGCTTTGGCATAAGGGTGGAAGCTAAAATGGTGATAAGATATAGCCAGAAGGGCAGGTAGTGGCTGGCAAGATAAAGGAACAGACTTGGGGACCTGAAGTCTTGGAATTAGGACTTTATAGTAAGAATAGAGAGACTAATGAAAGACTAAAAGGAAATAATTTTCAATTTTCTATTTCTGAAGTAACAAGAGCAGGGCAGTCTATTTGAGGGGGTAAGAAAAGTTAAGATTCCAGCCTCTTAAATAAAGGTTGTGATTCCATATATGGTTTCATATTAATTTAAAAATTGTTTTAAAATAGCTATGTCTTATTAACAGTGTTTGATTTATATATCTATTTGATATGCATAAATTCCTGGGGTCATATAAAAATTTACCATGTGAATCGGGGGGGGGGGTCTCTAGTGGAAAAAAAGCAGCAGTGGCCCTGAGTTAGAGTGCTCTTGAAATTGGTCAGGGGAGAGAAACGTGATAGATCTGGTTCTGGTAAAATAAAATGAAGAGGAAGTGCTAGACCAGAGGACTATTTAAGAGATCAAATCTCAGTGGCACAATCTATTAGCACAGTTTCTAAACTTCGGTAATACACTACCTTCATCCATTTTGCTATATCTGAGTGTTTTTCACACTAACATTTTTTTCAATTTATCTTAACATGGACTTTTTTTTGCTAGTTCTATTATCTGTGAAACAAATATATTAATAAAAGTAATACATTATTTTATAACTTATATGCCCTTATATAACTTATATAACTCTAAACTCCACATCTATAACCCAATTTCTTTCAATATCTCAATAAAGTATATACTACTTTTATCCCCATTCACAGAGAAAACTAAGGGACCAAGAGGTTAAATAATGTGCCCAACTTCACATCCTTAAATAAGTGATATATCTAAAAGTCAGTTTATCTTCCCAATCCTTCTGTTTCATCATGTTGTATGTATCCTTCCTTCCTTCCTTCCTTCCTTCCTTCCTTCCTTCCTTCCTTCCTTCCTTCCTTCCTTCTCTCTCTCTCTCTGTCTCTCTTTTTCTTTCTTTCTTTGTCACACCCAGTGATGCTCAGGGATTGTTCCACTCAGGAATTACTCCTGGCGGTGCTCAGGGGACCACATGGGATGCTGGGAATCGAACCCGGGTCAGCGGTGTGCAAGGCAAACGCCCTACCCACTGTGCTATCACTCAAGCCCCTGTATGTATTTTTCTAACACACATAATATTATACTACTACAGCAATTTAAACACTTAAAATGTATCTCCTAAAATCATTTCTTTGGGAAATACTAAGTTACTGAAGAGCTTGCCAATTCTTTTGGCTCTGTGGAAGTCCCTATCTCTCACTGACTCACTTCATCCTTACTTGTAAGACTGAGTGGCTTAAGTTTTGCAAGAGACTTTCTTGGATGGGAATGAGACCCTGAGTCTTCCAAATTATGGAGTTATTAGAAAGACATTAGAAAGTGAGAAAATTCACGAAAACTGAAAAGACATTCACAAAAACAGAGACCCACACCAAAAGAAAAACTCCTGAAACAGAAAATTCTACATTGAAAGGGAGGACCAAATCCTTCCAGATGACTGGGGCACTGAGGCCAACTACCTGCTTCTGTTCCAGTTCCAGTCTCCATCGGCTCACAAGCACCCTGATCTTCTAGCTAGTTACCCAGTCCATTCACCAACTCATCCCACTAATGACATCAGAGGAGGGCCAGGTCACAATAAGGCAGCAAGGACTTTATGTGATGTCAAAGAACAGTCACATTCAATTCACCAACTCATGAGAGAACATTCCTGGTCCCTAGATCCAGGGAGCCCTCTCATCCTTTTAAGGCAGTTATCCTAACCTCTAATTGCCTTTCCTATTATGGTTGCCTTTTCATTGATTTATCATTTCTTTTTTCTGTCATACCCAGTGATGCTCAGGGGTCATTCCTGAATCTGCACTCAGAAATTACTCCTGGCAGTTCTCAGGGGACCATACGGGATGAAGGCGATTGAACCCAGGCTGGGCATGTGCCATCTCTTTGGTTCCTCATTTCTTGTTTGTTCTTGGTTTTGTCTTTGGGCCAGACCCAGGGGTACTCGTTGCTTACTCCTGACTCTCTGCTCAGGATTCACTCCTGGTGAGCTCTGAGGACCTTATGGCGTGCCAGAGATCAAACCCAGTTTGGTTGCGTAAAAGGCAAATGCCATACCTGCTGTACTATCATCCCAGCCACTCATTTCTTATTTTTTAATAGCTGGCTATCTCCCACTAGAATGCCAACTGCGAATTTCAGTCAACTATTCCAGCTTCAAACCAGTGTCTGCACTCCGAAAAAATTATTGTTGAATGAAACTTACCAATGCCTTTGTAGGTATTCTAATTCATCCTAAAATTTAATCCCTTATTCTTATTATTGTATGTAATATGTACCCATGGATTGCATGCTGGCTGTATATCAAATCACTTGGTCCACAAATTTTTAAAAGGTTATCATTTCCATAATTTGCCGCAGGTATGTACAGTTCTTGATACCCTAAAGGTCATGGAGAATGACTGAATTAAAAGCTACAATTACTCAAATTAAATCAATGCTATTACCTTTGCTTTCTCTTAAGGAAAATGGCCGCAGTTTTGATTGTAAGTTTGTTTCTGTGTCTTTATTTTCAATATTCTTTGTAGATTCTCTATTATCAATTTTCTTTTGAGAGATTTTATTTTCAATAACTTTTGTAGAAACTTTTTTCCTAAATGTTAAAGTTAAATAATGAAAAATATGCCTCAGGTCACAACTGTTAAACTTTATATGGTTATACATACAATATGCTACAGTAAATTATACAGCTAAAATGCAATATCCTTTCATGGAAAAACATAAATAATTTTTACAAATTTGATATATTCTATTTCTTCTGGGTGATTTGTCATTGTATAATTTATAGAATATCTAGAATTCTTTTACACAGAGCACATAATAATCAGTTACATAAATGTCTGGCATATCACTGTAATATAATAGAATAAAACTAAAGGAATACTAACTAGCTTTGGGGGTTTCTTCTCTATGAATGTTTTAAGTCATTCTTCTTCGGGAAGGAGTTGGGCCACATCTAGTTGTGCCTAGTTATTTCTGGCTTTGTGCTCAGGAATCATTCCTGGCGTGGGTTTGGGAGACTGTATGCATTGGGATTGAACGGGGTGTACAAGACAAGTACCCTACTCATTGTAGTATCTCACTGGCCCTCTTAAATCAATTCTTAACCAAATTATTATTTTAATGGTACAATGTGACTTACTTATGTTTAATTTTCTAGTCTTTCTCAAAAAAGCGTCAAAGCTTACAAGTCGAATCTCTTCAATTTTAATCTACTGACCCTTATTTGAGAAATTGATGCTCCTTATGACAACAATACTACTAGCCATTTTGGGGATTGGAGGTTCCCAAGTGGTGTTCAAATCTTAGAGGTTCTCACTGACAATTCTTTTTTGGGGGGGAGGAGGGGAGGCAGGGGCAGCACATCTGGTTGTGCTTGGGGCTTACCCCTGATTCTGTGCTCAATAATCACTCTTGGCAGGGCTTGGTGGATCATATGTAGTGCCAGGGATCAAACTTGGGTCATCTGTGTGCAAAGCAAACATCTCACCTGTTGTACTACTGGCCTGGACCTCACACTGGCAATTCTTAGGCAGCTGGGCTGTCAATTCAATGCAAGGGCATGAGGATCTGATGCTGCTGAGGCTCTGTGGTATTGGGAATACCAGGACAACTCTTTTGGTGCTGCCAGCACCACACGTAGCAGTGCTGGGGAGGCCTTCAGAGCTGCACCCAGTGATGCTCAGGGGACCATATGGAACAGTAATCAAACTGGGCTGGGAGCATGCCAGACATGTGCCCTCACTACTGTACTATGTCCCTATGTCCCAGTCCCAATACCACTGTTTTAGAAAGAGAACCATTATATATTAGTATTATTTAAATAGTTAAATTGAGTAAGATTTGAATTTTTACTGTAATTAGAAGGCATTTAATTTAGTATCTATTAGTGTTAAGTTATCCACTCTGGAAAATATTGATGATAGTAGCAGGTAAGCTAGTATTATGATTCTTCCCTAATATACATATAAGTAATTGGGCATATTTATGAAATCTCCTTTCTAATATATTTACTTTGCTCAGCAAGTTTACACTGATAAAAAGATTTTTATTTACAGAATATGAAGAAAAGAGAAGAGAGCATTGTGTTTAAGAGAGAATGTCAGATTCTCCAGAGAAAAGAGTGTAGTAAAGTTAAAGAATGGAATTAAACATCCCCAGATGAAATTCAGGCGATTCCAGGTGGGGATATAGCAAAGTGTATATTTTCAATGGGTCACTCTGAGCTATGCTCAGGGATCACTCCTGGCGGGGCTAAGGGGGCCATATGTGGTTCCAGGGATCATACTTAGGTCGGCTTCATGCAATGCCAAGCACTTTATCTGCTGTACAATCTTCCTGGCCTTCAGACTGTATATTTTAAAATTTGGTCTTAAAATTAATTATAATTATCTTGAGCATCACAAGGAGTGACCCCTGAGTACTGTCAGGTGTGCCACACTAAAAGTCACAGTTATCAAACATGGACCTCACAACAAAATGAACTAAAATCTACTTCTCCAAGAATGTCTTAGCTTATAATTCAAGAGATGGTGGATAACACTGGTTTGTCCTTTCTCCCTTGCTACAGGGAGCTTAGGTTCATCAGGTAACACCCAGAACAGTGCTCCTGAGTCACTCCCATTCTTTTGTGTGCTTATCTGTAGCTTCTCTGTGCTCTCTTCCACAACCGGTCTATCACCTTTTTCTCCTAATCAGACTCTGTTAACTTGTAAGGTCAGATCCTTCTAAGGACACTTGACTTGTATTTATGTATTGCCTTTCTCCCTCCTTCTGTCTCTTGTATAGTTCACTTTATTTTATTTCTTTCTTTCTTCTTTTTGGGTCACACCCGGTGATGCACAGGGGTTACTCCTGGCTCTGGAATCAGGAATTACTCCTGGCGGTGCTCAGGGGACATATAAGATGCTGGAAATTGAACCTGGGTTGGTCGCATGCAAGGCAAACATCCTACCTGCTGTGCTATTCCTCCAGTCCCTGGATAGTTCACTTTAAAGCAATGTCCTTTTTGTATAGACACAGGAAGACAGTTAATATTATGCTTTTGTAACTTGGAAGTTAATTGACTCCGAATAATATTCACTCTGGACACCTGCTTTCTTGACTTAAGCCTCGGGTGCCCTTAGTTTCTAACACCCAAAAAGCTGGGTCCCAATGAGGGGCTGAATGGACCCAGGGCAAGTGGTGAGCTATGAGCTACCCTGGCATCAAAATGGACCAAAGAGCCACTATAAGGTAAGAGCATGGTCAAGGATAAATTCTGTCATGATCCAAAAGTAACGACAAGATTAGGACCCTGCTAGGGTTAGGAAAGACTAATCTGGCCTGAGCACTGTAGTCTGAGATTGAGATGGCCCTAGGAGAGCACTTCTATAAGCTTAATGCATCTCTTACTGTGTCCATACAAAATGATTAATATTATGAATGTATGTTTGTTGGACTAAGGAGAGGAGAAATACACCCATAGTTGGAATTTCAGTCTTGGGAAGGTCCTCTTACTGAATGAGAATCTGTCCGAGAAGAAGTTTCCCCGGAGGGAAGAACTTTACCTCTGTTGATTATATCACCACACCTATGTGTAAGCCCCAACCTCTCATGCTTTTGGGAGTTATCTAAGACTGTAAGAGTGGGCTGGGGGAGGAAGAAGGAAAATGAAGTGGGAGTGAGGAGGAGAATGAAGGGAGATCCAGAAAGAGAATGAAATAGCATGGGGGAGGAAGAAGCAGGAGGAGAATCAGAGGAGAAAGGAGAGGAGATTGGAATGAACTGCAATTGAGACCAACCAGCCTTTGTCTGCCCATCGCCATTGGCCTCGCCAGGGTAGGGGAAGTGGCGCAAGACCACGGAACATGGGCGGAAAGAGATAGAGCACCACTGCCCTTTAGTAAATACACAAAGAGACATATTACAAAGGATCTGCCAGGGCCAGAGAATCAATAGGAAAATCCAGCAACCCCCCAAAAAGAAAAAAATTTAAAAAATTCTGAAAGAAATGAGCAAGAATTTCAGGCAAATGGAAACGAGCAAAAACAATTATATCAGTAAAATCCATAATAGTTGGTGCTTCAGCATTTGAAAAAAATAGAATATTATATATACCTCTACCTTTCTATAAAAATTTATTTTTCATTTTAAATATCCTTTTATCTAAGTAACGACTGCTTTAACAAAAGCAAAAGCTGGAGTGCTAATTCATGCATTTCTGGCCTCTCAAATTTAATTGAATGATAAATGGCTACAATATCTAGTTCTGATGGCTTAAAAGGTACGTGATAAACCAGCTGTACAACCAGAGAAATCATCTTACTTTGACACTGCTTCATTGGGTTCAATGATAACCTTTTCTGAAAGAGAAAAAAAGAAATTCAGTTGTCCCATCAGTAAGGATTTTCCTAGATAGAAAGTCTTGATTGGAAAATATGTAGCCATTTTTTTTTTGAAAGACAGACAATAAAGGATTTAAGTTTTAAGTCTTTCAATCATAGTCATTCCAGTAAATTATCTTCTTTATACTAAGGACCAAATGGTGGTCAAACATATTCTTTTTAATTAAGTAGTAAATTATTTACCCTTTGGATCACATTCTAGCAATCTACTTTTCTGTCTGTACTTTGGTAACTAAAAGAGAAACAAACAAAAAAAACAGTATTAGTTTGAAGTAATTGAAATAATGTAGTCATAGCCTTTATGTAAGCATTTATTTTACATAAAGTGCTATCGCTCCAGCCCATTTATTTTATCTAAAGTATAATTTCATGCTAAACTTCACTATCACTATCATCTCGATTTGCTAGAGCGGGCACCAGTAACGTCTCCATTCATCCCTGTCATGTGCTAGTGTAGCCTGATGGCATATTTGGGGCTCTTTCAGGGTCAGGGGAATGAGGTCCAACACTGTTACTGTTTTTGGCATATCAAGTATGCCACTGGTAGCTTGCCAGGCTCTGCCGTGCAGGCGGGATACTCTTGGTAGCTTGCTGGGCTCTCCGAGAGGGATGGAGGCTTTTGGAGCAGCCTCTAATCACCTTTACAGGTATTCCCAGTCAGGCATATATGCGGACAGGATACTCTTGGTAGCCTGCCAGGTTCTCTGAGCGCGAGAACTAGACAATAAGAGGTCACGGCCAGGAGCTTGGTTTTATAGTCTCTGGATCTTGGCCATTGATGGGGTTACATGCAGTTGGTGGGTGTTAACTGTCTAGCTACTGGAAGATGGAGGATCTGGGTGGCAGAGGCCCAGTCCCGAACCAAGCAGGCTTAGAGATCTCAGCCTCAGGTCCCGCACTTAATGCTAAACTTAAAGTCACTGTTAAAGTCACTGTCCTCCCATTGTTCATCAATTTGCTTGAGCGGGCCCAGTAACATCTCCATCGTGAGACTTGTTGTTAATGTGTTTGGCATACTGAATACTTCACAGGGAGCTTGCCAGGCTTTGCCGTGCGGGCTCGATACTCTCGGTAGCTTGCCGGGCTCTCCGAGAGGGGCGGAGGAATTGAACTCGGGTCGGCCATGTTGGCTGCGTGCAAGGCAAACGCCCTACCACGCTCCAGCCCAATGCTAAACTTAATTACTCAAAAATTATATGAACTGATGATAAAGTAGAACTAAACCACTCTTAGTAGTTTATATATACTTACCTTTACAGCATTCATCTTTAGATAATTACTGTAAAACAAAAATTTTTTTGTAAGTCTTTATAAGTCTATAAATACAGAATAGAACAATATAGGATATAGGGAGGGGCCAGAGAGAGAGAGAGAGAGAGAAAGAGAGAGAGAGAGAGAGAACAGCATGCAGGGCACTTGCCTTCACACTGCCACCATGGGTTCAATCCTTGGCATCCCAGATGGTCCTGAGCTTGCCAGGAGTGATCCCTAAGTGCAGAGCCAAAAAGTAAGCCCTGAGTGGCTTATGGCCCCAAAATATATTAATTAATCAATCAACCAATAAATAAATAAATAAATAAAAATAGGGGCTGGAGAGGTAATATAGTAGGTAAGACCTTGCTCTGCATGTGGCTGACCCGGGTTGGCTTCCTAGAACTCCAACTGGTCCCTATGCCCTGCCACGTTCCGGAGCACAGAACTAAAAGTAAGCCCTGAACACAGGTGAGTGTGCCCCAAAAATTAAAAAATAAAGTAGAACAATGCAGAACTCAGTCTGTCATAAGGTGCATTTTGTTCTTAGAGGATTCTTTCCATCTTAATGATAAAAATTCAGTCTTTCTGGAATAGGAATTGGGCTTTGAAAAATCTGGAGAAATTAACCTCTCTTCACCCTACATCTCTTGGGAGTTTAGGTGAAAAGAATCATAGGAATAATTTTACTGTTAGAAAAATGATGTGTTAAGTAACTTGATATTGTCTACCTTAAACCCTAAATCTAGATCCAAACATAGTCAAGAAAGAGGTTAAGGAGTCCCTTTACCTCCTGAGCTGATACTAGAAATCAGAAGCTCAGCTTGGCTATGGTTAAGACACTACAGTTTTCTCCCATACTTAGAAAAAACAAAACAAGAGAGAAACCAAATCACCTGCCACCTGCCAGGTGATTCAACTGTATAGGTAACAAACAAACAAATAACAAAAACAAAAAAGAAAAAAAACTTGAAGAGTGTATGAAGCTAGAACAGGGAATTTTTCCACGACTTTTTGAAGATACAGTATTTTTAATAAAATATTTTAACAAATATATTTAGAAATTAGAGGGAGCTAGGCATAGCTAAGTAGTAGAGTTCATGCTTCATATGCATGAGGCCCTGGGTTCCAACTCTTACAACTCCCCTAGAAATAAAGAAAATTAGGGGCTGGAGCGATAGCACAGTAGGTAGGGCATTTGCCTCACACGCGGCAGACCCTGGTTCGATTCCCAGCATCCCATATGGTCCCCTAAGCACCGCCAGGAGTAATTCCTGAATGCAAAGCCAGGAGTAACCCCTGTGCACTGCTGGGTGTGACCAAAAAAATGAAAATAAATAAATAAGTAAATAACATTTGCTTTTATCTAAAGGAACTTTTTATTTAATGTATTTATTTGGGCATCCCAAGCAGTGCATAGCGTGCCAAGGTGTCACTCCTGAAATACTTGGCTAACCCAATGAATAGTTCAATACAAGAAAACATTTAAAACTATAGTTCTTTTTGTTTCAGTTTTATTTGAGTGAGACACACACCCAGTAGTACTCAGGTGCTGCTCCTGCTTGTGCACTCAGAGATCACTCCTGGCAGGCTTAGGGGACCATATGTGGCATCAGGGATCAAACCTTGGCCAGTTGCATGCAAGACAAATGCCCTGCCCACTGTACCATCACTCCAGCCCTTAAAATATAATTAACTTCAAGTTATCTATTTACTTTGTTTAGTTTTCAAGTCACACCAATGGTGGTTGGGGGATAGTTCTGGCTTAGTGCTCAGAAACTGAACCAGGGCCCTTGTGTTCAAAGTGTGTGTGCTCCAGCCCATGGAGCTTTTTCCTTGGTCCTCTCTGTCTTTATTATATGATTCACTTGCTTCAGTCTCAAGCCAGAATTTTAGAATTAGTTGTAGTGCATACCTTGGGATTTCTGGAGGACAAAATTTACAATTAGGTGGACAATATGTGAAACTTCATGGTTTTGTAAATGTTCCCCTCACTGATTTGCATCCTGAATAAAGCAGTAGTATACAAACTTTTGTCTTAGGCTTTGCTTTCTGGAGAACTCTGATCAAACTAGACATTAAGTATGTTATTTTGATTATCCCTCATTGGAACTGAACACTAAAGCCTTTTTAGAAAAGCAAAGTTCCCCTCCATCCAACCTTACCAATCCCCAAACCAAGGGCCTCACACATGCAAGGCATGTGCTTTACCACTGGGCCATAATCTCAACCCAACATCTTTTTCCTTTTGAAATATAACTGTAAAGACCAAATTTAAGAAAATAAGACTTTACTCCTTATTTCCTAGGACAGCAGAGTTCAGAAGCTGAACAAGGCAAAACTGAAGCAAATAAAGGCTTAATGAAAGAAAGATAAGAGGACTTCTCTTGAAAGGTACTTTTACTCCATAGATTTCCACAAATTTGTGAGTACCCTGTGTCTGGATAGACAAAACCATCCTCTCCTTTCCAACTCTAGGATTGGCGCATATAATTCTTCCATTTTCACCTGATAAAAATAAAAACCTGGAATAGGAATTTCCTAGCCCTAGAATGGAAACCCAGACTCTGCTAGGTCTGTATTTACTGCTTTCTAGGAAATGTCTATTCAGTCTCCTTTCATAAAATTAAATTCCTTGGGAGCAAATAAAAAGTAATAATCAAAATTTAGGGTCCTTGAGTAAAAGACTTTTCATATTCTTACTCTGCTATTTTATATGTCATTTTGGCTGTTACTTAACTCTTTTGGCTTCTGTTCTTCCATCTGTAAAACAGGACGGCATGAATCCTAATTTCACTGGATCATTGTAAATATTAAATAGAATGATCTGGGTAATTTAGCACAGTGCCTGACAAATGGGAGAGCAACCTGATGTTTTATCGAAGAACAAACTGTGAAGATGTCTAAGATTGCTTAGGGAAATACGGAGGAAAGCAGACTAGCTCTGAGGCCTTTTAATAAATTAATGAATTGAAAAATACATAATCCCTAAAGTAATGACACTTGCTTAGAAAGATCACTGAATCCAGGCCAAAAAAAAAAAATCAATTTAGAACATAGGTAAAGTTAAGCAGGGATTTGTAAATTGTGCAGTCATTACAAGTAATGATGACAAAAAAGAAAACTCTGAAAGGAAATACTTTCAGAAATAAAAGATAGTATCGGGAAAAAAGTGCTGCAGGACTGGGATAAGAGATTTTTGTTTTATGTTCACTGTAGCCTCTTTAATCTGAACACATATGAATGCATTACCAGTTTTCAAAAACCAAATACGCTGGGCCAGAACAATAGTACAGGGGGTGGGGCACTTGAACATGGCCAACCCTGGTTTGAACCCCAGCACTGAGCCCCACTAGGTGTGATCCCTGAGTACAAAGGCAGGTTTAAGCCCAGAGCACCATTGGGTATGACACAAAAGCAATAATCAAAACCCAAATATATTAAATAATAGTAGCACTGTAGCACTGTCCTCCCGTTGTTCATCTATCTGCTCGAGCAGGTACCAGTAATGTCTTCATTGTGAAACTTGTTACTATTTTGGCATATTGAATACACCAGGGGTAGCTTGCCAGGCTCTGTCGTGTGGGCAGGATACTCTTGGTAGCTTGCCGGGTTCTCTGAGAGGGGCAGAAGAATCAAAACCCGGGTCAGCCGCATGCAAGGCAAATGCCCTACCCGCTGTGCTATCGCTCCAGTAGCAATAATAAAAACACATTTATATGGTTTTAAAAATATCGTTTTTAATGTTCTTTATGCTTATCCATCTCTTAGAGATGTAAGAGCAGTATTTTGGTCTTCTGCTACTTCAATTACCTTCTTTACCCTGAGGCACCCATTCTGGGATCTGGTCTCCAGAACAAACAGTATATAGGTGTATGCCTGTTACCCCTTGTGGCTAAGGTTATGTTACAACATTAATTTAATTCACCCTTTAAGTCTCTATCAAGTATGGCTCTTGGAACAAGGGTTAACTCCTCTGATGTCCTTCATGATGATGGTCATGGGAACAACACTGTCATGACAGCCGCCAATTTTTATGAAACATTCAGTGTCTATTAAAAACAAGTATTTAGGGGGTTGTAGAGACAGTATATGGGTTAAGGCACTTGCCTTGACTCAAAATTGACCCTGGGTTTGAATCCTTGGCACCCCAAGGGTCATATAACACTACTGTACACATAACCAAAAAAAATTTCTGAACAGTCAAACACAAACCCCCTCAAGATAAAAATAAAATACTTGGTTCCAGGGAGACGATTCAAATGGTATAGCACAATCTAGGATGCGCAAGGTCCTGAGTTTGATCCCTGACATTGTATACCTAACACTCCCAGAATCACTGGGAGGAATAGACAGTAGGTGATCTGGTAAAGGTAAAAAGGTAAAGGCCCTCCCGTTGATCGTCGATTTGCTCGAGCGGGCCCAGTAACGTCTCCATTGGAGACTTTGTTGTTACTGTGTCTGGCATATCGAATACTCTGGGTAGCTTGCCGGGCTCTCCGAGAGGGGCGGAGGAATCGAACTCGGGTCGGCCATGTTGGCCGCTTGATCTGGTAAGAGTAATTAAAATTAAATCAAACAAGCATTGGCTGAGCACCTACTATCAAAAGAGCTGTCCACAAACAACCTTCTACTTTCAGAATTCAGCTCTGAGGCCTGTTTTCTGGGTTCCCTATATTCCCAGGTATTATACTTTCTTTAAGTATCCTTAAAATAAGGCATTTATTTGGTTAGCAGATCCAGTTTATCTGATCAGAGAACAAACAATACTGTTCCCTAACAAAGTATGGCTAATAGTGGCTGGACTGAGGAGTGAGTCTACAATGAGTTAAACTCATGCTATCTTGGTCTGACACTTTTCGATCATCAAAAAGGTAGAGGGGCTGGAGTTATAGCACAGCAGGTGGGGCATTTGCCTTGCATGCGGCTAACCCGGGTTCGATTCCCAGCATCCCATATGGTCCCCCAAGTACTGCCAGGGGTGGTTTCTGAGTACATGAGCCAGGAGTGGCCCCTGTGCATTGCCGGGTGTGACCCAAAAAGCAAAAAAAAAAAAAAAAAAAAAAAGGTTGAAAGATTGTGCAGGCATTGTTCTTGCCTCTAAAAGTGGCCAGACCTGGCCCCTGACCAATCACTGACCAGACCTCCCAGCCCCCAGGAAGTCTGTTGTAAGCTTGCCACAAGAGTGTTGGGGTGAAGGGCAGTTAGGATAGAAAAGGGACCAGTATGACAATAATAGATGGAAATAATTGTTTTCGACAGGAACTTGAGTGTTCAAAGTAAAGGGATACACCTGATAACCTTTCTGTGTCTGTTTTGCAAACCAGAAGGCCCAAAAGGAGGGAGGGAGGGAGAGAGAGAGACAGAGAGACAGAGAGGGAGAGAGGGGGAGAGGGGATGGGGAGGGGGAGAGGGAGAGAGACAGGGTGTGGGAGAGAGGGAGAGAGAGAGAGAAAGTCCACCATAGAGGTGTGTTTGTGTGTGTGGGGGGGAGGGGGGCGTTGTGTAGGGGAAGAGCCCGGAGGGAAACTGGAGACATTGGTAGTGGGAAATGTACACTGAAGTTATGGATGTTGGAACATTATATGATTGAAACCCAATCATGAACAACTTTGTAACTGTGTATCTCACTGTGATTCAATTAGAATTAAAAATTTTTTTAAAAAAAAGTGGCCAGACGGGCTGGAGCGATAGCACAGTGGGTAGGGCGTTTGTCTTGCATGCAGCCAACCCAGGTTCAATTCCCAGCATCCCATATGGTCCCCCGAGCACCGCCAGGAGTGATTCCTGAGTGCAGAGCCAGGAGTAATCCTTGAGCATAGGCGGGTGTGACCCAAAAAAAGTGTGTGTGTGTGTGGGGGGGAAACAAAACAAAAGAGCTACGATAGTGTCACTATTTTAAAATCCAAATATCCTAAACGATGTTAAAGCCCAATAAACCGAGTCAAGCGAGTAAATGGCATTTCACGACAACTAAGGTATTTCCATTAGAAAGTTAAAATCTGAACAATTTTTTAGAGGAGACGACAGGGGTAAATTAAAGCGTCGGAAATTCCGGGGCTGGAGCAATAGCATAGCGGGTAGGGCGTTTCCTTGCACACGACCGACCCGGGTTCGATTCCCAGTATCCCGTATGCTCCCCTGAGCACCGCCAGGGGTGATTCTTGAGTGTAGACCCAGATGTAACCTCTGTGCATCGCCAGGTGTGACCACCCACACCCAAAAAAAAAGAGTCGGAAATTCCTAGCTGGGCTTCTTTTCTTTCTGTATTCTGGGGCTGGGTTGGGAGGGTTAGGCGGGGGGCGCGCGCGCGCGCCAATCCTTCGGTGAGAGAAGGACGGCGTAGACACGTCCGTCGGAAGCGCCCCGGCAGCCGGCCGCACGACCACCCGCCTCCCGCTCCTCAGGGCGGACCGCTGAGAGAAAAGAGAGAGAGACAGAGAGAGAGAGACGCGGCCCGCCGAGCGCGCCGCCGCCGCGCCAAGCCTACCTGCTCACGCGCCGCCTCGCCAAGTCCGAACCTGCAGAGGGCAAGAGAAAAGTGCGGGTCTCCAGAGCGGGCTTTCGGGGGACCCTTTCGGGGGAGGGTCGCTGAGGGTCGGTGAACCGCGGCGCCTGTTACCGGCTGGCTGCTGGCTCACGCCGACGATCCGCAGGGCCGACTTCAGGGGTCGCACGTCTGGTCCAGCGAAGTGTTTCGAGCCGGGAGCTGGAAACGCCGCGTCGCCCAGGAGACCAGACGGCGCGCCCGAGCCGCCGCGAAGCACTGAGGGGAAAGTGGGAGGAGAGAGGCGGGGCGCGGCGGGGCGGGCTCCGGAAGACGGGGAGGGGCGGAGCGGGGGCGGGACGCTGCCGGGAAGCGGCGGCAGACGTGAGTGGTGGACGCGGCCGAAAGGCGGGGCTAAGAGCGCGCCGCGGGCTCCGGAAGCGGCGAAGGGGGCGGGGCCCGATGAGTTTGGGGGCGGGCGGAGGGTGGGGCCCTGGGTGGGCGGGGCCTGAGCCTGCTCTGGACTGCCAGCAAATTGCGGGGTGGAGGAAGACCTGCGGGACCCGAAATCCAGGCGGTTTGTGGGCGCTATCCGCGCAGCGAATTGGGCGCACGACCCTCGGAAGCACGTCGGCAACGCGCTTGCTCCGGTTACTTTGTGGACGGCAGGACTGGAGAATGTAATACCGTTGTCCATACCTAGAGGAGTTGGGATTGTCATTATCCACATCCAAGCCCGTTATTGGCAGAGAAAGGGAAGAAAGGGCGGGGTGGCCTGGTTATAAAGTTGTGGCCTTAGGTGGGGGGTGGAGGGGTATCTTGAGTTGGAAGAGAAGATTCCTCTTGGTAAAAGGCGAAAGATTTATGAGATCTGAAGAGGAACCAGAGTACGAGAAGGTTCTTGGGAATGAATCCTGCAAGAATTGGTGCCCTACCTGAGGCCGCCCCCAAAGACTATGAGTTCCCTAGGGAATGAAGGGACCCCTGATTCGAACCAGGAAAACGTCTCTCCCTGTACCGGATGTGAAGTTGATTTTGACTAATTCTAGGTTTTACTGCTTAAATAATCATTCTGGTCACAGAAGCTGGTTGAAAAAATTCTATTGGAAAATTCTAATTGTCCCTCCAGCTTTGTTTCTAGGAAGAAATCGGTTGTTTTCCTCTACTTTGGGATAAATGGCTAGGATTGATTTGTTGCTAGGCAACATGTTTTAAAGGAAGCCCATTTGTTGGTATCTAGTCAAGATTCAAATTTCATGTGAAAGGATTGATAAAGTCATTATTTAATCTCTACAGCGTTAGGTGCCCTCTGAGCTATTTTTTGGTAGATGGCTCTCAACTTCAAATGACATAAAATGAGTAAATCTCTGACGTTAATAAGTATTGAATAAATGGTAAATCATTATGATTGTTATTATTAAAATTGAAACAGTCGAACCATTTCAGCAGTCAAGAGTATAGCAGCACTGCACTGTCCTCCCATTGTTCATCGATTTGCTCGAGTTGGCTCCAGTAACGTCTCCATTGTGAGACTTGTTGTTACTGTTTTTGGCATATCCAATAGGACACAGGGAGCTTGCCAAGCTTTGCTGTACAGGCAGGATACTCTCGGAAGCTTGCCGGGCTCTCTGAGAGGGACGGAGTCAAAAGTATATAGAGATTAAATACTTTTTATCTTCTCTTTATCATTTGCTCACATTCACACTAAATCTCCTTGAAGCCCTGGACAGTAGGAGAGAGAAAAAATAAAAAGCCAGATGAAAATTTTTTCAAGAACTGAATAAAGTCATTGGCAAATACTTTTAAAAACCTTTTTAAAAACTTTTTTCCTATTCTTTTGTTTAAATTGAGTCACCATGAGATACAGTTACAAAGTTGTTCATGATGGTTTGTCTTACAATATTCCAACACTTCTCTCTCTCTCTCTCTCTCTCTCTCTCTCTCTCTCTCTTCTCTTTTTGCTTTTTGGGTCACACCCGGCAATGCACAAGAGTTACTCCTGGCTCATGCACTCAGGAATTACTCCTGGTGGTGCTTGGGGGACCATATGGGACACTAGGAATCGAATCCGGGTCTGCCATGTGTAAGGCAAATGCCCTACCCACTGTGCTATCCCTCCAGCCCCACAACACCTGTCTATTTACCAGTGTACATTTCCCACCACCAATGTCCCCAGTTTCCCTTCCACCATTACCACCATCCTCAGTCTTCCTCTGTGACAGATCTTTCTCTCTCTCTCTCTCTCTCTCTCTCTCTCTCTTTCTCTCTCTCTCTCTCTCTCTGCTTTTGGGCATTATGGTTTAAATACCAAAGAGAGATTCACTATCTTTGAAAACATTACCTTTGATGAATTTATTACTGATAAACAGGTAATGTCTGACTTCCCATTGTCCTTTTTATTCTAAGAAATGTAACAGTAACCTCTACTCACACATTGAACATCCTTTTACCATCAGGCGGATTCAAGTTCACTTGTAGAATGCAGGTTTTCAGTGGGGTTTTGTTGTTTGTTTGCTTGGGGGTCACACTCAGCAGTGCTCAGGACTTACTCCTGGCTCTGAGCTTAGGGATCACTCATGGTGGCAGCAGAGAACCATATGTGATGCCAGGGATCTAATCTGGGCTGGCTGCATGAAAGTCAAGCACCTTACCAATTGTACTCTTGATCTGGCCCTAGGTTTTTAGTGTTTGTTTATCATCCACAACCTGGGGAATAAAAATATTCCCCCCCCCCCCTATGAAGAAGTGAGCCATTAGCCATACCAGGCTTCCGCTTTGAGCCTCCGGTTTTTCAAATGCAAAATAATGAGGATATACATTCCAACCATGCATGCTCAGAATTGGAAGTGAGAAAATAGGCCAAGCACATGACATCTGAATAACTCAGACATTATTTTTACATCTACTACAATAACATGATATTCGATATGCCAGACACAGTAACAACAAAGTCTCCAATGGAGACGTTACTGGGCCCGCTCGAGCAACATGATATAAATAAAAAAATGTCTACATCTAAGGAAATGGTAAGGAGTAAAGATCATCACATGAAATTCCTGGTTAAGTGCCTCTTTGAACCCACAGATAATATTATTTCACCATGATAAAATTGAAATAGGAAGGTAGATGGGGGTGATGGTGGTGCTGGCAATGAATTCTCTGCAAGTAATAATAATAAAAAAATTGCTGGGATTTAAAGAAGTGACTCTATCACTAGTACTAAAGTAATCAAAAGCATTATGGCAAGTCCCACATTGTAGATACAGGAACTAAGGCCTGATAAGTGGCACCAGCCTTGGCTCAGAGACCCTCTCTGTAGAGAAGCTCTGTAGCACTGTAGCACTGTCCTCCCGTTGTTCATCGATTTTTGCTGGAGTGGGCACCAGTAACGTCTCCATTGTGAGACTACTTGTTACTGTTTTGGCATATCGAATTTGCAACGGGGAGCTTGCCAGGCTCTGCCGTGCAGGCGGGATACTCTAGGTAGCTTGCTGGGCTTTCCGAGAGAAACGGAGGAATCAAACCTGGGTTGGCCGTGTGCAAGGCAAACACCCTACCTGCTGTGCTATTGCTCCAGCCTGCTCTAGCAAGAACAAAGGATTATGATAAGGATATGAAGATGGACAAGCAAAAGTTTCAAGCTCCTCCCCCTTGACACTGCCATAGCAATGGATTTATCAACATAGAAAGTCTTGTTTGGTGACAGCTTGGGAGAAAAATCTATCCAACCAATTCTGAAAGGCAAGCATGGTGCTTAGTTATTCAGGGGGGGGGTAGGGGGGTGGGAGGGTGGGGGGAGTGTGTGTTTGGCTCACCTTACTAGCTGAGATGTGCTCTTAACTCTCTCCCTTCTGAAGAAGTGTTCTTTCTCAAATGGTGTGGCTCCCTCTCTTTCCTTCCTCATAATTTCTAAATAAAGCTATTTTCCTTCATTGTTTGTCTTCCCCTGAAATTTTTTTTCTGCAAGTATAGGTGATGTTCCTGGAAAACCTGAACAGAAATTAGGCCTGATTTTTCTTTCTCGCAAAGAGCAACTCTTCCCTCCAACCTGAGTCCACGGCTTCCTGAGTGGTAGGGTGGTAGGTGGTAGGGATCATCTCCCACACCAGGCAAAACAAGTGGAGCCCAGGTGCAGTTTGATGACTACCTCCTGATGACTACCTCTCCTAATGAGAGGCCAAGTCAGTATAGTGCCAGTGCTCAGAGAAGACTGTCTGTTGTCTTAAACCTCCCCAGGGAGCTCACTTGCATGTGATGGGGCAGGTAGAGAGGAAAGTAGGAGGCGCCCTTCTCCTGGCCCTGCCTCTCTTCCTCACAAAAGCCACCCATGGCAAAATAACATCACGTTTTATCTTTGTATATTTTTAGAAATAATTCACTATTTATAACTTTTGTATATAATTTGCTATCAGTATTATTAATAATAAAAAACAAAACACTTTTTTAGTTCTGGCTGGTGTACTTAGGCCACTGAATAAATTACAGTATCTATCTAGTGAGACATTGTTCTAACAAAATAAGGGAGAAAAGCCAGATCCTCATGCAACTGTTGAGTCACTCCACTCAACTACCTTATATTATACTCCTCAGTTTTTTAAAAGGGTAATTATTATAGATCTGAGTGTGAGCAGAGCATCATAAAAAAAGTTCGATAAAACATTCAAGTGTTTTCTAATTATAGAAGTACTATATATTAAGGCAATTTCCAGCATAGAAACATAAAGGAATGCATTGACCTTAGTCAATAATTTTACCTTTCTTTCTAGTCTTTAAGTGTGTGTATAAATATTATATTAACATGTACAATGTTGGCATAGCTTTTTCCCTTGATTTCAATGTCTTAACATTATACAATGTCTTTAAGAAAGATTCTGCTATATAATATGCATAAAGCAAAATTTATCCAAACTTCATTCAACCAGTTCCAAATTTGGAAATTTCCAATTTTTCTCCTATACTCACTTTTTCTAAGAATATCTACTGAATGGGTATAGGGAGGAAAGTTCTTGACTTGCATGTGGCTGACCCTGGTTCACATATGACCCTGAGCACTATTGGGTGTACCCCTCCCCCCAGTGAAACAAAACAAAACAATAAAAACCATGGTGAAATCTTTGTACATATATCCTTAGTGACTTAATCCCTAAGTCTTCCTCCAATACACAAATGCACAGGGTTAAACCCAACCCAGTTCTTATGCTTTTACCATTGAGCTATATTCCCAGCACTAACTATCCTTAATTCTTAGATCAAATTCCCAGTACTATGAAAATGTAACTCCAAAAATTTTTTTCAAACTTCAAAGGTAAACCAATAAGTAAAATTTTACCCTGTAAAATATTAACTTTTTGAAAAATTACTAACAACAGATTTAATATTTATTTTGTGCTAAGTGTGAACTTCCCTAGAAGATGCTTTCTCGTTAGTGACTGTGAAACATCAAGGGCATTTGAAGTGTATTGACTTTGGCTTTTGCCTCTAATTCTTTCCAGGATTTGCAGGTTTTCTCAATAGTGTGAGGTTGTTTGAAGTCTATGCAAATTGCCCTACTTCCTCTTCTAGGTTAAAAAGTTAACTATTTTACTTCCAGATTTCCTCCTAAACATGTCTTTCCTGCATCTCTTTTCATTTACTTTCCTGTGTGAATTTGGGTGGGGGATGGGCCCTGAGGGTGGCCTCATGGCAATTCTCCATTTT